GACAGTTGTCGGATGAATACGTGTCTGCTTGAAGCACGGAGAAAAGAAAGAAGCTCTCTCCTTTACGATCTCTTCAGCTGCAATTTATAGACTTTTCAATCATGCAAATCTGCTTTTCGCTATGACCGCTCATCCCCTCTAACCCTTCACCGACTCGCATAACCCCCCTGGAATATCGACTTCCTCTCTCTTTTTTTCCCACTTGCAAGAGTACAAAGCCTTTTTTTTTTTTTCGACCCGTCAAAGATCTTCCCAGATATACAGACACCCCTGATCCAAATATTGGACATGTTCTTCTCACCGGTCATTTAAAACGTTGGAGATGCCCGAAATAAGTGAGACTTAGCCGAGCAAGCTGGAAAATGAATGGTTCTCTGGGTACACTAAGAGGGTTGTGATGGCTTTATTTTTGGAGAGTTGGTGTTTTGCTGTCGCGTGGCGAGGCGAGAAAAAATTATGTGAATGGGAGAGTTTTAGGAGGTTGAGATCTCGCTTAGGAGCTGGCATATGAAGATGCTTATACAAAATAAGCAAAGAAGAGAGAAGGAAATGGAAAGAAAATGCATGTGGATGCCAATAAAGCTGACGGGAGAAAAACACACCGAGAAAAGTCTCGGATCACTGCCCGAGTCCGAGCCCGAAAAGAAGTATCGAGAGCATGTGACGTGGAATAGGCATGTTTCTTCTCCTGATAGACTGTGATGGCGATGAGATTGTTAATTGAAGTTGCTGCTCACCATCTTCTACGTCATGCGAGGGCTCAATCATCATTGAAAAGGGCTGGGATTGTGGCATATGACACTGACGGAGCTGTCAGTTTGGAAGGGGAACGAATTCCCGGTTGGTGGGTTCGTGGAGGGGGCGTATGGAGTACATTACTGACCATTGTTTTTCACATGAGCGAATGGGAGAGTTGGAAAATTGCGAGGCTTTCAAGTTGGATGGGTGGAGAGGTGGAGAGGTATCCTTTGCCTTGGAAATGACCAATATCGGGCTGGTCCAGTCATGTATGTGTCACAAAGCCTCTCGGTGAGACATCATTGGCTCTTGACGTGGTGCAAATGTAAATTAGTATCAAGATGAACGTAACCAAGAGCGGGAAAAAGCACAACATGAGCTGAGACAAGAGCCAATAACCTGGTGTAAAAGTGCCGGCCACAGCAAACACCTCCCTGGTTCACCAATACTTACCCATACAAAGACCTTTCCGGCAATCTCAAGAAACAAATCAAGACAGTCCCTCCCTAAAGATGCAGATCCGCTGCCCGAGACTTTTTCATCAAATGTGTATAGAGCTGACTCGCTGGCGTTTACCCTTTGAAATCATGTGGCACGTCTAACTGAGACATGGACGATCGTGACTCCTCGAGGTGATGGACACAAGCTTGTACGCCCTGAATAAGGATTCCCCCGATTTCCTTGTAATTCTACCCCCCCTTTCTCCCACAATCTCCTTCTCTTGGGGGGTAGATTTCGCGCGAGCGTAGAAAGAAGCCATGGCAAAGGCAGAAAAGAGAGGGGGAAAAAAAAAGAGCAAAGGGGCGGGCTCTGCTCTATATATCAGGCGTGCAATTCTCACAAATATCATGATAGCAAAACGTATCAGGACACCCCTTCTTCCGATGATGGCAAGACCGGTAAATGTTCCCCCCGCGCTTACACTTGCAGCAGACCCATCTCCCATTGAGGTCCTGCAGCCGGCACGTCCCCGAGCTGCAGGCGGGCGAGATGAGGCAGTTCCCGCGCGCGCACGGGTTCTCGCCTGTGGCCTCGGGAGACGCAAAGACGGTGGTGGCAGGACAAGGCGAGTATTGGTTGGTGGCCGGGTTGATGGCGGCGGCAGGGCAATACGAGTATCGGGGGACGAGGCTGGACGGGTGCGTGCAGGGGTGCTGGTGGTGGTAGTGGATGAACGAGTACTGGCACATGCTGTGACCTCTTTTTTCTTTCTTGCTGCCTTGGTTTGTGTGTGCGTGTGTTTATTTTTGGCGTCCTCGTCCTCGCACAAAGAGTCTCTCAAGGTTCGGAAAGGAGGGGAGCCGAGACCAGCTGAGACGGCTGAGCCCGAAAGATGGCTCGGGAATCGTTGGTTGCACAAGGAAGTACGGGTGGTGGTCTCGGCAGAATGCCTATTTTCTGCTCCGCCAACCCTGATGGCCCTTTTAGCAGACGATAATTGCGGTGACGCGACCCGAGATGATTGGTGGTTCCTGCACGACACTGAGCGATTGTGGCTGGGCTGAGTGTATTTTGTGTTTCCGGAGAGCAGGTTCAAGGCAAGGGAGAGAATGTCAACGGGCACTCTTTGAGCGTTTGTCAAATGTCTCCGTGTGAAAGTGTCAAATCGGCACAGAAGCTGGAGGTGAGCGGCATGGAGGAGGACGACGGTTCCGCTGGTGATTCTCCTTCCTGCCCTGTCTTGTCCTTGCTATGTCGAGTATGAAACTTGTTCTCAGATACTCAGTGGTCCGTCAAAGACAGGCGGCCGTGTTGTCTATTGACGCTCGTAAAGCCTACCTCTTCAGATGTTGGATATTCCACACCACAGTTGCTGAAGCCTACAACGAGATGGCCAAGTCTGGAAATTATGTTTTCCACAAAGAGTCAAAGTTCATCGAGAGGCGGCAAAGAACCTTTATGAAAAAGGGCAGACTTTTTAGCTTGCACGAAGGGTATCCGAGTCAATGAAATCTCGCACTGATATTGAAGCTTTGTCCCGCTGTTGAACGGGTCGGATTCAGTGGCCCTAGTGCTGTGCCAATGAATGTGCCAGGAATAATTGGAAATTGTGCAGAGCTGAAGCTGATGCTCTTGGTGCTATCAGATAGGAGGTATGTCGAGTGTTGTGGTGATTGTCCTTGTGTGTATTGACTGATGCTGACCGAGTTTGTGTTGAAGAGAGAGATGGGATTCCATATATAATCCCGCCGTCATTCTCAGTACGCCGTTGCCTTTGCTGCTCGATCAACTGTCAACGACTTGCCCTCGGACCTCGCTTACCAGCTGGGACATATGCCCGCTCCAATAACCCGCAATAGTGAAGCCATGGTGGGACTGCTTCTCAGAGACGAGGGAGAGTCTTTCATGTGCTCACCACAGTCCTTATGGAGCCATGCCTCTGACCTAGGTGGTGATGGAAGCAATACTGACACAGGAATAGGACCACTTTGCCTCGGCGCAAAAGGGGGAGCACAGAAAATAAGACATATTGCCTTTAAAACAGAGGCAAGGTATCAGCAGCAGCTGGACGGAGGGAATAGTGGCCTGATGAGATTATTCATGAGCTGGAAACCCGTTTGGAGCATTGTCGAAGGCGTTACTGAGCGGCAGGATGCCGTGTGGCTTGCTTGATACATATCAGGCGGGTTTGGATATGCTCCCAGATATTTGAGCGCAATAAAGTCCTGTCGGAGAGGCAAACATGTGTTTGAGTGAAATATGATGGAAATCCTTCTAGAAGGTCGTTCAAGGCTCTCTGGCGCTCTTTATCGGGTTACAAGAGGCCGGTGACGCCCAAAGTCTCGTGGGAAGTTGCAGGTGCTACCAAAGCTGTGTGCTCTTGGAGAGGGGATATTCGACGCCGTCGGACCACATACGAGAGAGACCTGCGGATCATCGTGATACTGTATGAGTTAATAAGGTTCTATGTGTGATGGATAAAAGCGCCGCAGATATAAAACTTGCATGAATGAATGAGACATTGAGGTCCATTGCGCTATCAATCGCCGGGGTAGTATGGTCAGCTGAGTTCAGATGCTCCATTGCTTCAGCGCCTTGTGATAAACAGAGAGAAAGAAAAGGCCGGTTAGGTAGAGAGGTCAGCTTTCACAGGGACGTAAACAGCGATAACCTAGTAGGATATCGTGATTTCCACGTTGGCTAATCCGGGGTCTGACGCTCCCACGACTCGGCCTCGGAGGAAGCACATGCCTCGGGAATGAATTGGTGTTACGCAGTGCATGGATTGATTGCTCTACCTGAGCTGTGTTTAATGAAGAGAGCTGGCTCACGCTCTATTGCTTCGGTTTAATTTGCCACCCCAGGAAATGGTCTCTGTGCGATATCGAGCATCGTTTTCGGCCGAACGGGACAATGGTACTCAGCCCGTCCACTTGCTCTCGCAAACCTTGATTACCCATGTTTAGAATTCATCACGATCGTGGAAGCAAACGCTCAAGGCCAAGAAACAGTCACACAACAACGTCTGGAGCATAAGACAGCATGCGGGTGGCCGATCCAGGACATGCCGTCATACCCAGGGGAAAGGCACATCCGTGGCGTCACCTGAGGGTACACTTGAGGGCTCGACTCTGTTAGTGAGAGGCTCCATGAATGAAGCCTCGTATTTTCTCACTCTATTTCCGTTTTCCTTCTTCTGACGATATCCAGAACACATGCGAGCTGACTGAACTGCGGCTGCTGTGGCAAACATTCAGCTTTCGGCGGGCCTGGAACTACCGATCGGATTTGAGCACCATCTCTGATATTGGCAGCCGGTGAGGAGCAAGTCGACGCTTGTTCTTTACCGGGATGCACTATTTCGGACCGAATGAGCATATCTGAATCATCTTCAGACGCTGTCAGTAGAACGGTGCCTACCCGAAGGTCCTTGAACCTAGATATTCTGGGCTCTCGATGTAGAAGAAGAACAGACACGAGCGAGCGAGTTTGCTGATCCAATTGGGCACCGTAGCAGGATAAGGGGTAGATCTGGCATTTTCTGCAGCTATCCGCGGACGGATCCGAGGGGTATGCAGCACGAAAGGGGGGCTGTCAAAGTGAAAGTGTCACAAGCTTTCCGCTGCTGAGACTGCCATATCCTCGCAGGATGGATTGCAGCCTCGGTAAGGGAAGGGAAGCCATGCTCGAAAAGGGAGATTAAGAAGATGCAATGATATTAAAGCTTTTTGCCCGAGTATCCTTCAACGCCATACATGCCATAAATCCATCATCATACAGTCAAATCACCTCAAAATCTAGATGAGAAAAAAAAAAGAGAGTTAGCGCAATAGATGGATCTTTGGATTCAAGACGACGCACCTTATTTCATATGAACCTGCTCTCGTCATGTACCGCACCCACTTGACACTGGAATAGTTGCTCTTCTCAAAGACCTTTAGATAGCGCACCAGCAAGCCCGAGCTGGTAAACATGAGCAAGCTAAAGTTCATGCTCAGGGGCGGCCGGCTCCACGCCTTTTGGTTTGTCATACTGGTCAGGGAAGCCTCGGCAGTGAGGACGTACTCGCTCTGGCCCGTGAACCTGCCAATCTTCCAGACAATGACGTTTTCGCTGGGCTCGTACTTGGCCTTGCCCTGTGTGCACCGCTCGGTGATCTTGGCGGTGTTGAGGGGGGTCGGGATCTTGATGATGACATTGGTGGCGAAGAGCTTGGAACCGAAATTGGCCTTGACGCCGATGCTGTACTCGACCTTTGTGCGGCTGACCTCGTTGACGATGGCGTGCACCTTGAAGGGCAGGTTGACGTTTTCCGTGGCACGGTAGCGCATGAGCTCGAACTCGCCGTCGGGCGGGACGAAGCTGATGATTCTGTCCGTGTCGAACTTGCCCAGCTTGACGCACTGGTGGAACTGGCAGTCCTCGAGCGTGACGCTTCCCGCAGCCGCCTTGGTGGCTTTTGTGCCCATCTTGTTGCCGCTGGGCAGGCTCAGCAGTCCGTCGTTATCCAGCAGCAGTCGATCGTTGAGGCCAAACTTGCACTCGGGGGTGCCGGAGAGATAGGCGCGCATGACGATTTGGCCCGTGACATCCGCTCGCAGAACTGCGCCGGTGGCAGACATGAGCAGGTTGACGTCCTCGATGACATCGACAAAGGCCTCGTTCTTGCGGTACTTGACGTCTGCCTTTCGCCATGACAGCGCGCCGGTGGCCTGCATGGTGATTTTGGACGTGTCTTCGGGGCGCGACTCGGACTTGACTCCCTCGGTGGTGATGTACATTTTGAGCGTGTCCGTCTCGGTGTTTTGCGGATAGCCAAAGTCGATGATTTCTGGGGGTGAAGGGGCGCTGTTAGCAAAAGCAATGGAGGAACGCAAGGAGAGAAAAAGCCTGGAAGAATAGAATTCACCATCCAGCAGCTCGTAGACCAGCACAAAGTTGTTCTTGACGGCCTCCTCGTCAAACTTGCCAAAGTACCCCTTTCCCAGCTGAATCAGCCGGTAGAGGAACTCAAAGACCAGCGCGGCATTGGCGTTGCTCTTGGTGATGGCGACGAGGTAAATGTTTTCGTGCTTGACGTGGCTGAAAGTCGTGCTGCCCAGCGTCAAGATGGGCGATCGGACCTGGGCATTGGAGATGACTTGGATGCGGAAGACGTCGGCAAGGCGAGGGCGGCAGTCGTTGCGAAAGGCGCGGAAGATGAGGTTCTCGCCCTTTTGGTTGAAGATGAGCACGCCGGAGAGCATCTTGGATAATCTTCGGAGGAGGAGGGAAAAGAAGAAAAAAGAAAAGAGTCTCAAAAAAGGAGAGGCTGTGACTCGAGCAGCAGAGAAAGGCTTGACGTGCTGGAGTTGGAAGCTGGAGCTGGGTCGAGGTGAGGCTGCGATGCGCAAAGCTCCAGGTCGGGCGATTAATGAAATCGAGCTGCAGGTGCTGGAGAGCCCCGCCGAGGCGCGTGACTACGGGGGGGTTGGTTCACTGTAGTCCCCTGAATTGATGGCACCGTCCCGCTGTGACCACTATTTGGCTGTGTACATGTATTGAGGGCATATCGCGGAGTATTCGGATCAATCTATTACCATTGAATTGATCAACAATATGACGGATGTGCTCTAATCAGCACGCTCAAGTGATGGTTACATACCGATACTGTGAAGCCATTGATGTCCAGTAATTAAAGGCACAGGCACTATCTAGGATTCGGAGCTCCCTTGGACCTGAACAGCTTAGCGCTTAATGTGCATATTCAGACGTGGAGCTGCTATATTCAGGGTCTTCTGGCAGCTGCAGCACCCGTTACATTGGAGGCTCTTCATATGAATCTACTACCTATAGGTATGTATGTAGTCTTTTGTATGAAATGACATTTATGGATTGAATTGATGGCATACGTGATAGATCTAACTATACTAAGGTACTCTGACAGGGCACATCTAGGATAGAGGGGAGCTTGGAGCTCTCTCATCCCATCTGGTGACAAATCCAAAGAGTGAAGAATTTCTTCCAAATATTCGACAAGATGCAGCTTGATGAAATCTTGATAATCAATGCTACGCCCCTTGCATTTCAATAACGGGTCTTCGTGGCGCAGTTGGCTAGCGCGTCAGTCTCATATTGAATCCGATATGATCCAAACACAAGTTTGGGCCATCTGAAGGTCGTGAGTTCGAGCCTCACCGAGGACAGTTATTTTTTGGCCTATTTCACTAATTTCATTATCTTCAACACACGGTAATGCCTCTTCTTTTTGGCCACTCAGCAAACAGCCATATGTGTAATTTCTGAACCGTTTGCTCCTGTTTCCACGTGGAATCAAGACATACGCACGGCCTGTTTGCTTCAGACGCTGTTTTTGCGCGTGTGGCTGTGCTCTCGTGAGCCATAAGACACCTCGTCATTTAATCCATCCTTGATACCAAGCTCTCTCTTCTGTCTGCTTCTCACCTCACACACCCTCGATTGCTGATCCCCCGTTGCCAATTAATCTCTCTTTTATTTATTTATACTCTTATAGTTATCTGTTTATTCTTTCTCATTTCTCATGTCACAGCCGTTGGAATTCCCATCTTCCTTTGTCACACCGTGGAGAGACTTGCTCCTCTCCCACCAACATGAGCGCTCCAAAGACTCTCCCAACTATCACGATCCGGACGCCATTGACTCTCTCCTGACAACCAGCACACCGAAACTGCTCTACGTCGGCACGGGACATTCCATATTCACTCGCGCAATTCTGCCTGCCATTGCATCCGCCAAGCATTCAGTCCATTTCGTCACATGTTACTGGGCCGCCTCTCCATCTCTCGACGGCATCCGCCAGACTCTCCTCCAGCTAGCCGAGGCGCGCTCAAGCCCGGCAGAGACACTGCCTACGCTGCATATAAGCATTGGCTTCTCATCTTGGGGACTGTTCCAGAAACTGTTTCACACGTCTGCGCCAGAGGGATGCGTCTATCCGCCGTCGAAATGGGCCAAGCTGGGTTTGCCGGACGAGGAGACGCTGAGAAAAGGGGGTATTGAGATGACGGTCAAGAGCCTCTTCTTTACACCGCTGAGCGTGATGCATCCCAAATATGTCGTAGTGGACGAAGCCAAAGCGTGGGTTCCGAGCTGCAACGTGAGCTGGGAGCGATGGTTTGAGGGATGCGTCGAGCTGGAGGGCGAAGTTGTGGACAGGCTGCTCACTTTCCACGCTCGCGTCTGGGGGGCCAGAGTGGACAAGGCGAGGTCAGCAAACAACGAGAATATCGAACTGGCAAGGAGACAGAGGATTGTGACGAACGGGGCCCGGGACGGAGATGTCGACGACGGTGTTGACGACTACGTCGAGACTTCAAGTTCTTCGCCTCTCAATGAAGAGGATGATGACCGTTCGGCTACGCAGTGCATTCACTTCACGGCTGTTGCGCCAACGCCGGCCATCTTACTCCCATCGCCGCATCATCGAAATCCCCGATTCAGATTCTTTCCCTTTCCCTTCTTTTCCCAGTCCAACCCGCCCATGACGCCTCTCAACGCTGCACTGCTTACTCTGTTTGCGAATGCTCGCCACGACATTCATCTCGTCACGCCCAATCTCACATCGTGGCCAGTGATGGATGCTCTGCTAGAAGCAATCTCTCGCGGGGTCAACGTACATGTACGTACGGGCCGCAATATGATGGTCATCGAGCAGCTCGTCACTGCTGGAACTACAACATCATGGTGCGTCCGGCGGTTTGTCAAAAAGTACAAAGCTCTGTGTAAGCGATCTCAGCGGAATGACTTGGAAGCCCAATCAGTAGCCCCGGGGCAGCTGGAGATACTCTACTATAAGCGGCTCAGTGACCGCGCGAATCTCGAGGACGAGCCCGTCTTTAGCCATTTCAAGATGACCATGGTGGACGGCGAGTACTTGGTGCTGGGCTCGGGCAACATGGACAGAGCCAGCTGGTGGACGAGCCAGGAGATTGGCGTGCTATTTTACATGCCGGGATTCAGAGAGAGGAGAGTGTGGGAGAGTGTGCTTGAGAGGAGAGCAGAGGTGGTGTTTCGCAGTAGCTGATTGTTTGCTATGGTTGGAGTTTCTGGTTGGATATCAGCGGGATATATACCTGTACTTTGGAAATACCCTCAGTTTCATCTTCATTCGGAGAATCATGTAGCTCCTCTATTTCTAAGCCATTTTGTTTTATTCTTCTTTATTTCCATTATTCAGCAATGCGCTTATGCAATGTCTTGAGCCTTGACTCTCTCGAAAACGTTGACAAACTCCATTGCGTCCTGAGCACCGCTCAGCTTAAACTTGCCCTGAATCGTGTAATCCGGCACGCCGCTGATGCCCCTGAACCGCGCAGTTCCAGCAGACATGTCAACTTCTTCGCCTCCCTCATCACTCTCCACAATAGCCTTCTTAAACTCCGCCTCAGGGATACCCGCTCCGACGGCAACCTCCTTGAGGACGTCGTGGTCGGTAATGTCCTTTTCATTCTCAAAGTACGCGGCAAAGAGCCCGTCAACGACCTTGAGCTCCGTCTCATCGCCGTGCCTCTTAGCCAGGTGAATCAAACGGTGCGAGTCTCGCGAGTTGCCAACCCTGCCGCCGAACCGAAAGTTGATGCCAATGGCCTCGCCCACGCCGCGAAGGCGCTCATGAATCATGGCCGTCCGCTCGGGGCCAAAGCGCTGCACGTAGAAGCCCTGCTTATCAATGCTCTTGCCAGGACCCCGAGGGGCATCTGGGTTCAGCTGGAAGGGGGCGTATTTGACCGAGAAGGTGTCGGAGGAAGAAGGATAGCGCTGCTGCCAGATCTGCTGGGCTCGCTGGACCTGCTTGCGGCCAACGTAGCACCAGGGGCAGACGGTGTCTGAGACGACGTCGATGCGGAAGTGTGTCATGGTTGGCGTGATTTTAGTTTGGAATATTCGTGTAATTGAATTGCCGCATGTAGTTGTCAAGGGTTTAGATGGAGGCTTAGAGATCAAAAGCTCAACTTTGTTGCAGGGGGGGGGGGGGTTTCTGAGAGCTGTGTGATATGTGATATGGGAGTTTGAGCCTCGATCTATCGCAGAAACTTGCCATTTATACTAACCCTGCCTATCGCCTTGCACGGTTTATCCCCCACGGTTTGATTGCTCTATTGATGGGAGCTTCTCCACGGACCACAGCCAATCTGCAACCCTCGCGGCTTTGGATTTGAAAGCAAAACTCCACTGTAAAGGCCGCTGACCTAATCGAGACCTTGCCTCGGCGAGCATTTTTCTCCGTCGTGGTTTGGATGGAATTTCCCCTTGTACGTGTATTTATAATACAAGCGTGGGATTTAGCCCTACATCAAATGTTAGTTTAGGCTCAGCGGTTGCTAGTGAGCGGGTTATTGCCATCAATGGTCTAAGTGGGATGAACTGGATGAAGATGGAGTTATAAACATGTTGGTATTGGAGGAATTGGATATGTTAAGCAGAGATTTGACTTGAATAACGAATTACAAGTAAAAGCATGATATCTAACACCAGTACATACATCTAGAGAGAGGAGGGTAGAGACAAAATGCCGATCGGACCTTTGCTGTTGTGCATGTAAGCCCGTGCCGTGCCGCTTCTCACAGGAGCGGCTAGAACCAACGGCTCCGCTTCCGTGTGCTTCATCGGCATATTCCGTGTAAGTCGTCCAAGTCGTCTCAGGCGGGAGGGCTCCGAACAGCTGCTCAGAGATGAGATGAGGGTTGTTTCAACGGCAGCGGGCGATGTTTTCTTTCCTAGGCCGAGAGCTTGAAACTGCTCCATTATTAATAACTCGAGATTCCCCAGCCGTCCTCTTTCTATTTGAGCACCAGGTTTCCTAGGTAGGTTGTTGCGCCGCTAAGTCGGATTCAATCTATACCTTGGCTTCTAGTCCATCCTCGCGGAATCTAAGCCCCAACAGGCCTGCTCATCGCTCGTGAGTTCTGGGCTAGTCACTGGAAGACGATTGACTTGCATAAGCCGTAGAAGCATATGGACTCGATTTAGAGTTTTAGTATCCAATTAGCACTTGACAGTTCGATTAGAGAGGACGCTTGAGGCGGGCCAGATGCTCTTGAAAAGCCACCGCTTCTCGCACTCTCGTTTGACGTGCGTTATCCACTATTATTTGCGCATGGTTCGCGCAGTTTGCCATCGGACTGCATGACATAATGTCTCGACGACATTCGACATGCGTATAAGTGCGGGTAACTTGACCGGGCATCGGCAATGCGACCTGGACATGTGTAGGATCCAAATGCTCGTGGGTGTACCTGATGTACAATACAAGGCCAATGGCCGCAACAATAACCGATAACCGATATATGACACAAGACTGTTGACCTAATGTTGTGTAGTTTTGGGGGTACGGGTGGGTATGCATTGGCAATCCTCTCAAGCTAAGAACCATGTCTATAAGCCGTATGCCGAACCCTGGCGGGCTTTTCAGTTTGCTAAGCGCTTGATAACGTTTGAAACGGACGCTTCAATCCTTGCATGCATGGCATGAGTGTGTAACTCCGATGTTCATACTCCACTCACCCGCGACGTTGAGGAAAAAAGATTCCAATTATCGTATTAGTAGAGCATGAGTGATTGTCACGAGGAGCCTATGATCGCCTTTCTGATGCCCGCTAAGAGCAGAAGGATTCCATTGATGGATATCTCCACCATGTGTGTTTTCGTATCCCGTGGTGTTACCCAGTACATAGGTAACCTGTCCGTGTATAAAAGGGAGACGTTTCCCTTAGCTAGAGTGCAATCGAGAAACGGATAAACACAGATTCTTCGATCAACAGCAGTTCTTATATGCCCTTTCGTTTGAAGATTCTAAAAAAGTAAAACTTCACCATGGCACAAGCTCCTGAAAAGGTCGACCCCGCGCCTCTTGGCCGGCCTCTTGCCTTTGAGTTCAGCGGCAAGACGGCCAAGAACCGCTTCATGAAGGCTTCCATGTCTGAACTGCAGTCAAGTTGGGACGACAAGGACTTTACCAAGAGAGGAATTCCCACAAAGGAGCTGGTCAACCTTTACAAGCTATGGGGTGAGGGTGGATATGGAGTCATTCTTCTCGGCAACACCATGATCGAGTACGACCAGCTTGAGGGCATCGGAAACCACATTATTCCCTCGGAAGCACCATTTTCTGGCGAGCGATTTGAGAGATTCAAGGACATCGCCACGGCAGCCAAGGCGCATGGCAGTCTCGTTTACACACAGCTGAGCCACCCGGGTCGACAAGTTACGGACAACATTCAGCCGAACCCCATCTCCCCGAGTGATGTACAGCTAATGGTTTCTGAATTCGGCACATTCGCTAAGCCGAGGCCGATGGAGAAGGCGGATATCGATCACATTATCAACTCGTTTGCCCACGCAGCCGAGTATTGCTACAAGGCCGGTTTTGACGGTGTTGAACTCCATGCCGCTCAGTAAGTCTCAAACTGGAGACATGTCCACCAATTCCATTTTATCATCTGGGGATACCGTTGAGTAAAATCAAACAAGGGTACATTAAAGTGATACTAACACATATGCCTTGCAGTGGTTATCTCTTGGCTCAATTCCTGGCACCGTCGACAAACCAGCGGACAGACGAGTACGGCGGCTCGCTGGCCAACCGCGCGAGAATCATCTTTGAAATCACAGATGCCATCCGCGCCCGCGTCCCCGACAAGTCGTTTAGCATCGGCATCAAGCTCAACAGCGCCGAGTTCCAAAAGGGCGGCTTCACAGTCGAAGACTGCAAAGTCCTCTGCGCAGAGCTCGAGAAGAACCACTTCGACTGGGTTGAGCTTTCGGGTGGCACGTACGAGGTTTTGGCGTTTGGGCACAAGAGAGAGTCTACCAAGAAGCGAGAGGCGTACTTTATCGAGTTTGCGGAAATGGTCATCCCCGAGCTGAAGAAGACCAAGGCTTACATCACGGGCGGCCTGCGCACGACTGCTGGTATGGTCAAGGCGTTGGACAAGATGGATGGAGTTGGCATCGGACGCCCAGCTGCTCACCAACCCGACTTGCCGCAGAAGATTCTCGACGGTGTTACTGATGCCGCCATTAAGCCGCTGATTAACGAGGACGTCTTTATGATCACCAATGCCGCCGCTTCTATACAGTGAGTTGATTGTACACGAGAGGAATAGCTGGATCCTGTATACTGACGTGACATTGCGATGTAGGATGTTGTTGGCTGGTCTTGGCCATGAGCCACTCGATCTGAGTAGACCTGACCATGAAGAGGTCGTCCAGCGCGCAATCCAGAGATGGCTGGAGAATAGGCAGAAGGGCGGACTACCAGGCTCTCCCCATATCGAGGGCCTTGAGCTTCAGCCTTATGGAACAGCCTACGCAGCAGCCTAAGCGACATTTGAAGAATCGAATCGTTGTACAGAATTTAAAAAAGTATATTTAGACAAACATTTACGTGTACCCAGAGCATCAATTTGGAAGACTGTCTGTTCCATACATGTCCCTCCATCGTTGTGACTAGCTGCATTCACGTGTAACATTTTAAACAGTGGCTTAGGCATCCCATTGATATGGATGTTATACTCAGCCCTTCGGTCCTTTGCTGACGCGGTAAAGTCGTGTTTCTGCCTACAGTAATCTGCGCGCGATCGGGTTTTGATTGGCCATCTTACATGTAGGTAGAGCAGGCCGGCATGCAAGTAAACGTGGCCGAGTCGCAACCCAATGAACGATTTCAATTGCATATTTTCTGCCCAAGGCTGAATCATCTCGCGCGAACCCCTTACATATACGTTACATTTAATATGAACTTTTCTCTCCGGCTACTGAGTCTGAAGTCTTTTGAGCCTCTTTGAAGCTCAAGCTCTACCATTAACAGCTCACTTTTCAACTTCCTTCGTTATTCGTCAAATTATTATACGCACTCATGGAAGAATTCAAGTATACCCCTCTCAATCTGGAGAGGCCTGCAATACGACTACTCAGCTTACATCCTGGAAATGACGATATGATGATATCTTGCGAGCTTTTCCAGGCAGAATTCCACCAGCGCGAAAATATGCTTCCTTATGAAGCTCTCTCGTACACCTGGGGTAGCTCTGAGCTTTCCGACATCATCCATGTCAACGGTTGTCACCTGGGGATCACGCATAATCTCTACAGCGCATTGGTTGATCTTCGCTACCAAGACCGTCAACGTGTCCTGTGGATCGACGCAGTATGCATTGACCAAAAAAACGACAAGGAGAGAGGACATCAAGTTGGACAAATGGGAAATATTTACGAGGAAGCCGATCGTGTGATTTTCCGCTTAGGTTCGGGAACAAATGAGACAGACCTCTTTATGGAAAGCCTGCAGCGGCTGCAGAAAGAGAGCATACGGCATGCTTGTAGAGCCTGGTCGCGCCAGGATGGACGCTGGAAAGACCTTTGGTATTCATTCCGACCGATTTTGGAGGAATATGATGATGAACTCGCGAACTTACAGCAAGAAGGTCTGCGGGAGATTCTGCAACGACCGTGGTTTCGCAGGGTTTGGATTCTACAAGAAGTGGCATTTGCAAAGGCAGGCACTCTGTCTTGTGGTACAAAATCTGTGTCAGTCAGCCTTTTTGGCCTTACTCCCCTGCTCTTGGGAATCACCCCCGATGCACACTGCCAATCTGTATTTGACATTATGCCATCTCCCTGGAGAAAATCCACATGGTGGAGCGAGAGTCGAAGCCTTTATAGGCTCCTTTTGAAGTTTGGGAGTAGTGAAGCGACAGATCCTCGAGATCTCGTTTACGCGCTACGAGGCATCTCTTCCGATTTGGCGGGAAAATGCGACGACCCCCTTTTCCCAGATTACGAGAAACCACTGGAGAAACTTATTTACGATGTTATCCAGCATATTTACGAATTCGATGTGACTTACATCTTGAAGGAAGCGCCGCGCTTATCTTCAATACGAGAAGTGGTCAGCAACTTTCCGAGACTCGAGACAGATATCTGCAGGTATCTAGCAGAAATGTCACTACCCGATCACATGGAGAGGATTCTCAATAAATATAAAATCCCGGTTAGCCAGGATATGATCAAAGTTGCAGCACTTTACGACAAAGAGGGCAAGGTTGTCAATGTTTTGCTTCGGTGCAGTGGAGGACAATTAAAAATAGATGACGAGGTTTTGTTATGTGCAGCCGCAAACTTGAACGGCGCCAAAGAAGTATTTGAAGCTTTCTGGTACCACCAGAATCAACTCATCATCACTGAAGAAATTCTCATCGCCACCGCGAAGAACTTAGGATCTGGCCATTCAGCGATGTGTTTTCTTCTATCCCTGAAGACCCAAGTATATAGAATTGCCCCAATTTCAGAAGCGATAACCTGGAACACACCTGCGAGTTCAAGAGAAGAGATTATCCGTATGCTACTATTGCAGAAAGACTACAGGAACGATACTATACCGGAAGTTCTCACTGCTGCTTCCGAGATCCAAGATTACAAGTTACAAAAAGAGATTATAACAACACTGCTGCAGCAGAAAGACTACAGGAACACTACTATACCAGATGTTCTTACTGCTGCTGCTAAAATTCAAAATCATGAATTACAAAGAGAGATTATAACAACACTGCTGCAGCAGAAAGACTACAGGAACGATGCTATACCAGAAGTTCTTACTGCTGCTTCTAAGATCCAAGATTACAATTTACAAAAAGAGGTTATAACAACACTGCTACAGCAAAAAGACTGCAGGACCACTACCATACCAGATGTTTTTACTGCTACGGCTAAAATCCAACATCAAGATTTGCAAAAATTAATTATAACAACACTGCTGCAGCAGAAAGGCAGCAGTAATAATATTATATCAGAAGTTATTACCGCTGCTATTAATAACCGAGATTTTGCTTTAAAAACTCTCATTATGAAGACACTGCTAGAGCAGAAAGGCAGCAGTAATAACATTATATCCGAAGCCATTACTACTGCTGTTAATATCCGAGATTTTGATTTACAAGTTGAGATTTTAAAGATGCTACTGCAAAGGACAGAATTTATGGCGGCTGCTGCTGAAGTCCAAGGTTTCAATTTACAAACAAAAATTAGTAAGATTTTAATAAAGCAGACAAAGATAAATACTAATATTGTGTTAGAAGCTATTACTGCTACTGATGGAATCCAAGACTCCGATTTACAAATAAAAATCATCAAGGTTCCAATAAAGCAGAAAGGCAATAATGCTAATATTCTGTTAGAGGCTATTACTACTGCTGCTAAAATCCAAGATTTCTCCTTAAAAAATAAAACTATTAAAAGCCTATTAAAACAGAAAGGTAATAGTCCTGATGTTATATCAGAATTTATTACTGCTGCTGGCAAGACTCAAGATCCCTTTATCAAAAGGGAGATTATTGAGAACCTGCTAAAGCAAAAAAGTAACAGCAACGATACAATATCCAAAGGTCTCACCATCGCTACAAATATTCAACCTTTTGGTCTCATGATGATAAAGGATTTTGTTCGCAAGAACCCTGGGTTTGAGATTTCCAGAGATGCTGTTATAGTTGCCATGAAGAATTGGCCAGGCAACACGGATAGCCTCCAAGTACTCTGTCGTTACTTTCCGTCTCTCAATCCAGGCCGCAAGCAGATCGGCTGATGAGGGCTTGAATGCAATACCACTCCTACTTCAAGACCTGGCTGTGTATTGCCGGCTGTCTCCAGAGGAGTGATTTTTGCGTTGGACAGATCAACGAAGGGATGGTGGCCGAAGATGTGCAGATCAAGGAGATGCAGGTCAAGGAGATGCAAGTGCCTGGCTGCTACTATTCAGTCGCATTTTGAGTCATTCATAATACTAGAATGGCGATCTGGATGGTACTGCGATTTAATAATTCATGAAGAATCGATGACTCTTCTCTACAAACAAATGCCACCGCAATCCGCACCGCCGTTCTCGGGATCACAACCATCCCGCACATCATAGCAATACTTTCCCGCAGGACAAGCAAAGCCCGCAAACCCTCCACAAAACTCAGCATTCTTCGGGACGCAGATTCCCGGAATATCACAAGCCATGCCGCAGTTGGGCGGCAGCCGAGGGTCGTCCTGGCACACGTGATTGCGGTCGCAGTTGTGCGGTCTCGGGGTGAAGCCTCCGCACGAGGCGTATTTGTTCTTAAACTCGCAGTGGCCGGGGCACTTGTTGAGCTCAGGGCAGTACGGGTTGTCGGCGACGCACTTCATGTCGAAGGGGCAGGGAGCAATCTTGAAGCCGCAGGGGTGGCCGACTTGGCTCTGCGCCGAGGCGAGAGAGATGGCGAGGGTGAGGAGGACAGACTTGAGAAGCATTGTGGATTTCTGTATGTTGGTATTTGATGTAGAGTAGAGTGTAGGAGTGATGTTTATAGTAGTTGAGTCTGAACTCGTCAAGAAGAAGGGAGCAAAGCTTAACTCGTCGTCTTATATATTATTTCGTCAATGCTCTTGTCGGAGCCGATCGCCCGCATCAACGTCCGGAAAGAACTATGCATCAAGTCGACCGCGGCAACCCGAGACAACATTCCACGACACTGCCCCAAGCATGTCACACAGATTCCGCAAACTTAGCAGAGCTGAAAACTAAGACTCCAACTGCGTACAGTCATTGACATCCCCCGCATGGATAGGCAGCTCGTAAAAGAATCCCAATTGTGAAACATGGTCTTCTCCTTGCGTAGCCACGCCGACTGTCTCTGCTGACTATTTCTCCCTTGCCGTCTGATAGACGGGCCAACGTACGATTGCCCATGTGAAGGGTTATACAAACTACGTAATATGACTGCCGCTACATTAAGCTTATTTGGTAGAGTGAAGCTACGGCAGAGATCCACACAGTAGTGTCATGGAATGGCGCTTGTCAGATATCATGTCATTGGAGGGATGTAAGGATCCGAGTACATCGTCTTGGCGCGGCCTAGTTAGGCAAGGGACTTTGAGTCGGCGCATGTGCTTGTCGTATGCAGGGCTCAGGGGACTATTGCATGTACATGTATCTATGTGGTAATGAAGAGTCTAGACTGATGAAAGGCATGTTATTGGTCTTGTGGGTTGAAGCAAATTTCTCCTATTTTTCTTGGCTTCAACTCGGCGTTGGACGATAAAGGAATAGTCCTTGATACACATGGAGTGATCCTTTGATGCATCACCTCCTCGGTTGCTCCATCCTATGCCCTATGCTATAATACAATTCTTGTACTCCAGATGACAGCTGCTCATCACACAGAAGGCCAAATAACCTTTCATCTACTCGCGCAGCTTCAGCAAGCTGTTGACCATGTCCACAATACTCTCCTCCAGGGGCCTGAGCGTGAGGCCCAGCTCAGTAACGGTCTTGGTATTATCAAGTCGGTAAGCGGGAGGAAGAGGGGTACCGGTGTTGCCCTTTGGAGTCAGCTCCTTCAGCTCGGGGAATTTTTCCCTGATGATGTCGCAAATCTGCTGGTAGCTGTAGGCTGAGCTGGAAACGAGGTATCGCTGTCCAGCAGCCTCTGGCTTTTCATAGGCCAGCACGTGAGCCTCGCCGACTGTAAGATTCAAGATTAGTAATTGAGAAATACGTCAAGATTGAATGCTGGGAAGGCTTACGATCGCGGACGTCGACAAATGCGTGAAAGGCAGTGTCGGGAACATCCTTCTCCGAGCCGTCGAATAGTCGGTTGATGTCGGCGGAAGAGGTGTTGAGCGACTTGATATCGCTGACGCTGTGAATGATTGGTCCGTAGACCAACGGAGGGCACATGGTGGTCACGGTAAAATTTGGCTTATTTGCCTCGACATAGTTAAAGACGGCTCGCTCGGCGAATACCTTTGATGCGAGATATGCCAGGACGGGGTCGGTGTTGGCTTTCTCGACGGTGATGGGGTTCCAGTCTGCCTCTGTGTAGGTGTATCCGGGGCGCTGACCTTGCAATGGGTCCAGGACAGCGGCAAAAGATGAAGTGACGACGACTCTGGAGACGGAAGGGTTGTACTTCTGGACAGCTTCCAGGATGGACGTGGTGCCCCGGATAGCGGGCTGCATGAGCTCCTTTTCGAAGTCGGTGGCATTGAAGATGAAAGGTGACGCAGTATGGATAACCTGTGTGTTGATACGAATTAGTAATTTTGTCATTTAATGATGCCTTGTGTGTCTACTTACACCATCGACTCCCTTGACGGCCTCGTCAAAGGCATTGGCAGCAGCCATATCGGGAACAATGGCAATGCTTAGTTGCTCAGCATATTTTGAGTGCGACTTGCGCACTCCTTCGGCCGTCTTCTCTGAGCGTACGGTTCCGCGAACGTTGTAGCCCTTCTTGAGGAAAGCATCCACGACGTGGGCGGCGATGTAGCCGGAGGCACCGGTGACGAGGACAGTTTGGGCCGCCATTTCAACGTATAGTGAGATTTTCCGTTGAAGTAAGTTGTGATGGAGACTTTAAAATCTTAGAAGAAGACGGACTTTTATCAAGAAAAGTGCTTTCTTCGTGATGTCTATCCTTTAGATGTCTTTGAACTGTATTGCTACTGGTGTGGACGAAAATATCTTCCTCGTCGATGATGCCCCCCCTTTTATACATCTCCCAACAACTCAAGAAGCCAGCTTATACGCCCATGCTGAACCAAAATATCTTAGTAGTAAAGATATTTTTAGCATCGCCATGAAAGATAGCATCTCGCCTTGATGCTGTATCATGTAATTCCGAGGGTTCGGCTAATGAATTCTGATTATCTCAACAATATGAGTCAAATGATGCCTTCCACTCATCTAGACTACGAAAGGGAAGAAGAAAATGGATATGGGTATCAAAAAGGGATAGATTATCAAGCGAGCCCTGAAGCGGAACAAGCATACTGTAACGAACCTGCCAATTCCAACGCGGTGCTAGATAAAAGACGGGAGGATTGATATAATGTTTAGTAATTAACCTAGCAGAACTAGTTGTTAATGAAGACATCCTGTTATATCGTATTCCCTTGGACAATTGGCCTGTGGGCCGTTCTTTTCACGGTAGTATGCTAACGTGAGGAAGTTGGCCATTAACTTATCCTGTCGAAAACATGGAGGGTATAGTTCTGGGGACCCACTGGCTAATGTCTCGAGGGAATACGGTAATTGACAGTGTTGTCATATATACTTCTAAGGTTCTCTTTTTATCTTTAAGCTTTTGCTATAAGGTTATGGGCAACATGGCTACGGGATCCCGATTTGGGCGTGCTTGATAAGCTGTCCCTATTGATATCGCTCTTATCCCTTAGGTTATGGGCTACACAATGTTCTTTGCTAGTTCTTTTTTCAGCCCTTTTTGCAGCTAAAGCGGTCTTTTGGGCGGTATTTGCAGCGGAGTTTGAAACGGGCTTTACAACGGGATTTACAGCAGCGGGCTTTAGGTTATGAGCATGTGTATATGGATGCAATACATGTAGCTACAACATCCCAATTTGGATATTATGCTTGATAAGCCACCCTAAAACGGAAAGATGATTAATCAAAAAGTCGTTTACACACCTCGCTTGGAGAGGCTTACTTCATTTTAATATCCTGAAAGGGAAGGCAACCTACAGTCAGCTGCGGAAATACTTTATAACATAAATCCGACAGCGATGCTATGTGATTCACATCTCTGTGTCTGTATAAGAGCTCAACTCTTGATTAGGAAGCCAAGAAGCATCTGGATTTCCACCCATCAAGTCGACAAAATCCACACAGTAATGATCTTCGAAAATACAAACTGTTGTAGTTTCCCAATTGCTATGGCAACTACTGTAGTTGCTATAATAGACATTTAACCTGACTAGATGACCTTGATCCAAAGGGATGCCTTTGATCCAATCGGATGATTTGCAAGCGAGCCGGAGTGAGACTCGTTAAAGATGTGGCACGCTAACGACTAGGATGTTCGCTCATTCTGCTCCCTCGAAACGGCATCGCATATAAGCAATGAGACAGAATGAAAGGAGTCCAACCCCTGAACAATTTGGTATGGCTATATGTCCATGCTTTGAGTCTTTATAACGCCGTAACTGAAGCAAATATATCAAAATGTTTTCTCAATCAGCACAACCGAATTCTGCTTCAAAGTGCTGTAAAACGACGTCATCATCTAGCATGTCAATGGAATGGTTTACTCGATACGGTCTAGCATCCGGCTCTGCACTACCGAGATGCATGGGATTGTTGCGTCCAGGAGCCGGCACTCCGTCTTCAGAGTCAGTTTGAGGATGCTTATTTCTGAATTAAACTTTTTCTATTCGATGCGCTAGAGATGACTCGCGGGTTGTCACCTGACGAGAGCCGATCAAGTGAAGCTCCCGCGATGACTTGTCGTCCGTCGTGGCTGACTCGCCCACGGAGATCTGTTTTTCTACAGAGCTTCTCTTTTGCATTTGTCATGCGTTGGTAATTGTGTCGACTGAAGCATCTCCGGTTCTCAGTTTGAGATGCCAAAATGGAAGTTCACATCTATGATACACGTTCGCATCATTTGAATCAGTTAGATATCCTATCAAATATGCCCCAAAGTGAATGCTTACGTCCCTCAAGACATGGAATCACAGCACATTAGAACACTCGGGAGCGCCTTATTACATCTTCCCTATTAACACTTTAACAATAACGACTATTCAAAATGCCCATTGATGAGAATTCTCACTTCTTTTATAATGGGGACGTCAAGATCCATGACCACCTTTACAGACAAGGCGCAGCATTGGTGTTCGTCCACGGTCATCCAGACAACAAAACGACCTTTTCCAAGCAAATCGATGAGTTCTCCAAAGACCACACTGTCATTCTTCCTACGCTTCGAGGATATCCCCCAAGCGGTGTACCGCTGGAACCCAGACGCCTACGATGGCGATGTTATGGCGGGTGACTTGGTGGCCCTTCTGGATCAATTGAAGATTGAACAAGCAATTTTTGCAGGAGGAGATGTTGGAGGCATTACTGTGCAAAAGTTGGCTTTTCTACATCCCGAGAGGCTATTGGGTCTGGTCATGTTCAATACACCAATTCTCGGCACTATGATGCACCTTATCCACCACGACAAGGAACAACAGCAGCTATCCAAGTATTCACTCAAGTACATCAAGCACAACCCCGGTGACGAGTACGACTTGGACCACGTCGTCGGCGCCATTACGGATCCCGAGTACCGCGCCGAGATTAAAGAGTATCTCAAGAACTCTCCAGAAGGCGGCATGTTTTACTTTTTTTCTCAAGAACTTTCCCGCGCGGCCCCAGGCTGGACACTGGCCGTGGAGAGAAGATGCGCCAAAAGTGAACCGAGAGCTACGGTCATGGCTTGATGCGCTGGAAAGCGGGCAGCTTTGATGGGTTACATGAGGAGAAGCGATGATGAATGGCGTAAAATAATTGGGATCGTTATGAGGATGAAATTACGGGAGCATTGTAAGAGAAAAGCACGTGTTTACGAGGAATACATGGCCAAATAATCTAGGTCCTTATATATGAAATGGCTACAATAACAGTAATTGCACATGTTTTTTCCCTAATTGTAAATGCTCGTTTGGTATATTTTGTGTACGTGAAAGCGCTTTCGGGTATATATTTGGCTTCAGGTAGATATTGTAGCAATATTGATGCGCGCGACCTGGAGCACCACCTCGGGATATTACAAGCAATCACTTCGGAGAACAATTATGTAAAAGAATAAACGTCTTGTAAATGAATACCATATGACTCTAAAATGCTATCGAGCCCGCTGTGCCTTTTCCCATGATATAATTCCTCGCTGTGCGCCCAGAGTTGCATGTACGCCCTCCCCTCTGCATGCCCACCGCCGTCCCGCCAACCGAATGCTCCCCATGGTTTCTGTCTCGATCTGAGAATATTTAAGCAGATGCGGCCTCCTCGAGTCTCTTCTGAGCCAATCCACCCAGCTTCTCAGCGGCGTCACCCAAGCTCCTGGGGTCAGCGCCCTGGATCATGGCCTTGCCGTTGACAGCAACCTGCTGGCCGTCCTTGAAGAACAAGAATGTGGGCATGGCGGTGATGCCATATCGAGCGGCGACGTCTTGGACGTGGTCGACATTGACCTTTCCAAAGGCGAGGTACTTGTCGGCGCTGTGCTTGTCGGCAAGGCCCTGGTAGATGGGGGCGATGGCCTTGCAAGGAGGGCACCAGTCGGCGTAGAAGTCGAGGGCGACGTAAGTGTTTGAGGCGAGGAGAGAGTCGAGCTGCTCGGAGGACTCGATGTGGTGGAGGTTCTCGGCACCCATTGTGAAGTTGTTGTGTGGTTGTTGTTGGTGTTGGTGTTGTTGTTGTTGTGAGGTTGTTGATTGTGTTGTCTTAACGACTCGTCAAGTCTATTCAGAAAGACTCTATATGTAGGCTGATTTGATATATATATAAATCAAGTACCGGAAAGGTGATGAAAGAAGATGAAGAGGGCAGAGGCGACTTTAAAAGTTGGAGTTGTTTTTGTCAGCGATGACCCGGATGGTGCAATGCTGATGAGGGGCGCAATTAAAGAGGCGTGGCGGGGTTGGTTCAGAGAGAGAGAGCGGGCCGCAAATTATCCGCAAGATGCCGCAAATGGGATTTTCTGTTGTTACTGTTTGTTTGCCTTGTTGTGATGAAGAGCGTTGGTGAGTTTATTGTTTGTTGTTTGCTATTGTTGTTGTAGTTGTTGTTGTAGTTGTTGTTGATTGTTGTTTGTTTGTTGGATTGAATAAAGATGATAAAACTTGATCAAGGCAGAGACTGATGCAAATATATAGATGGAATGAGGCCTAAAAGACGCAGCGATGGATCTGTAATGCTCTGTAATAACTCGGCGCCCGATTGACAATTTACGTGCGAATACGTGCGAGCACGAGCGAACTGGTGTGGAATACTTGGTACGAGGTGAGACAAGATGAGAAATTTACAGCGAGATGAGCGGCATCTCCGTGCCGCAGAAGGTACCGCCGCTAGTCTTTTACTATGGAAGAGTACATCAGAAACCACGTAGCCGCTGTAACACCACCCCGAAGCCGCTGGAAACATGAGGATTCTTTGTGGCTGATTTGGAATCCGGCGGTGACGTCATGTGGACCGTTCTGTGGCTCATTCTGTGGCTCGTGCTGCTTTTTGGTCGAGGATGAGAAGCTGAGAAGCTGAGCTTGCACAGCCACATCTCCGACATTCCTTATGTCATCACATTCTGCTGCTTAGTTATCAGACTAAGCTTACACACTCTCTCGCAATCAGTTGCCGAAATGGTGCTGGATGAATAAATAACGAAAGAATCAGAGAAAATAATGAGCTGGCTTTAGGTTTTATATCATCTGGCACCTGCTGACCAAGTCAAAAAATAATGCATCTTTCCAGGCAATTCTCATAAATACTGCACAATCTGCACACTTTATAATTGACTATCGATTTTACTAATCAATTGCTTCATCTTGTCGCCTCGCATTGATTTACCCGAATCTCCCAACACCGAGCATTACAGGTGCGGAAAGAGTCTGCGAACCCGCTTCACAGCTTGGAGCCTCAACCAACCGGCCTCTTCCGCCTTGATTCAACCTTGATTCAACTAGCAATGACTTGCCGAATCTCTCAACCCCTGGCCTTGACTCAATTAGTTGAGCCAACTGACTCTCCTCACGGCAGTACTTTGCGCGCATCTCCAACATGAAACCATCAACATGATCCGATTTTACTCTCTAGACCTGTTCCCTCCTGCAAAGATGAATTAATTTCTCATCAACAGCTCTGCTTAGAAACCAACTTGTTTTGCAAATCCATCACCGCCATCAATATGTCTCAACGAGCAACACTTTGCGACTCCTCCGAAACATCGCCATTGGATACTCTTGTCAATTGCTCCATCTCAAACCCCCAAATCGCCCCCTTGTCAACGTTGACACCGATCTAAACCCACGGGCCATCGGCTCTCGAAACAGGCAACTTGCTGACTCCATCGCGGGCTGTCGCATCTCTTTCACGGCTGAGAATCGCGGCGTTTTTCTTTTGACGCTGTTCGGGTTTCTAATCATGCCGCTTTGATCGCGGACTACTGCACCTCTTTTGATCGTAGCGCTCCGTTCCAGTGGCTGTAGACGGAACGAGCTTCCCCGCAGTGAGGCTGCATTGCGACACATCCTCAATGGATTGCGAATTTCTTAACTCGATGAGGATAGCAGTGCCCTTGTCAAAGTTCCAATAGAGATGATGCTGGAGATGCGCCTTGTTTTAGAGTTACCTGTTTAGAGACGTCATGGGAGCTGCAACATGAGTGTCTTATCTGCTGGGAGAATACACGTATAAAGGGAACCGTTTGCTCCGAATGAGATTCTCTTCATCTCCAAGCTATATCAATATAGTCTTCAAGACATTGCACTTCTCTTTTCATCACTTTATTTAGCAAAAAACACACCATCGAAAATGACCGTCGCCAGCGAGTTTGAAGTTGCCAACCGGCAATATGTTGCTACGTTTGACAAGGCCGACCTGCCTATGCCTCCCGGCCGGTGCGTTTCATCCGGCATTCATTATTTTCTGCATCAGTCCATTTTTCTGCACAGCAATTTGAAGATTCTCATGATTTGCTAATATGAGATGAGATATTCAGAAAGGTGTTTGTCCTGACTTGCATGGACGCTCGTCTGGACCCAGCCAAGTTCCTCGGCCTGGAGGAGGGCCACGCCCACGTCTACCGCAATGCCGGAGGACGAGCTGCCGAGGCGCTGCGCTCCTTGATCATCTCCCAGCAAGCTCTGGGAACCGAAGAAGTCGTCGTTATCCACCACGTATGAATTGTCCTCCCCGAAGCTTTCATGGAGATGTAATTGGCTAGTTGACAAGTTATTTGAACAAGACCGACTGCGGCATGCTCATCATCCACGAGGAGGAATTCCGCAACACTGTCAAGAAGAACACTGGCGAGGATGTCAGCCACGTTTCATTCTTGACCATCAAGGATCTGCAGGAGAGCGTCAAGACCGATGTCGAGCTTCTGAGGAAGAATGCTGCGATCAAGGACGTGCCTATTTCGGGCTACATCTTTGATGTCAAGACGGGCAAGATTAACAAGGTTGATGTTTAAATGCGTGTGCGCGTGGGGGCAAAATAGATTAACACCACTAGTATATCTCATGTTTTATTTTCGAGTTGACATTTTTTTGTTACTTGATCATGGCTGTTGACCAATACATGTCTTTTTCACGACGAAGCTCTCCTTTCGATGTCAGTTGAGGAGTGCACTTGACATGAGCCGTAATACTCCGAGGTCTTCAATTGCTCCTGCAACTTAAACTCAAAGTGACATACGCAACTCCCTTCTGCTGCCATCTTGCAGCATCGCGATTCCCTCATCTAGAATCTGTCCACGTTATGCATATAAATATTTGGCCTCGCGCTCAAACCACCAGACGAAAGGCAGAACACAACACATCACAACAAATCATATTGCAAAGATGTCTGGCCGCGACCGCGAATTCTACTTCTGCTTCAGTTGCCGCAAATCTTTCGCCTCCGCAGAAGCCTACAGGGAGCATGGCTCGGACCCTTCACATTCGTATCTCTGCATTTCTTGCGCTCATCCACGCCGCTTTGCCACGCACGATGAATACGAGGCTCACTTGGAGCACGTCCATGCCTGGTGCCCACGATGCTCTGCTTTCTTCATAGAACGCCAAGACCTCGGAAAGCATGAAGAAAAAACCCATCACAAGTGTTCGCACTGTGAGAGATTCTTCAACTGTACTCTGGATCTGTTAGACGTCTGTTCCGCCTCCCCCCCAACAAAACTCGTTGCCTGGATCAAAGGACTGACATCGACTAGCATCAGCTCATACATGAGGAGCCCACACGTGCCCGGCCATCCTACGGTTGCGTCTTGTGCGGCCGACAGTTTACCACAAACTCCGACATGGTGCTGCATCTAGAGCACCGTGACTGTCCGACAGGCATGGAGCGCTCAATCGTCAACAAATTGGCAAGACACTTCTCCCAATCGTCTGAATACACTAGCGGACGGTTCAATTACAAATGTCCCACTTGCGAGTAGCAGTTCAAAAGCATGGGCATTCTGTTGCAACACGCGGAGAACGACGATTGTGAGGAGGACTTGAACGAGAGGGGGACGCCCCTGGTCATGTTTCTTGCTTTTATGAAGAAGGGCCTCGTTTATATCCTTAACCGGAAGCGTGAGCGTGAGCTTGAGGCTCAACTAGATGATTTCTCTGACGAGTGAATCAGTCACTTGATGGTAGCCAGCATGATTATGGAGAGGATAGGATAAATCATAATACTACTTGGCATTGCGTAGACACCAAAAGATCACTTGTAAAAAAAAGAAACATCTGAAAGTGAGACTGTGTGAATATACTCTTCTATTTTATCGTTGAATGCAAACTCAAATATACAATTGGGCTTCTCTGGCTGGATATGTACCTACATATCCAGTGCTCCTACTCAAGACTTTATTACGATCTTGTGCAGTCACACTTGCTTCAGCTGTGGTAGCATAAATATAGCACACGCCTCTTTCTATGTTTTCCGTAACCACATCGACCATATAAGTACGTCACCTACACATGTTTATCATATCGACGAATACATTCTTGATCCTCGCATGTGTCATGATTATTTTGTCGCCGCTCGTTAGACGTAACCGACTCCAGCGATCTCATCCTACCGCAACATTGCCTATCTCTCCCATCCAAATAAATACCTTTGTTCACAGACGGTCCTTCAAGACATGAATCATAGAAAGCCACCGATGGCGCGGCCATCACAACAGCCAAACACGCAGCAAAGTCGACCGGTCCTTTACAGCATGGCACATAGACCGCCACTACAACAACGAAACATGGAGCAAAGCCAGTCGCCTCTTTACAGCACGGCACTTAGACAGCCATCGGTGGCCCAAGAACAACCACGACAACGACAGCAATTAACCAGAGGACGAAGTCGATGGGCGAGGGTGGAACAAAGTCAGCCGCTATACGAGGACCAGGGTCCATCACCAAACTTGCAGCAAAGCCAACCAACAAACGCAGAAGAGAGTCGGGCAATAAACGTGGCACAAAGCAAACCGATCGACGTGGCACAAAGCAAACCGATCGACGTGGAACAAAGCAAACCGATCAACGTGGAACAAAGTCAACCGATCAACGTGGAGCAAAGCGAACCAGCAAACGTGGAACAAAGCCAACCAGAACAAAGCCAGCCAACAAACGTGGGACAAAGCCAACCGATAGATAAACCCGAACATCGTTGCGACCGCTGTAGAATAAACTTCCCTTCGTCACATAAACTGTGGCAGCATATTCGGGAGTCAAATGTACACTTTGTGTGTGAGATTTGTTACATGCGTGGACACACAGCCGATTTGATGTCGCCCGATTTGCTTGATCGTCATTTATCGAATGCGCACAACTATTGCTACACCTGCAATAAGACCATGCCCTAGGGGGGTGTGCATAACTGCTGTTCTCATTGCGAAGAGTCTTTCTTGGATGAACACCATCTGCAAAGGCACAAAGTTGAAGAGCATCATAAGTGTTTTGATTGCGGAGAATGTCATAAGAGTGCTCAGCTTCTGAAATATGTGAGTCAATCCCAGGAACTCGTGTGTCGAGCGAGTGGGAAATGGAAATGTGTAGGCACATGCAGCTGACTTGATAAATGTCTCTGATTTAGCACTGGTGCACGGAGATATACAAGAAGAAAACGGTCGCCTGCTTTGGATGTTCCGACATGTTTCCCAGCGTCGCCAGGATGATGATGCACCTACATATGGGGAAATGTCAATCCGGATCCTGCTATCAAAGGGTCGAGGCTCACGCAAAGTCGTGGCGCGGGTCAACTGGATTCGGCATCTATATGGAAAATGTCCGGCTGTATGTGTGTCCAACTTGCGGCTACATGCATTCCGCTCTGAGTCCTCTGTTTCGACATGTTGAAAGCCGCGTCTGTGCCGAGAGTTCAAGTACGAGCGGCAACTCGGTCAACTCGTTTCTCACAGACCTGACATCTCACATGAGCCGGCAGGCTTAACTATATATGCCTGGTGGCATAGGTCGATCTTTGGATTCTGCTCAGCGATGCTCATATTTGGCTAACATTGAGCGAAATGTCACTTAAAAAGAAGATATTATAGCATAACTACTATAATACCAGCGATCCATTACATAGCACTACAATTCCTGTCGTTGGTGCTTTGACTATCTGTGCATTTAGGGAGGCTTGGACCTTTCCCCAATCAACGCAATCATCAAGTCCCTGTAGTCTCCATCCGGGAGCTTCTCGTTTAGCTGAGTCTTCATCAGCTTACCATGACTATTCTTCTTGCTCGCGACGTGAAGTCCCTGGAGCCTCTCAATGCCACTCCAATACAATCGAAGAGCCCTGTATGTGAAGGTGCTATAATGCCATGTCGACTGTTCCAGCGTTTTCCACAAGCCGACCACGTCCGATTGCCCGCTATCTGTTACGAAATCGAGGATATGCAAAAGGGCCTCTTCCGTGTAGCCGGAGAATTTTCGTGAGATGTCCTTGTCTAGTTTTCGTCCATATCTCTTGTTGTAAATGCCCCTCATGGCCCGCAACTGGGCGATATTGGCACTCGCCAATATGTCCACGATGGGAGAGACATCGATGCCGGGAGGAGCTTCAATTAGGCAATAAATCTCTGTAGCTTCATGTTCCATCTCAGCGTATATGGCGGGGACTGCATCTTCGGTTCTGGTACCGAATAAGATTGGGCTGTAGAGTTGGAAGAGAGTGTCGTCAACCTTGTTTCTGATAAGCTGGACCAAGTCCTCACCTGAAGTAATCTTGTACTTGTTTACAATGGCACGAATATCAGCGTTAGAGCGACATAGTAGAACGTCGTCTAGTGCTGTTTTGTTAGTAACATCACCGGAGAGGGCTCCCTGCAGAGTATAAACATCAAAGTCGAGGGGGCCCCTAAGGAGAGCCAATAGGGCGACTTGGATGAAGCCCTGGCTTTTTTGTTGGATTTGGTCGGCTAGATGAAGGTTGGTTCGGTTATAGTAGTCTTCCTTCAACCGGTGAAGGGCTCGTGGATCCTGGAATTTGGGATTGGTCAAAACCCTGATGAGTGTCCTATTATAGCGGCCATCTCCTCTCATTGCTGCTTGGAGTCTATTGATATAGGCAGTGGTATCAATGTGCTGCATACAGACGTTTTGACTTTCATCATATCCTGGAGAAGCCGGCGTTGGAAGGATATAGATCTTGTATTGTTGCTCCTCCGAGACTGGAGCGTATCTGGACCGTTGCCGTAGCTGCCATTGTAAATTGGGCTGTGGCTGCTATGGATCATATTGCAAGGGTTAGAATACGTGCCGGCTTAGAAAATGGCGATACTTGGGGAAGTGTGGTCCATCTTACCAAAGTAACATCTGTGTGTGGTGCATCTATGGACCACTGCTGAGTGTATTGCTGCGAATGTTGTAGATATTGCTGGCTACCTGCAGGTTGTTGTCCATACGGAGGCTGTGAAGCATCTTGGGCATATTTGCTAGGCGGTATCGCACCGTAATTAGGAGTTATATGGGTTGGATACAGGTGTGTCGGAAGAGCTGATAAGAAAGGATGAGGGGGGCGATGTTGGGCTACATGCGGAAGCGGCCCAGAGTAATAGTAGGACTGGTTCAGTCCTGGTGTCGAGTTTGGGTTCGGGGGAAGTGAGCTGTTTGGCTATTGCTGTCTCTGGTGACCAGGTGTTTGACCAAATTGTCCGGAATTGTAGTCCATTGCGGGTGGATGAATGATTTTGATGGCCGATGAAGAAGTAGTTGCTTTGTACCATGAAGAGGCAAGTCTGGGACTCCAAGGCCGGAAGTACTGTAATTGCTCTTGCCACACGATCGACTTTGTCGGGCTACACTTGATCTTTATGCACATTTGATACCTTTTTAGAAAGAAGACAAAAGAACAGCTTTGTAGACATTCAGGGTCAGTCTTGGGGCTTTCATGCGGCAGTGCCATTGGGATAGCACCGCGATGTGAGCGTAGCTTCTTTGTTAGATGTAGCCAAAAAGTCTCAACAAAGGTTTGAACAAAGCGATTGAGCCTGTCTCAAGACATCCAATGATATTAAATCGTCTACCAAGACAAAGATATTTGTTATTAGGCGCCCGTCAGCTGACGTTTATCCATGATGTTGCTGTCTTTGTGAGAGGGATCTGGTGAACAGCACGAACAAAGGGTTATTCAGGCCTTTGATGCAACGCAATGGCTTCAAAGAGATGCGTCCCCAGTCAAATGACACGATGGAAATAGTGTGTAACTAGACGCAGTGTGAGATTGGTTTATCGCGAGCGCTGCTTGTTGTATCGCTCGACTTCCATCATGGTCTTGTGAATAAAATGTGCTATATGCATACACACACACACGCACACACATACACACATATATAGACATGACGGAGCGCATTACACAATGCTGTTTCCATTAGTATTCATCAAATACTACACTTACTAAGGCTACCGCCGGCAGTCACTTGACAGATGCCTGAATCTCCGCTAGGGGGTGACATGCCTCACCTAAACATAGATCCAGATTCGGAAGAGCTCATGCAAAGCATATGGGATTCATCATTCGATTGTTTAGAATTATTTTGCTTATGTAACTGGCCAGGACAGATGCCGTCGCCGAGCGCGAAGCGGCAGAGTGGCAGTTTCGGACTTGGATAGACAACTTAAGAGTGTTCATCCAGAGTACCAGCCTGGATACGCAACTATGTGGAGAGAAAAGTGGCCGGATTCGTCAAATGATTATGATTGATTACACGTCTTGAAAAAGAATTTATCTGAAGGTGTGCAGCTTGTTATAATTTACTCTCCTCCATTGGGTTTAACTGACCTGACCATGTTTGTATAGCACTTAGATTACTCTCTTTAGGTTAAAACAAGCCCTTTAATAGAACATCCCCTAATGTCCCTCTTTTTGGCATCAACGGACCTTTAAAACGGTTGGATAAAGCCACCTTCTTCTCCTTTCAAAGGACTCAAGATGGGTTGACCAGGAGAATCAGCCAACGGTCTTTTCTATTGATGTCGGTGGTAACAATACATGACTTGCTAGGACTGTGTCTGCAAGCACTAATAGTCATGGAAATTCCTCCTGCCGATTTCTGGGAATGAGGTAGCGTGATTCCTTGTCCAATATATGTATCTAAGGAGGTGTTTACCGCAGAATTATACAGCTTGATAAAAACAGGAAGTGATTACTCTGCATAATATACTCTCATTCTTCTAATCCAGGAACATTAATGAAAGATAGAAAACACAAGATTACTATTGCTAGCCACTCGAAAATCTATAGTAGCAATTAAAAAATGACAATGGATATAAGTATTTCTGTGTAAGTCACTATTATAAAATCCCGGATGCGATTGAGGGGCAACTTCAATCATGATGTTGTAAGAACATCTACATGTACCTAACGGAAGATATTACCCACCTCGACCATTTCCAAAATACCAAGACTTTAGCTAATATGAGCTTGACAGACTCCAGATACCGTCAACGGTTAACACAAGTAACCATCAGGTCCTTGTTTTTATTTTCCATTGGCGTTTATTGCTAAGCTTGGTTTCATACTTTTGCTTTGGTGGCGAACCATGCACCTTAACGTACATATGCTTCAGAGACAAACCGTAGAGGCTCAGAGAGTAGTTCAAATGTAGGTAGACGGATAGGTTAAGCTGCATAACTGGGCAATTTGTTTTATTATGTACACAATTGGTAGAAAGTATAGAATGGTTTCAATCTGAACGTTGGGTTTACAACTAGTCCTGTAACCATTTGAAACGTGCATGAGAGAGTGTATATATAATGCGACTTTCACGACATGATAAACACTAATATTGAAGCGTTGACAAAACATTGTGTCCAGTGGATGTCCCTTGCTGGTATGTTGCTGCTTTTTCCTCGCGAATCAGATCAAAGCCCATGAGATACACCTCGTCATTGTTATCACGGGATACCACTTCCCCTGGGCGTGCATTCTGTGAACGGACAACTACAACGCTCGATGAAGTGATATTGTTTCTTTGAAGAAATCTCGTGGTGTGGAGAACAAAGACGGCTTCCGCGATTTTGTAACTGATTGTGAAGCAGTGGTTAAGAGAATATGATACAGCAGGGAAAGGATCCAGTTCGATTGACTTTGCCAATTTCATCATTGAGGAAATGTAGCTTGGTGATACATGTACAAATAAGAGACGATGGAGTCTTGGATCGTACAAGTATTCTTTCACGCCTAGAAGAGAGACATCGGTGGTCGCTGGATTTAGGCAGCTTAATGGAGCAGACAGCTCGCCCATTTCAGTCTGCATGGCTTTAAATTCCGGTGTTCCTACAAGAACGTCGTTGGAAACCCTTCTGCTTGATAATATGAGCTGTTCGCCGTTATGCTGTAGAGGTAGAGTAGACACATCTCCTGCGGCTTCAACCTCAAAGAGAAGATCACCAGGAGTCTAAAGCAATAGCTGACCCGCTTAAATCTCCTCGGCAGCCGAGTTTAGCGCCAGGAAGCTTTGGGGCCTACCATTGGATTCGACTCTCGGAGGCGCTCCCAAAACCTGTTCGGGTTCGGCTTGCATAAGTGTATGTTGTATCACCTCCTTCGGAAGGCCTAGAAAGCGTACTCGGAGTCGCTCCAACCTATGAAAAGTTTTTCGTTCCTGGTGCCTCTGTATTAGATCTATCAGATCTCTCTTCTCGGCATTCTTAAAACCCTGACCATTGTGGAAGTCAAAAAGCTATTCTATCACTCCTTCTGAGGCCCTGTAGCGCATAAAGGGCAAGGCTACCGATATAGCTGGTGGCCCAGTCCAATAGTACCCGGTAATAGTCAGCTAAACACCTCCATTATTTAGTTTCCGCAAGCCAAAAGCTCCTAAATTCCGTTCTAAACGATTCGTCAATGACCTTGTATCACTAGATAAGGCGTTACAAGCCTCCAGAAACTTGATAGGGTTTCGGTTTCTTACAGAGATGGTCTGGGTGAACGTGTCCGTAGAAGCTCCCCGCTTCCTGGGGAACATCGTCTGATGATTTATCCTGCGAAAGTTGATTGGAACTGCTAAGCGAGCGCTTTTGAATACGAACTACTGTCGGTGAGTAAAGGGCACGTCTGTTGGACGCATTTCAGACCATAAAGATACTGCCTGCCTTGATATTGAGGGCGTACAGGCTGCTCTTATCCGCGTTGTAGATTAATGACTCAAATCTCGGCGACTATCTGGCCATTCAGCAGCAAGAACAGAAGAATAATACACAGCCACATCAATGAAGCACTGCATGGGTATTAATGGTGCATGCTCGAGGAGCGTAACGCGGAGCGTAACGCGGAGCGTGCCCACCAATAGATATGGCTAGGGGGTCGGGAATGTGATGCAACTATAACTTGTGTAACTTCCCTGCCGCAATTCTCACTGCCCACCTTGTTGCCTAGGATTTTGAGGCCCTCGATGTTGTGTAGAGATGAAAATTCCCGTTTCAAATAGTTTGTTGAAGCTCATGGCTATCAGTAAGCCCATCAACTAAGTCACGGTTATAATCTCAGAAGGCGACGGTGTTGTATATGAAATAGCAAATAGGCAACGAGCGATTGCTGAATAAAGTCTCAGTAACTAGATGGGTAGCTATCAAAATACAAGTGAGAATAGTAGTCGAATTTCCTCGGGCAGCTATAGATGACCCAGACTACCAGTGCCCACTACCCAGATGACTACCACCCGTTGGGAACCACGTAGGTAATTTGTTTACCTCGGTTGTCAGTCTCTGCGATTTGCTTGTAGCCCTTTAAATCATTTTCATCAAGATCAAGCTCTTCAATCTCGTCAAAAGCAATCTCCGGTTCCTCTTCCTCTTGTCCTTTGCTGTCCACGCCAACGAGTTCAGCACCGTCGTTATATGGCTTGTTAACCCACTCTCTGGGACCAAAAAGCCCCATTCTCTTCTTGTACCGCAGTTTCTGAACTCTGATTGCAAAGATGTAGTCGTTATGCTCTCTGTATTGCTGAGTAATAGTTAAGCTCCTGGATCCCGTTATCCTCGGCCCGATCGAGGCAATAGTTGGGATATTGACCCCCAAGCCCAGAGTTCCCCCCATACTCGTCATCCTTGTGGCTTCAAATGTTGGCTCAGAGCCTTCTTCAGTTTGAACTCTGCCAACCTTGATGCCTGTGATGTAGAAGACGGGGCGATAGTTCGACTTCTTTAAGAAGGTCTGTACTTCTTCAGCTTGGCCGGCATCATTATAGTCCTTCTGTGTGGGTTCGAAGTCGGTAGTATCTATGGCCCTGAAGTTGTGCCTTTCAAAATTGCCGCGGGCGCCATTGACTTGACCTTCAAGTCCAATGCCCCCAAGAGCGGCAACCCTGAGTTCAACACCGGCATCCCCATTCAGCGCAGCATCCGTTGTAACATCGGCATTGGTTTGAGAGTAGTGATTGAGACGTTCCTCGTCAATCTTGGGCTCTTTCCCGGCATTGAGCCTGGTCACCCCTTGGATGCCGGTGATGATCGTCCCGAGCCGTAGTCGATTGACGGCAACCCGTTGCTCGACTTTGTGGTATACATAAGCACTTGTAACCATGGTAACAATATAGCGTGTTATTTCCAATGGCAAAAGATAGCTTCGACTTCTTGGACGACTTTACTGGGAGGGCTCTGTTTTTCCCGGAGTTCTCGAAGAAGGATGAGTTTAAGGGGCGCGGGGATTGGGAACATATACTGCTCATATATATAATCTGTGGCACACCCTAACTTCGTTAGGCACTGCTGCATAACAACGGCGATTTGGTCGTGTGTGTAGCATCGACTGGCTATTGGTTCTTGCTCTCTGTATGTACTCTACATTCTGTCACACACACAGCCGTGTTAATATTCAACCAACGGCAAGGTAATGAAATCAATACCGCTTCCAGCACCGTTCATTGTGCCCCCAAGTCTGCTGAATTATTCTGGTGATTGAGTCTCATCTCGAACCAGACACTTGAATCACCCTCAACGGTGTATTGGCGACTTTAAACACATATCAGCCTGTCCATGCCTTCAAAGTTCTCCGGTCTCCGGAAGCCCCTCGCCAATATGGTCTCAGGACCGAGGAAAGTTCTACGGCGGCTCTTCGGGGCGAAACAAAAGGGCAATATAGTCCAACCTCCAGAAGCAGACACACCAGACTTAGCCGCCATTCCGCAAAGCTACGACATCAACGAAATCGGGAGAATATCCGAGGGCAGCCCAGAACCATCTATAGATCGTGAAGTGGACTATGAAGCTTCAGAGAGTGCTATGGGTGTTGTTCAACCGAGCTCTCAGGAAGACCGAAATGATCCCAGCGACCTAAGCGAGGTTAAAAGCGTACTGCTTGGTTCGACCGAAAAACTTGGGAAGACTGATATGCTGTTGGCTAGAGCCTATTTCGAAGAAATCGGCTATGAAAACGTTGCTGAGGCGTCCAAGAAGCATATGGAAAGCCGCGATGAAGAGATACAAATGAAACTAGGACGTGACGGGCAAACACAATCATGGAGCAATGAAGAAGTCTTTTCCATCGCTCAAAAAGTCTTGACAGTCCACGAGGCTCTCGTTAATAATGTACTGCAGACCGAGATAGGCGCTTCTTTGGAGCCAGAATTTTCGACCGACGATCTGGTTGAATTTAGGCTACACAGCGGCGAGTTACTAAAACCAAGGATTCGGAAATATTTAGAGGCCATGTTCGCGGCTTTCGCTTTACAGCTAGACTGCTGCAAAGTGAATCACTTCATGCGGTTAAAGTTGACAGGCTTTGTGGATCAGGTTGATCATGAAAAGCCGACTTTCTTTGATCTGTACCTGTCAAGTGGACATGATTGTACGCGGTCTTACTGGGTAGAGAGTAGATGTACATTTACAAGGCTAGTATGCTACTTTGTCGGTAATATGACATTTCAGCTGACACATTGGATAGAGAATTAACTCAGGGAGAAGTTACAGACTGTACTTTGATCAAGAAGTCTATACTTGATAAGAGAAAACTGGATGTCTTGCTCAAAGAGACTTATAACCAAAACCACAACACACAAAATACTTCGGCAATGAAAAGCACCCAAGAGAATTCACGCCCCTTACAGTTAAACGTTTCTGAGGAGCTCAGCTCGTTAGCCACGCCGATAGTATCGCTAGCAAGCCTAATGAAGCAATATGCGTCTTCCGACCATATCCGACGTGTCTGGAACGCTGAGCCATTCTCGCCAAATGAAAGAGACTGGCTTTGCCTAAACCTGTCTCTGTCGTTGTTTCACATGTCTAGTCGCAATTGGAACAGGGCGACATGGTACTCTGATGATCCTAACACAGAAATTGGAATATTCTTTCTCAGGGATCCCAGTACTCAGGAGATTGTAGATAAGACACGGCCATATATGTCATGGCGCCTCCAAGAGGAGTCTGAGGTTCTTCAAAGGACTGCAAAGGGCCTTGTCTATGATACCCAACTTTTGAGCTTTGCTAAGCTATTGATTGAGGTACACACATGGAGAAAGCTTGATCTCACCCCTGAACCAAAGTCCGAAGAAGAACTTCGCTCCCGTCTCCGGAAGTATATTGACGCCAACATCAATTCACCCAGGGACCTCAAGCTCATTTCTGCTCTCAAAGCCTGCCTGGGCCATGTCGGGCGTATTGACGCTACTGCAGAGGACAAGCCGGAACGAATTCAGATGTATGTTTTCAAAAACATAGTAACACCATTGCATGAGTATCTGGGCACTCCCAATCTGCCAAAATCCACATTGGCGGCAATGCCCCCGTATGATCAAGCTGTGTTAGACGGTTCAAATGAGTCGACAAATGACACGCCTATATATGACACCCGTATTAATGACGGCAAGCATGAAGAAAAAAGGTAAGTCCTATAGTCCTTAATCCCCCAAAGGTGAGGATCTTTTTTTTCACGTAGATTCACTAATACTTGAACAGTCCATATGAAAAGCAAGAATTCTGGAACAAAATGGAGATATTCATTAAGAACTACATCAGCCCTCTAGCACTGTCGGATGATGTTAAACCATGGCCCGAAAAGAAAGTCCGGATAGCAGTTATTGATAGTGGTGTCAAGGAGGAAGACGCAGAAATCGCGGCAGCAGCAATTACTGAACGTATTCGAGGCTATCGGAACTTCACTTCTCCAGATATAAACAACTGTGAAGATCAAATCGATCACGGGACTAGGGTCGCCCGCCTCTTGCTTACTGTAGCACCGGAAGCCGAGCTCTACATTGCAAAGGTGACAGATGCGACGAGAATACCGAAGAATCAGCTCCATCGCATCGCTGAGGTAGGACTCCGCACCCTTTGTTTGATGTTAAAGACTCATGTGTTTAACGGCCCTCTGATGGGCTTTAGCCCCCCCCCCCCCCCCTTTAAAAAAAAAAACGGCTTGCACCTGTGACGATGGGATTATGGGATAATACCGGTCTATCATTCACAGGCGGTTTTCAAATTCCTTGTGAACAGTTTGCTAACTAAGAAGCAGGCCATTAAATGGGCTGTACTGGAATGGGACGTCGATATCATCTCAATATCTCTAGCACTCTACGATGAACATTATGATATTAATGAGGAGATCACCGAGGCACTTTCGCCTTCGTCTCAAGATGCGAAGCGCAAGCTCGTGTTCGCCGCCGCCGGGAACCGAGGGCCTTTTGAACGACGAGCATTTCCGGCCAGAAACAAAGGAGTCATCGCCGTCCATGCCACAGACTGGAGCGGCGGGGGGGCGAAGTTCAATCCGAACCCCGAGGGCGAATTAAATCTCTCGACTCTTGGCGAAAATATCAAGATACGATGGCCGGATCCCGACAACCATGGTGAAATGGGGGACGCCTACATATCTGGCTCGTCATTCGCAACACCAATTGCAGCCGGGATTGCTGCAAACGTCCTTGAATTTGCGAGATATAGGTTGAAATTGAATGGCTGGAAGAAAGATGTGATTTACTCGCACCCTGGTATGATGAAAATTCTAAAGGCAATGTCTTGTCGGAGGGAAGGGTATGACTTCGTGCATCCATTGTTTCTCTGGAAAGAAGCGTTTCAAGGTTCCATTTGGAGATTACCGTATAATGATCCGCAGAACATTTGTGAAATATTGACCAAGATCATTAGTTCTTGAATACTTGGTTAGATTGTACGACTATCAAGGTGTATGAACAATATTGAACTCCTCCTAGGTACCTACAAAGTGCTCTCACTCTAGAAATTATGTAGCCTCCTGTGCCAATGACACACATACAATAACGATAATTGCTCTTTGCAATCAAGCAGCGGGCAACTACATGTACATTGAGATCAGCACATGACGTGTTATTAAGCGAGAGAATGGTAGCACAAGCCAGCCCCGTGCGATTTAGGCAAAGCCTTCTCAAAATCCATAGCCAAGGTTCAATTTCTCCCAGTCATCATCCACAGCTCCAGCTATCAATTACCTCACGTTAGCCTAAATATGGACCTGGTCTCGAAAAAACCCACGCAAAGCATTTCGGATGCTTCGCAAAAAGGTGTATCTTTGTTTCGGTCATGTTCTTTGCGCACTACGCATGCCGTCATCGAGTTCCAAGAGATGGAGCGGCTGTTCAGAGCTTGGACAGAAAGGTTGAGTGTCTTCAGCCAGAGTGCCAGTCTCGATATGCGGCTGCGCGCAGAGAAATATGATAAATTCCGTCCGATAGTTATGGATTACCTAGACGTTTTGAACGTAAACCTATCTCTCGGTATGCGAGTTATTGTAACACAGTCTCTCGCGTCCGTCTCAGCTAATTTTACCGATGTATAGCACACAAAATAGTCTCTTCGAATAAAAACGAGCAAATCGTCAAACAATCCCTTGAAATCCTCCTATTCTCTATCGGAAAGTCTTTGGAACGTTTGGATTGGGCCGCTTCTGCCATCGGTCAAGCGTCCCAAGGCAAGTTGATCAACAGAACCATCGTCTTCGCAAGGAAGCATGACGACTTCAAGAGGCTCACCAGAATGTTCTCCTTGGTAATCCTTTGGCGATACGCACCGAAAGATCAGTTGGGTAATATGCCTCTGAAATCCTTGGAAGCTCTCATACCTTCGGAGAAGAAGATTCTGCAGCGACATCCTAAGGGCTTGTTTCTAGCCCTCATCAAGACTTCCATCGTCCGACACTTTGGAATATTATACGAGCGCAATAGAAGAGACAAAGAGAACAAGGGACTGGCAGCGCTAGCCATGAGATCGCCGAAACCGCAAGGTTCCACTCCAGCGGATGGCGATACTATCACTGCGCAGTATAAATCTCCCCAGCCGAATCAACCAGCACCCGGCGAGGCAAATCAGGCGGCCAAACGAGACGACGAGGCACGATCAGAGAATCAGCTAACGGTACTATCGATTGACGTAGACCGCTACAATACGGGACGCCCTACTTCTGACGAGAAACCCGCTCCCCTTGTCTCTGAGGCTGGCGGGGCGTCATTTCCTAGAGCACCCAAGATCCCGAACGGACAGACAAAGGGCACTTGTCCAATATGCAAGCAGGAGTTTCCTGCAGAAGAGTTGCAGGGAGCTAAGTGGATGTGAGTTCCTACCTGGCAGAGATCAATAACGAGAAATTTCATGCTGACTTCAACAGAGCTCACGCCACTAAGGATATCAAGCCCTATGTCTGCATATTTGGGGACTGCATGTCGGGTATTCAATTCTTCGAGCGCCGCAGAGATTGGATTTACCATATGCATGAATTTCACTCGTCTATTTGGATCCCACCCATGCTTGACCTATGGAGATGGGAGTGCTCTTTGTGTTGTTCGGACTCTGATACGGAATTTATTTTTGAAGAAGGAGTGAAAACGAGCTTTATGGAGCACCTTGAGCAGTCACATCCTGATACTGATACGGAGTCGCGGCAAGGCTTGGTCAATAATTGTGCGGTGCCTCACTTTCGGTCCCCGGATCATTGTCCAATTTGTGGAACTCTTCACCAACCGGCTATCCCACTTGAACCCCAATCAGAGACGGCATCTAATTCAGGGGCTAAGGAGACTGAGAAAGCTGCTCAATCCCAGCATAAGCCCAAAGTGAGATTTGCTGCGCCAGAAAGGCCGACTGGTGAAGATGAACGGTGCCCAGCAGAGAGTTCGTCGTTAGACCCGCAGGACTGGCGCTCGACCCGAGCAACAGGTGACCAGGGAGTCGAAAATTGCATTGCCGAGCATCTAAGAGAACTGGCTCTCTATTTTTCAGACCGCCTCAACGACGACGATGACCAACGAGACTCCGACATATCATCAGGTAGAAGTTTAGTCAGTGATTGGTTCGACGTCGAAAGTTTGCCGCAATAAGGCCTCGGAGATGACGACCCAAGGCCTCCCTCATATATAGGCGATGAAATAGACCGGTTTCCCGTTCCGGATGAAGAAAAGGTCGAGATAAGGGAATGCATAGCCAGAAACCTCCGAGAACTTTGTGAGAAACGCGACGAGCAAACCAACTGGAACTTCAATTGGGTCGATGGCCATCGAATTGCTGAGCCAAACATGTCCGATGAGGAACGAGAAAGATTGTTTCCAGAGAATGACCATCCGGGCAACGACGATGGCTTACAGTCTAGGGCCTCGGAAATTCAAGAGCTTGACGATCCTGAGGTTAAAACAACTGCTGAGCCAAAGGTGTCCGATGAGAAACGAGAGAGTTTGTTCCCAGACGATGGCCACCCGGGAAACGGCCATTACTCATGGTCAGAACTCGACTCTCGTGAGATCAAAAACACTAACAAGCTTCCCTTGGGGGTTGCAAAAGACCTCAAATGCCAGCGTGATAGCCCCAGGCGCAAATGGTTCCAAACGTTGCTGGAAAAAGCCGCCAATGTAAACATTCGAGGTGATGCGGGCAATCGTTCACGCGGTAACCAAGATGAGAACAAAATTAGGTCAAAGTTCCTGTCGCGTACTAAGAAAAGAGCACGATGAGAGCCAGGTGCATCGCTGATGGCAGAGATTCAGTACCTGACATCAATCAGATGGCAGAACACTGCTCCGGAAAATGAAGCATTTTGGCAAGTATGTCGATGTTGATGCAAGATGGAAGCTATGGAAAGCGTTTGGAATTCTATGGTAGCTACTAGTAGGTATTAGTTAGGTCCTAGGTAGGTCTAGTTTACTAAAGTCTACATGATACTGCTCAATACTCAAGTTCGCAAGGAAGCCCTGCCGGGATATATCACGAAAACTGGAAGATGGAAGTTCTGTATATCAGCTACCAGGTAATCCAAACAACTGATTTGACAAAATATCTGTCACCTTTGCTTTGCAAAAAAACGACGAAAAAGAAAAAAGCACTTCAGTAGCCAGAGAATATCATTGGACCTATATCATCGCGATCCTCTCATGGCTCAGCGTCGAGTATAAGGATTGCTAGCCCACCGGCTTCAACAATGCACATAAGGTACCTGTAATAACGTCAACCCTACAGGTAGGTATCTGTTCACGTATTGCATCTTAGTACCAGGTATCTTTGCGGCTGAGTAATGCTGTCTGTCACAAGAAGACTGAAACCCTTCAATCCATATCAATCTCTGGTTTCCTGACAGGCGGCTTTTCCGGCCGGTCTGAGGGCCGTTTCTGGAGAATACTTGAAACACGCTCTCCTTCTCCTGGTACCCGCATTTGGGGGGGCGCTGCCCCGGTTCTGGCGCCAACAGACTGGGTAAAGAAACAAAAAAGGGATCCATGGCGGGAAAAAGTAGAGAAAGAAAGGGAAATTCTAGAAGCTGACGACGATGGATTGACTCGCGATGGGGGTGATGGGGGTGGAGGAGCTGCACTGTGGCTGTGTTGCATGTGCATTTGATTACATCTAATAGTTGATGCTGCTGCAGAATAAATGACTTGCACAGCCTGAACTGTACGTAGATATATTTGGTCAAGACACGTAAGATTTTACGAGTTACCACACGATACTAGGAATTCTAATTCAACAGAAGATACAGCACTCTATTCATGACAGCCCATGCTTAGCAGCCCGGCACGGCTCAGCGGCAGCCTCACAGACACAAATACGGGCTTGTCCTGTCCTCATCAAATCTTGCCGCCACACACCTGAAGCACGCACTTTGGCATCTGCCCTTTGCGCCGGGCAGCGAAATTGCGCCGGGTCTGAGATACTGACAATCTACTAGGTAGACAGCAGGAGAGATACGCATGGGCGTCAGGTATGTACGAGTACAGCACAGTATATCTCGCCTGCAGATCAAGCCGAGATGGCCAAGACGCGACGGACTGAAAAATTGAAGGGCAGCAGCAGGAAAAAGGAGAGCCCCAGCCAACCAGCCATGGAGCCTTGAGAGCCAAGTGTCAGTCGGTGCCGTCAAAAATGCCATGAGGACGGGAGGCAAGGACTGGAGGCGGACGAGAGGGGAAGGTGGAGGACGATGGGGGGGGATGATCGCTGACGATCTGCAATACGAGGGTTTTTGACATTGATGCTTTGCATTTTTGAATTACAGTAGGTATTGATTTCAATGGTTCACGGATTGAAAAACAAAGGCCGTCCTTCTTTGTCCAGCTGTTGTATTACTAGTACCAAAGTACCAAGGTAGGCATCATCTGGACATTGGATCAATGGTTTGACGCAAAAGCATAAAATCTCTCCCATGGCATTGATGGCATTCTCGTCCAGTCATTGGTTTCAAAAGATGCTCCTCATGGACGAATCGAAATCCCTGATCGGCGGCCCCCCAGACGTCATGTTTCAACGCAATCCACGCCCCCTCGTATTCTTGTCCGCGATTCGTATCAAGAGCAAATGGAAGCAAAAGAAAAAAAGAAGAAAAAAAAGACGCGCAACACACCCTCCGTCCCATCCATTCCACTCCGTTTGCCACTCCCAGTTCCAGCGGGCATCTTTTTATAGTGCCTGATCCATTGAATAGGTCCCAGCCATTAGTGCCTGGCCCTTGTTAGCGGGCCCTCCCAGGTACCTAGTAGGGGTGTGTAGGGCAGCCCCAGCGCGGCCCAGAAGCCCCAGAAGCCCCAGAAGCCCCCCAACAGCCCCTGAGCGAGCGACTCTCCGCACTGAACCCGGGCCAATTAGCGGTTGAGCGGCGCAAGGGGCGGTGCGACGCCAGAGAACCGGCGAGAACCCCTGGCTGGCCAACATGTACAAGTTTCGCGCCTAAACGGGAGGTCACTGCCAGATTGAGTGATTGTATTGATGCAAAAGTGCACGCTTTTCCCGCCACCTCAACAAAGTAGCCAGTCTTTTGTTGTTCTGGTGTGTTCGTTTTGAAGATCCTTTGTTGTTTTTTTCTTTCAAAAAGCTTCTCATTTCCCTGCTAGCTTTCTGCCTGTCTGTCGTTTCCATATCTTTGCCATCATCCAGCACCGTGTCTCTTTCTTGGACCATCAATCACTCGTTTTCTGTCACTTTGGGCTGGCCCTGCTCCAAACAACATTGCAAGTTCTCTCGTTTTTCCCGCGTCGACTTGGAGATTGAAATCAACCTCCCATTTGGCGATTTCGAAATATCCATCTGGTCAAAACCTCCACATTCAAACGCGCTCCGTTCTCGCAACTACTGCAACTAGATCCAGGACTAGGATCCAGGACCACGACCTAGCGACTTCACCATCCATCTTCGGGATAGGTGCTGCCATTTAGCCAGGGGCCGGTCCAATCCATCCCGTTGCCGTTGGCACAAGTTGATCCCGTATAAGCAGCGCATCCCGGGCTCACGTGGCTGCGTTTGATTCTCGACTGATTTTTGCTTATTTTACTCAATTCGCCGTTGCTGTGCTGTTCTCTTGTGACTGAGCATTGAGCGTTGGGTCTGAACACTGGTTCTGCAACTATCCTCATATTTTTTTTTTTGGACATCCGACACGACAACAACCATGAACTTTACGCGCAAAATCGACCGCGCCATGCAGTGGGCTGGCGAGAAGATGGGCGCCGAGGCCAAGGCCACTCACACCGACGAGTTCAAAGAGCTCGAGTCCGAGATGGACATTAGACATGATGGTTTGTCTCGCCCTCGTTTCCAGCGACTCAATTGGCTTCTCTAACCACCGTACAGGCATGGAGCGTCTCCTCAAATCCATGAACATCTACACCCGGTGGCTCTCGCGCCATTGCGACGCCCTCGAGGACAGAAACCGCAGCATCCCGCTTGCTCACCTCGGCCGGACCATGTCTGCTCACGCGGCCGAGCTGCCCGATACCGAGTACAGTCGCCGTCTCGCCTCCATGGGCAATGCCAACGAGCAGCTCGCCGAGCTTCAGACCACATATCTGGACTGTGCCAATGCCACCTGGCAGACGCACATTGAGCAGAACCTGAGCATGATGAAGGAATATCAGGTAAGAGATTCAATTTGCGAGTAATCTCCTGGGCCAATTACTTACATCACCCCCCCGACAGGCCGCTCGCAAGAAGCTCGAAAGCCGCCGACTCGCCTACGACGCCACCATGGGCAAGATGCAAAAGGCCAAGAAGGACGACATTCGCCTCGAAGAAGAGCTGCGCGTCAACAAGACCAAGTTTGACGACAGCACCGAAGACGTTTTCCAGCGCATGTCGGACATCAGAGAGGCCGAGCAAGACACAATCGGTGCCCTGACGTCGTTTCTCGATGCCGAGCTGGAATATCACGAACGCGCTGCCAACGAACTGCGCCGCATCCGAAAGGCGTGGGCGGCTGGTGGTTCCGAGCCCAGCTATTCGCCTACGCAGAGAGGAAGACCTGATATGGATCGCCTCTACACCAACGTGCCGGTCCGGTCACAGTCTGTCCGACACAGCGTCATCAACGAGGCATACGAGGACGCTCCCCCGCAGCCCGTTGCCAGACTCACTCGCACCATGACGTCGCGAGAGCCTCCTCCTCCCCCGCCTCCCCCGGCTTCAAGCAGACCCCCCATCCTGAGATCGGCCACCTTTGATTCCCGACAACCGCCCGTGATCCGCGCCAGAGCCGCGTCGACTTCGTTTTCCAGGGCACCGGCGCCCAGCGTCCCTGAAAGCAGAAGCGAAGACATCTTTGACGACAACTCCATCTACAGCGGGAACAACACCCCGAGCTGGGGGGAGCGCAGCGTCAGCCCGGCCACGAGCTACGGCAGCTTCAACGTGAACCAGATGCCGGTAGAGTCCAAGAAAGCACCGCCTCCTCCTGTGAACCGCGCCAAGAAGCCTCCGCCTCCCCCCATCCCCCGGAAGATGTCCACCCCGGGATATTGAGGACGGGCTCAGCAACCATAAGCGATGCTTTTTCTTTTCCTTTTTTTGTTATTCATTCCGGGTTTGGGATAAGCGGCGTTGGTGTTTTTGCTCGAAACAATCTTGTAACGAAGTGAAATGACGGGAGTGAGGATTTGTTACATCTTCTTGGCTTGATACGGGCTAGGTTTCATTGGTAGCGTCATTGTTTGGAGATGCTCTCGAATTGGCGAGGGAAAGTTGGACGAAAGAAGAAAAAAAACTTGAACCTAGACTGGGGCGGTGATGCATTGCGTCTTTGGTGTATATATACGCGTTCACTGCCAAGGAGCGATGCACAGGCCAAGGCGTTGTTTGATCATACAGAAATTGACAGCAATAAGAGTCTATTGCCATGAATTTGCGCAGATTGCCATCGTGAGATTTTTGTAGAGACTGCACGGTGACTGCAGTTGACGCTCAACAAGATATCTGAGCATACAGTATGAATAAACCATAATACACACCGTATTGCACGTGCTGCAGCTTGCCTAAGCTTTTATCTCTAATCTGTGGCTTCGTGATGGTAATTGAACCTTTTGCTATTCACACTTCACAGGCCGCAACTCCGTTTGGGGCTCACACGTCCGTCCAGGCAGGAGGCTTCTTTTCTCTATTCTCCCTTGATATTATTGCGCATACTCTTCCATCCGCCTCCTCACCAGCATGGCAACCGAAGACGAGAGATACCGGCAGTCGAGCCAGTTCCGCCTCTGGTCCTTTTCGCCAACCAGCCTGCGAGAGCTTCGCGTCAAGACAAACGACCTCGCCAAGCAGCAAATCTCGCCGCGATTCGCCGCAGATGCCCAGCCCGAGTTCCTGACGCCCGCCGAGGAGACAATGCTCGTGCAGTTCTTCACCACGGAGCTTATCCGCGCCGCCCAGTTCTGCGAGCTCCCGACCGAGATTCGATCCACGGCCGCCGTCTTCTTTCGCAGATTCTACATTACAAACTCCGTCATGACGTATCCCCCCACGGAGCTGCTCAAGACGTCGCTGTTCTTCGGGTGCAAGGCCGAGGGATACTACATTCGGCTGGCCAAGCTGGCCGAGATGTTTCCCAACACGACGAGCGAGCAGATCCTGGCGGGCGAGTTCTTGCTCTGCCAGGGCATTCGGTTCGCGTTTGACGTGCGGCATCCGTTTAGGGCGCTGGAGGGAGCCATACTGGAGCTGAGGAAGCGTCTCCCAGAGGAAGAGGGCAGGGTGGCCAAGGCCCACGCGATGGCTCGAGATATTCTCAAGTTCAGCCCCTTGCTAACCGACGCCTACTTTCACTACACGCCAAGTCAAATCATGATGGCAGCTCTTCTGATGGTGGACAAGGAGCTGGTTGACCTGCTGATTCCCGTTGCTCCGCCTGGAGACGATGGCCAGCATGAGGCGTCACATGCGGAAATGCGAGAAAAGATATTCAAGACGATTGAGAGCTGCCGCTCCATGCTGGAAAAGGAACCTCCACAGAGAATGAAGGACCACTGGGAAACGGTAAGCGCCGACCTTGTCACCCTTCTTTTGCCATCATTGCAGCAATCTAACAAGTACAATAGCCGGACCTCGTCAAGTCTATGAAACCCCTTCGAAAGAAGCTGCAAAAGTGCAGAGATACCGACAGAGCAGATCTAGTAGCGCTCCAGCGAGCAAGACGCGAACAAGCCACGACAAAAGTCAAGAAGCCGACACCACAGAGCGACGGAGCAGTCTTTGGAGATGCTGTCGAAGCAAGGGACCCGAAGCGGAGAAAGTTGGAGGCTGCCAACGATTTGTTTGGCCCGGCGCTATGAGCAGCATCAGACTGGATTTCTACGATATGCAATATTCACGACGCACCCAAGAGCGCTCTTTGCATCAAAGCGAGGTTGCTCACGATTCCTACCACACTGTCCGAAACAGAAAAGAAGAAGAAGACGGCGGAGAGCTACCCAGGGCGTAATCACGCTTGGCAATGATGGGTAGCATCTCCCCCGAAAATGTGATTATGCAACTCTAATGAGGATGGTGCCCTTGTTAGTGCGCAACGTTCCACTTTGTCGGAGGGTTGAGATGCACCCCAGATGCGTTGTCAAGGCTGGAGCCGCACGACGGAAAGCTGGCTGTGTCGACACGGAAAATGGAATCCTGGCGTGCCATCCGTGACGCCGCATTATCATGCAGCTCAGCATGTAGCTCAGCATGTAGCCCGAGTTATCAGATGGTAAACAAGTCAACCATCCTTGCGGACCATCAGGGCGAGCCAACCTGAATCTGGCCTCAGTACCGCAAGACTGTCTGTCATGGCGTGTCTTGGTGCTGGCATTGTGGTGTAATACCTAATCGTATAAGTAATCAACAACTCTTTGGGATTCGGGCCTTTCTCTTTCAAGCTCGAATCTAAACCGAGCTTGATATCTTGGGAGCCTAGGTTGCGTCATGAATCACCAATCCCGCTTGCCCGAGCTATGTGAAGAATGGGCTTGAGGAGGGCGAGGGGAGTGTTGGGGAGGGTAGAAAGTAATATTCCGATACATTCGGAGGATTAACGGCACACGCCACACAACACGTGCACGAGCGGCAAATCACTCTTGGCAGATTTCTCACTCCATCAGATCATAATTGTTGGGCATACGGCCGTCTTGATGGAGCGATTCTATACGAGGCGGGCGCCCGGCGGCCCAAGCGGCAGTGCCTGGATTGCTAATAGACCGCTTTTGTGGATGGAGGACAGCGAACAACAGGTAGAGAGGCTTACAAAGAGACGGTCAGTTATAGAAACTCTCAATCCAGGGCGTCGGTGCCAGCCGTGATCCCCGGAAGTTGTGGTGCATGGAAGTGTGGTTTTTCACCTAGCTCTCTAGCTGCTAATGGTAAGCTTGACCGAGGAATCCGTGGGGAAAAGGAAGACTAGAAGCCCATGGCAAGTATCGAATAGATTGTTCGGCAGGCAAGTTTGTCCGCCACTGGGAGTTGAGCTCGACATCCGTGGTTGTGAAGAGAGAGTGTTTGAGTCTTGTAGTTTTCCGTATGATGCGAGTACATGTCGGATGTTGTGAGCGGCATTGACTGTTTGACAAAAGTCTGTTACAACATGTTACAGGCCCAGCCGAGAATAGATCGTCGCCGGCTAGCATTTCCAAGCCATCACCGAGGCCCTCGGACTAGGGGAGTCTCGGCATTTCGCGCTTGGAGAAGGGCAACGTTTTCCACGGACAGCTGTGGGTTTGTGGGGATGTTTGCCGAAACAAGAAGGTGGAAGAAGAAGGGTTTCTGGATGGGGGAAATGCAGGCCTGGTTAGTTGGCTTTGGGATGATGTTTTGGAGTTGTTGAATGGAGTGTTTGTACGAGTTGCTGTATTTGAAAAGCGACTTATACGAGGACTCTGTTGTTGATTTGATAAGAGAGTTGCAGGGGAGTATGGGAAGGGGATACGGAGTAGTATCGAGGGCCCAGAAACGGCAAACAGTTGTCAGTAGGTTGCATTCCGTTAATACTAGCAGACAAAGCCTCAGGGGGGGGCAAATACAGAGTGATTATACATACTCGTATGCTTTGTTCTATGCTTGTTTGGACGCTTAATCCAGCGCTAGACAGGGCTTTAGCTTTTTAGCTTCAATTTTTGCTTTCGGAGTGAGAAGTGCAAAAGAGTTGGCTTGGCTTTTTGGACAAGGAGCCTCTCCCGTGGGCGGAAGCGTCACATCCGAGGCCGCTTGGTTCCATTTTCGATGCTTGGATACCTTGTCCGCATGTCTGGCGGATTGAGTGAGCGATGGATGTGCCCATCCGTTCAGGGGACATGACACGAACTATGATGAAAGGCCTACGTGGGGAAGCAGAGAGCGGAGGTGGAGATGGTTTGGGGCGGACAGTTCCGCTTGTTTGTTTTTCCTTTAGTAGTAAGTAGCAGTAGTTTCTTGAGTCTTTGGATCTGGGTTGACGATGTAACTCTGGCATGGTGTTTTGGATTACTTTCGCTGACCGAGAGGGACCGATATTAGGAGCATTGCGAGTACATGTCCTCGCTCATCACAGGTAAGCATACCGTAACGATGCCATTTTACAGTACGAGTATGCAACAAGTCCAAAACCAATACCTGCTCTCGTGGAAACTGCCCCAAAAGAGGTGCTTGTCAGCACCACATGGTGCCATCCAGGCCCTTCGAAGAGACTCCGCTTTGGTGCACTCTCTCCACGGCCCAAATAGGCAAGTTGTTTGAAACGGCAGCTGTGAAGCCTTGATGGACTCTTGGCAACACCGCCTCCGGGATTTTGAATTCGCTTCAATTGGGTGCCGCTTATGGGCGTTGGTGAGGATACGCGTGATGGCTATGAGAGGAGCATGATTTTTTTTGGCGCCGTCTTACTGAATTCTTCCTGTTGCTGTGCCCTGTTTTGGCAAGAGTAGATTTCCTTGTTTACGAGGGTGACTGGATTTAGTAGTTGGTTGAGTTTGTAGTGTGTGTTACAATGACTTGATTTGGGAAAACAAAAGTAAAGAGGCTATGACGATGACTACGAGTACATGTTAAAGAGTTGACGTGGGAGAGAGGCTCTAAGGATTGGCGGTGTTGAAAGCTTGACGCTTGCTCCTCTGGAGATCGTCACGGGCTACCCGGTTACGGTATGGTTCGGCCGGCCTCCAGAACGGCAGCGGGAGCCGGAGTGCTGAGATAGGGCCGATTGAGCTGCTTGGCCTGTCCTGGTAAACTCGTGCTTTTACTATCCGTACTTGTATCCGTACTTGTAGTACCTGGATACGGTTTGAGGCCTGGATGTCAGGCTGCTCTGCTTGCAAATGGCCAGAGCTGAGCAGGACTACAGTACGAGTACTGGGACTAATGCAACTAAGCTTATTGAGAATGTTAAGTAAGGTGTGATTATGTATGTCCTGCTAGCTTGCTGCCCTAGGGGAAGGCGTGAAGTGATGGATGCTCGTGTTCCATCGAGTGGGTTCAGTTGACAAGTTCCGGAAACTGGTTGACAGAGACAGAGACAAGACTGTTGACCTAGAAGAATATAAGGAGACGACGGTCCCCCTTTGCAACTGGAACTTTCTTCTCCAGCTCTCTCCTCAGCGTTTGACAACTCACCTGCTCTTCCCATCAACATGTTGCTGGTCTCCGTTCTCACCACCATTGCGGCCGTTGGCGGCGTCAATGCCGCCTCGTCGTTTGCTTCCTCGCAAGACGGCCGCTACCAGTTCAGCGCCGTTCAGGCTCCCGTCCTCGGCGCCGGCAACCCTGGCATTCAGGACTGGCAGCTCTTCATCAAGGAGAAGTCCGGACGCAAGCAGACCGTCAAGGGCTTTGGCGCCGCCATCACCGATGCCACCGTCGCCGCCTTCAACAAGCTCAACGCAAACTCTCGCACGCAGCTGTTCAACGACCTGATGACCTCCTCGGGCCTCAACTTCAACCTGCTGCGTCACACCGTCGCCAGCTCGGATCTCTCTGCTGATCCCGCCTACACCTACGACGACGCCGGCGGCAAGGTCGACACCGGCCTCACCAGCTTCGGCCTGGGTGACCGCGGCAACGCCATGATCAGCATGCTGGCCAACTTCCGCAGGCTGCAGCCCCAGCTCACCATTGTCGGCTCTCCCTGGTCGGCCCCCGGATGGATGAAGGTCAAGAACTCGCTGATTGGCGGCGGCACCGGCAACAACAAGCTCAACCACGCCTACGAGAACGCCTACGCCCAGTACTTCGTCAAGTACCTCCAGGCGTACGAGGCTGGCGGTGCTCACATTGACGCCATCACCCTGCAGAACGAGCCCCTGAACAACAAGGACGACATGCCCACCATGCAGATCGAGGCGTCCGAGTCTGGTGCTCTGATCCGCGACAAGGTTGGCCCTGCCCTGCGCAATGCCGGCCTCAGCACCCAGATCTGGGCTTGGGACCACAACCAGGGTGAGTTTTTCATGTGCTTGACTTGACTATCCCAAGCTTGACTGACACGGCGTTTTGCTCTTATTAGACGTCTACTCTTACCCCCAGACCGTCATGAACATGGCCAGCCAGTACGTCCAGGCCGCTGCTTGGCACTGCTATGCCGGCAACGCCCCCGAGAACTGGACTCCCCTGACTCAGTTCCACAACGAGTTCCCCGGCAAGGAGCAGTACATGACCGAGTGCTGGACCTCTACTCTCTCCGGCGGCACCGATTGGGTTCACAGCTCCAGCTTCGCCCTGTTCCCCCTGCAGAACTGGGCCAACGGCATCATCGCCTGGACTCTGGGAACCTTCACCGGCGGCGGCCCCGCGCTGTCCGGCGGCGGCAACTGCCACAGCTGCACGGGTCTCGTCACCGTCAGCGCCGACGGCAGCGGCTACAAGAAGGAGATTGACTACTACATGCTGGGCCAGTTCTCGCGCTACATCCCCAAGGGTGCCGTCGTCGTTGACGGTACTGGTAGCTGGCTGTTCGACCCTAATACTGGTGTTGAGTCTGTTGCTACTGTCAACCCTGATGGCACCCGCACGGTCGTCATCCAGAACCGATACAACAATGATATCTGGGTCCGCTTGGCGACGGAGTCGGAGAGCCAGACTTGGAACGCTCGTATCCCTGCTCGGGCTGTGACTACTTGGATCCTGCCTAAGGCTTAAGCGTGTTGAGAAAGTAGCATGTGATGGAATGATGAATACGGAATGAGAGTGGTGGAAGCACTGTATATATCTAACTACCTAGCTTCGTCTGTATATAGACAACTTGAGTACATGTAACTGCTTAAATGAATATACATGAATAAATGGTAAATGGTACTCTTTGAAAGTTCAAACGGTTGAAGTGACTACATGATTGAACGCGTACATCTTGTATACTAATTGAATAGAGGCTGCAGTCTCTATAGGTACATCTCACTATATGTGTCTGGTGTAAGCTGCCTTAAATGTAGATGTTTGTCTGAACGTCCACTCTGAGTAGCGTATATGTACAGTATCTTTATTCAATGTCGAGTATTCTACTGCCTCTCATCACGAATCACTTACATCATACACACATCTAAGCCTTTGGAAAGAACCGGTTCTCCGGCCTCGGCAAGCCAAAGTGCTCACGCAGAGTGCTTCCCGTATACTCCGTCCTAAAGATGCCGCGACGCTGCAATTCTGGCACCAGCTTCTCCACAACATCATCCAGCCCCTGTGGCAAAAAGGGGAAGCAAACGGTGAAACCATCAGAGGCCTCCTCCTTGAGCCACTTCTCCCACTCGTCCGCAATGCTCTCCACCGTTCCTACAAAGCCAAAGCCAGAATATCCTCCGTAACGCTGCGCAAGCTGCCTCACGGTCAGGCCTTCTTCCCTTGCGAGTCTCAAGACGCCCTCTCGACCCGTCTTGCTGGCGTTTGTCTCTGGCAAATCGGTGGGCAGGGGGCCGTCTGGGTCGAATTTGGAGGCGTCTGCGCCGAGAGCGACGGACAAGCTTGCGATGGAGCTCTCGTAGTTGACGAGGCTGTCGAGCTTGAGCCGCTTCTGTTTGGCTTCCTCAATAGTGTCGCCAATAATGACCAGGGCTGCTGGGAGGATGTTGATGTGCTCCTTCTTTCTGCCGGCGGCAACGGCCCGTCCCTTGATATCGGCATACAGTGCTTTGGCGTTGTCAATGGTTCCCGGCGAACAAAAGACGACTTCGGCTGTTTCTCCAGCCAGCTGTCGTCCCGGCTCTGATTGTCCGGCTTGCACAATGACGGGCCAGCCCTGGACGGGTCGGGCAATGTTCAAGGGCCCCTTGACCTTGAGCTCGTCTCCCACGTGGTTGAGGGTGTGCATCTTCTCGGGGTCTAGGAAGATGCCCGTCTCCTGGTTCCGGATAAAGGCGTCGTCCGCAAAGCTATCCCACAGTCCCGTCACGACATCGTAAAACTCTCTGGCGCGCTTATACCGATCTGAGTGATCCATGTGTTCGTCTCTGCCAAAGTTCTTTGCGCTGTCCGGATTGCCTGTCGTCACAATGTTCCACGCCGCACGACCACCGCTGAGGTGGTCCAAAGAAGCAAAGCGTCGGGCAATGTGGTAGGGCTCATCGTATGTTGTCGACGCAGTAGCCGCCAGGCCAATCTTCTCTGTTACCTGGGACAGAGCCGAGAGCAGTGTAAAGGGCTCAAATGATGTGACGGTCTGGCTGCGTCTGAGGGCTTCTATGGGCATGTTGAGGACCGCCAGGTGGTCAGCCATGAAGAAGGCATCGAACTTGGCTGCCTCTAGCTTCTGGATAAAGGACTTGAGATGGGTCAAGTTGAAGTTGGCATCGGCATATGATCCAGGGTACCGCCAGGCTCCAGTGTGAAGACTGACGGGCCGCATGAACGCGGTAAGATGGAGTTGTTTGGGATTCGACATTGTGAATTACTCGGTTATGAGCAGATGTAACGGTTTGCCGATACTATCTTGAGAGCTTTTTCACTTTGTTACTGGCAACTACGGTTATATATGAAAAGACGAGGGACATGTGGGCATTATCGATGATCTGGTAGGATCTATGTGTAAGCAGGTGAGTGTGCTCGGCGCTTGGAATCACGACATCGACGAGATGCGGGGGTGCGGATCAACCGGCTTATCAGCGACTTCCGACTCTGGTATAAGCAAGAACTTTGTATTATCGAGCAAGCGAATGCGAGCAGCCGCGTATGAGAATGTTGTCGAGATGATTTATATTCCTCCGCTGCTACGTGTGTTGAAGATGGAAGCAAATGGGACCCTTGGGTCTCTGCTGGGCATTGATACCTTGCATTGCACGAGGAACTCTGTAGAGTTTCAAGGTTAATCAAGTCTCAAACACCTTGTCACAGACAAATGAAGGCATCTCGACGAATGAAAGAAGTGGCATGTGCTATATGTAATCACTGTGATATCGCTCTCGCCAGTGTCAAATCGGCGTCGTGGAGTGTGGAGTTGGGCGGAGAAGATTTGGATTGATAAGCAGCGCAGGTTACGACGACCGGCGATGGCAAGGCCTAGGAGATCTCGACTCTTATAGGCTTGCATCCTGTAAGCAGAGGATATGATACATGTGGAAACTACTCTGTATCTGCATATGTATGGTGTGACTGTAATAGCTAATAGCCCGATCAGAGTCCATCTGTATAGGATTTGACTTCTCTTGCAGCTTCGGGAGGATCCGAGTGGGAGCGGCAAAATCGCACTTTCAGTCCCCGATATCTCGGCATAGATCACTTTAGCGCATAGTAAGCAGCCCGATTGTATTGGAGGATTCCCATGCAGGGATTTCCTCATGTAGTAACGTCTTGCTTGGCATCATCACGATCAAGCACAGTTTCTCAATAACACTTTTAGTGATTTTTCTTCCATCTTAATAGCAAAGCAGCGCCAATTGCTAGAATGAATCTCCTATATCAGAGCCTAAATGGCATCTCAAATCTCTTCGCAGCGGCCTTAGGTGTTGACCGGTGCATGAGCTGGGTATCTGGTGCCAGCAGTCTCAAAGCCCGTGACAAGATTGGTGAGGGTATCTATTTCCTCCTTACTAAACTCAACAACCCGTGCATTCTCTTCTACGCGTGGAACCGTCGAAGAACCGGGAATCGGAATCACAAGAGGCAGCTCTGGGCTGTTGGACATGTTCCTCACCCAGTTGATGGCCACCTGTGCAGGAGTGCACGACTTTTGGCTGGCGAACTGCTCGACTTGCTGAACGAGCTTGAGGTTGTGCTCGAGCTGCTCCTGTTGGAAGCGCGGGAACGAAGCAATTGCTCCTAGCTTCTTGACGTCCTCGACGTTTTTATACTCGCCGGTGAGCAGCTACATTATTTTGTTAGCTTCAAGCAAGTGCATTATGACTTTTGGTATTACTTACACCCTTTCCGATTGGCGAATATGCAATGATGGGAATGTCGTGCTTTTTGCAAGCAGCGGCGATTCCGTTGCTCAAGACGTCGGGTGTAAACATGCTGAGCTCGATTTCGGCGGCGGCAATCTTGGTTATCGCAGCAGCTTCATTGATGGTGTCGACACCACACTCGGAGAGCGCAATAGCACCAATCTTGCCGGTGTCAATGTACTCCTTCTGGATCACTCCAAACGTAACAGAGAGGGGATACTCCGGGTCTCGTCTGGCGCAGTTGAAGGCGTCGACTTTCTTGACGCCGCCAATCTGCTCCAGAATATTGTCGAGCGACCGGCGAATACCTTCAGGTGATCCATCAGGCTTGAAAATCTTGGAATTAATGCCGCCCTTCATCACCAAGACAACCTTTTCAGCATCTTGGGGATATTTTGTGAAGTAGGCCTTGATGATGGTCATGGAGTTGTACTCGGGAGTTCCGTAGAACTCGCCGCCGTTCCACATGGTGAGGCCATTGTCGACGGCTGCTTTCATGACGGCGATTGCGTCTTCCAAGGGAGGAGGATCCTTGCGCCATGTCAGGCCTTGAGTGTCTGGTTAGCGATTGGAGATGATGAAAGTGACGACCATTTGATGTGTACAGGTGTGTATGTGTATACTCACCCATGAGGCCAAAGCCAATAGGACCAATTTCTTTGCCGAGGTGCTGAACCATGGTGTTGGAGTCTGCGGCGATCTGAGAGATGCTGCTGCTGCTGCTGTTGCGAGTGTTGAATGGCAGTGATTCAAGACAGGTTTCGCAACGAAATTCCCACGACTCTTATATCTTTGTTTGATCGGCCTCCTGTCTGCTGTTAGTGTAGTTCTCCCACGGAGACGTTTGCCGGAGTTTACTTTTATCGGTACGCCAGCTAACCCCGAGGCCCGTGAGAAGAGATGAGTCGATGAGGTTTCAAGAAATGGCTACACAAGGGAGAGGTTTTGCTAGTACTATACCACAGCTCGGCTGCTCCCTTTCCCACGAAATCTGCTATCTCGTTAACCCCGCCCGCGTTTCCCCACCATCCACAGCATCATCGTCGATTTTAAATACGACTATAAAGTACTTGTGCGTACTTCTTCAAGCCCTGTTCTCGGAGCTGAAAATGCGAAACTCCGGTAGACGCCATGGAAGGATCCAAACGGCGGGTTTTGCTGGTTGATTTTGCTCGGCATTTGCCTCCTCATCATTGATTACTCGACGCAGTCCGGAACGCTAACCTTGTTGGGATCTTGACTAATTCTCACAATTCCGCTTCTTAAATGCCGTTCAATGGATGCTGGTACCGAGGTATAGAAGAGACAAGTTTCTGTCTTTCTCCGAGACGCGGGACACTTTGTTATTCCCAGGCGCCATTATGCATCGGATTGCTGTTTGCATATACCTATATGGGCTGCATCATGCATGTGTATGTGTTTAGGCAAACAATGGCCAATCAGGTAAGCAAGCTGGTTACTCGGAGCTCCCTTCCCCCTTTGTCTACTATGCTTTGACGAAGACGCTCCTCCGTTCATCTGTAATGTAAATGGTCTACTACGTCTCTTTCAACCTTTCGAACAGAAGTATTCTCGGCAATAGATATTTACAAAGAAGGATGAATGCCACTAGAAGTGGCACCGGTACATGCAATCTCAAAGTGGTGTCCCAGCCCATGTACATCTACCCTGCAGCTCTGGAAGTCGTAGTAAGATCCTTGGGTTTGTGAGTTCAATATTAAGAGCCTTGAGTATACCAGTAAAAGTCGCCACTTACGCTCCTTTAATGGCTGCTACACAAGGCTTTGTAGGATACATGAGCATGGCGCGTAGATAGATGCTTCCATTGGTCAAATTGTGTCTCAAACCTTGAGAGTCTACATCCCACAACTGTGTCGTAGATCACATGCTGTCTCCCTCAACCCATTAAAGGGATTGTTATCAAAGAGACTATTTATAATCTCTTAGGCAAGGTCCAATCAGTTATTGAATGTCATTTTGCCTCTTTTCGCCTTGTTGAATCGTCGGCCAATCGTTGGTCGGATTCTTTGACGATGTCGTTTCAGCAGTCTCTGCCAAGGACGAAGCTCTTGCTGAGACCCTCAGGTTCAACCAGACATTTTCTTTGTACTATTTACTGTAAAATCAGCTCCAAATACTCGTGATTTGGGTGCAAACTATCACCTAGAGGCTGAGGATTCGCTGTAGATTAAAGCATTGAACGAGTGCCCTTTCATAAAACTGGGCGATCTTAGATGAAAGGCACCTGACTAGATAGCGGCAATCACATGAGTTTGCTCGCCCTTGAAGTAGCCATCGACAAGTATAAATTCATGCATCAGTCTCTTCTTATAAATCGCATCTTGTTGCAAGTACTCCAATCCAGCACCAAAGCACAGCCAACCATTTGGTGGATTCTTTTGTCTCTATACCATCGTTTACTCTATACATCACCACTTGGTGAGCTAGACCACTTTTAGTATTGGTAATTCAAGCCGCATATATGCTATATAATATCTTTCATTTCGCGCATTGACCTCGATGAGAATCATAACGCCAGGCAGTGGTATCCAAAGCGTCAAGAATTTGACTGCTTCATCATATGCGATTCAAAAAAGGAACAAAGAAAGCTCCTGAAAAGCCTACGGTGGCGTTCAAAGCGGCTGGAGGTTTAAGGGATACGAAATTCGGGAGGAGAAAGACGAATCGATTAGTATGGTTTTTACCAAGTCGGAAAATGACGATATAACTTGCATAAAGTTGGAGGACGGGAAGAAGGAACCCCAGCCGTACTTCAGTTTTCACAACTATCTTATCCAGCGTGGATATGAGATGAAGCTTTCGGCTTTAGGTACACCTCGATTTACCAGGTTGCCATTTACTGGGGATCCCTTACCCTTCAGCCGCTGGAACTGTAAAATCTTTTGTGGTACAGAAGGTGAAAGAAAAGCACTCATCAAAGGCATGGGGTTCTTTGCAGGATACAGAATTTCACAAGTCAGAAGTGGATGGGTTGAAATGGCTTATATTGTGAAAGACGAGCCAAAGGCAGCACCGTAAACGTACCTAACTCTTTACGAGTATCTCCTCGAGCGTGGATTTGAGCAGCGTTCTACGGATAGGGACACACTGGAATTTATGCTAAAAAGAAATGGAGATGGGTGCTTCTTCAATCACCCCCTCTTGATCATACTAATGCATCAAGTTGGAGCAATTATATGGTATATCCAGATAAGAACCACTAATACAATACTACCCCCGTTTATATCAATGTTTCATAGACCACTATACAGCAAGACGTCGAGGTGTTTTGAAAACAAAAAGGTTCAGCAACCAGAGGCTATTGAGGCTCAGATTTCAACAGGGTGGAATGACTCAGAACGGAATGCTCGAACGATAACAACAACCGTGGTGGCTTTAATATTGATGTTTATGATGATATTCATTAGATAGTTGGGTACTTTAGTTTAGAGCAGACAACCTTCTGACTAGGTGTGGAACACGAATGCAATACTGCACTTTTTGATATCAACACTTCAAGGACGAACCGCTTGCTGAGGCACCCAGGTTCAACGAGGCATTTTCTTTGTGCTGTTCAATATGTAATCCCCGACAAACACGCGTAATTCCCCCTATTGATTCTAGACCAATCAGATTTTGCTCTACTTAACCCGTGTGTGCTCAACACCCTTCATGTGGTGGTACAATCAAGAAACCTTCAGTTCTTTCTCATTGGCCATTCTTCTTTTTTGTGTCATATTTCAAGCTTTGGCTGGTTTTCTTTTCTTTGATGCAGAAGCGAGTGCCAAGGCCGAGGAGCCGCCGCGGATCAAAGCTTCCAGTCATTCATTGGATGTTCTTTCACAAACCTGGGCGGCTGCAGCCGATCAGGTTCTGTTCACTTGTGAAGTGGACATTCAACAAGTATAAGGTCTAGTCTCTTTCTCTCTACAATTTCTCCTTTTGCGATTTCTTCAGTCCAATACCAAAGCACGAAAAAAACAATTCGTAAGTACATTCATCGCTGAAAATCTTTCATATGATTTACTGCCATCTAGAAGACGTTCTGACCTGAAGAAGCAAAATACCAAATCATGGGTGTTCGCAGCCCATTCGACTGCTCAATTCAATGCGAGATAGAGAACGAAATGGAGTTGATTTCCAATGAGCTGAAGTCTTTTGAAGAATATGAAATTTGGGAGGAGATAGCAGGACTCATTGACGCGGCTTTTACTGGGTCGGACACCGAGGATTCGACGTGGGTATGGTTGAATGATGAGAGGAAGGTACCACCACAGTACTCGAATCTTCACAAATTTCTTGTCAAGCGTGGATTTGAGATGACTTTTTCGATGCTGAATACACCAATATATCGCAAGTTACCCGACCCTTTCAGCGATTGGAGCTGCAAGATCTTCTGCGATACAAAAGACAAACGAACAGAACTCGTGAAGGTTCTGAAGCTCCTTGATGAAGGATACATAATTACAGAACTGACACGTCAACGTGTTCAAGTGGGTTTTGTAAAGGAGGAAGGGCCTGAGACAGAGCCGCAAGGATACAGGGCTCTTCGTAAATGCCTTGCCCGGCGTGGATTTAAGCCGTGCTCTTTGGACCACAACCCACGGGAATTTGAACAGTCAAGGAAAAAGTGGATGTGCGTGTTTCTTTAACCACCATCTATTGCTCACAGCAACGCTTCAGATTAGAGCAAATAGCATTATCCAACTAGATGAGAGTCACAAATCCATATTGACCCCGTTCATATTGATGTTTCGCATATTTACGCTGATGTAAGATGTAGCAACACGCTGTCACCCTCGTTGAGCTGCGCGGAAACTTGATCGCTAACAACACCCAAGCTCTTATTGTTCCAGATATCCTGCACGTTGAACTGTCCAGAGAGTCCCAAATCCTGCCACGTTGCGGTTACCGTCTGAACTCCCCTGGTTTGCGTGCCGAAGCCGCCCTGGCCGTTATCCGGACCAAGGTTCACGAGAATAACGACGGCTTCGCCAGACGGAGATGGGCCGGCAATCCACGCCTGGAACTGTGTCGCATCTTGGCCTCCTGAGCCGGGGTTGCGAGGCTGAATGGGGTATTGAGCTGTAAATGCCGCGACTTGCAGTGCTTGGGCATTGGTGAGAAGGTTTGTGCCGAGATCATCCAAGGCAGTCATGTCATTGCCGGTAATGAGGTTTGCACCAGCTCCAATCCAGTGCGTCATGACGGTGGTACGCTGTCCATCGCTAAGTCCAGAAATGCTCTCTGGGCTGCCCACTACCAAGTTATCCATATCTGGGTAGATGTTCAACTCGTCAAAGAACTGGAGACCGGCAATAATCCACTGGCGATAGTTGTCAATGGCGCGCTGTACAGTACCCCAGCTTACCAAAGTACTTGATCCCCCGTTGTTGAGATCCTGGTCAGTTCGCATAGAGTCGGCGTTGCTGTTCCAAATGTCAAAGTATGTTTGAGTGCGGTCCAGCTTCCAGGAGATGTCCAAGCGCATCTGTCTGCCGCTGTTCTTGATGGCGTTGTGCCAGGCAATAACAGAGCCGCTCTGGTCGGCAGGCAGGCTCTGGCCGTTGTCGGGAGAGCCTGGCGTGACAAAATCCAGCTTGACAAAGTCAACACCCCTTTGAGGTATTGTTAGTGTCTGTTGGTGATGATTGCTTCTGCTTCATACGGAATGAACATACCATGATGCGAATTGGTCAACTACAGAGTTATGCCAGGTTTGTGTCTCTGGCCTGGTATAGTCGAAGATGCAGCGGAGCAAGCCCTCATTTCCCGTGCACACTTCGCCGATGGTAGTTTCAGTTCCAAGGATTGTCTTATTTGCGTCACTGATGAAGGCACCAGGCACAACATAAACACCCATTTTCAGGCCCATCCCATGCAATGAATTAGCCAAGGAGGGAATGTCGAAAATAGAGTCATCGTAGATCAGTCGGCCATTATCGTCGCCGTGGTCACCCACCGACCAGCCAGAATCCAAGCTGCAGGTGTCGTATTTGCCTTTGAAGGAACCCGACGCCAACACACTGCACTGAGTCAAAACATGTGACTGGTCGAACTGGAAGTCAGGAGCCGTGTTGGGATTTGCCTGCAGAGCAAAAGAATTCCAGCCTCTCGCTGGGCCATGGAAGCCATTTGGGGTCTGGGCAAAGCTGATGACTTTGAGGGGCGTTGCAGCGGAAGCAGTCGGGGCTGCTGTGACGCCGGCGATGCCGAGTCCAAGATAGACGAGCTCAAGACGAGGCATGACTGACCTGATGACGGAGGAATGAAGAGGAACCTATGGCCATCATGAGGGGATATAGCAAGTCTATATATATGCCGATATCCACACCCATACGCGTCTACGCCTTCCCCGGTGGTTGATGGCAGTGGAAAGTCTTTCGGGATATTGCCAAGGCGTCCATCTCCTCCTGATGATCATATGAGATGCTACAAGCATCAAACTTCTTGCCGCTCAACCGCCAGTTGCAGCTTTGCGCGGTCCACGTAATATTGCCCAGCCTTTATAAGCCCCGTCACACACGAATTCAGGCCCTCTCCCCGCAGCTAACTCCCGAGAGTGTTCCCGGTCCAATCCAGACAGACGGATCGACACAGTTGTTCCAGTTGCGGCAATGCCAATATCCTGGTAACGGGGCGGCTCTTCCACCTCGTGGGCGTCTTTGACGGACGCTTTGCAAATCACGGCTAGTCTGCGAACGCAGCCCATGCAAATGCGGAGTACCCCATATTACAGAAACGGGGAAATGTGATGATATAAAGGGAATTCCATCGTATTAATCCAGTGCGCGGATTCTTTTTTTCCAGCCACGGCTTCATCAAGATGACGACATTGCTGGGGCATTTTCTCTTTTGGCTTACATCTTGGCCGAAGAGCTATTTTCAGCTTCCTGTAACGCTATAGCGGCATTTTCTATTGCTTCACGAGCATCCTTAAGACACGAAACTTGGCACCTTAGCCGACGTATAATTTCTCTCTTGGTACCGGGACTCTCTTGTTCTGAAGTACGGACATCTATTTAGCCGACCAATTACGCGGAAAAATACCCTGATTCTATATCTTTGTAGTACCCTAGCAATCGCAACACGTAACTAGAACTTTCTTTGTCCTTTTCGCTCTTGTTTAGATTCCATCTCTCACGGCTTCAATTGTTCCTTAGCTTCCCCACATAAGCATGCCACGATCTGACCGGAATTGTTTATTAAGACATTATGTTGAAGCCTATTCTTGTCCGCTTATATAGGGTTCTAGTATGGATCTTGAGTCGCAGGCTTTCAACCCTTCTCGGATACGCGATGGTGTCGTGAATCTACCTCGATGTCGCGCCTGACGACAAACAGTTCAAAGCCGAACAACCACCACCGCCGCTGCCGCCGCACAAGCTGAATCTCTCCGAGCTACTCTTTGGCAAAACACTATTGTTTTGCGACGGCACCGCCTCTGATGAGGCATATTAAAAGCCTACCTTGCAGTTAGACACCGAACCGCAAGAACGCATGCGTCGACTGATCATGCAAAAACAATCTACACAAAGGAACCCATCATGGGATTCAGCTTCCAGCCGCCGCCTCTATCAAGCTGCTGTAGCAAGCAAAGAGGTCAGCGCTTGGATAGTCTTTCTGATTCGGTTGAACGGACTCCCGAAATCAGATCTCGCAAACATCGGTACAAAGAGGCTTGCTAATGCAACTACAGACACCTCCCAGAAGTATTTCATGGAATACCCGCTTATTAGACACAGATATCAATAGAAGCAGTCAATGCCATAACAAGCGTGGATTATGCAAAGTATCCATTGCGACAAAGAGCCAGCAACTCACTGCAGGGTCTAGCTGAAGGTGGAACGGTGCTGTAAAAGTTTGATTGACCTCACAGAACTTCGGATGTTGACAAAAGAGTGTGGCAGGGTCCTCGCTCCATCCGTAGAATTGTATTAGATGTTTTTTTAATCTTATAATGTACAAGTTAGATGAGGAAATGCGCCAATCGTTGCTCTATATACCTGAATTGTGATCTAGTCTAATGCTGCAAGTCAATGATGCCCCAAAAGAATGAACGGTGATGAAGTATTTGGACCTAATTAATAGTCTATGATAATGACGATGATGGGCTATATAAAGGTGGCTGAATGCTTAGCAAATAATTGCTAGGAACCAGTAAATCAACATTTTACCAAATTGCTTTTCGAGCCTTTTGTTGGGTTCCCTGAATTGAGTGAACGTAATGAAAAGAAGCTTCTTGCAAACTGAAGTAATAAGGGTTTTGTGCTAAAGTGCATTTCTCATTTTTGCAGAATAGCATCTAGAATACGAAAATTCAAGCTGATAGCTAGTCAGATAGCTTACATATCCTTATTGAATCGTGTCGATCAAGAACACAAAAGTGTTGTCACTCATAAGCAGGAATCGTGACCCAGATCCCAGAAGATACATCTAAATCTCAAAAAAAGGAAGGGGAAGAAATTAGGGAACAGCCAGAACTTTATCAGAGTTTGGCCCCTGACGATCTACGGCTATCGCCGGGATCCCGTTTGTCGGAAATATATTCACGTCGATCAGCCGTTCTCGGGATGCCAGGCGGACTCTGGCGGACTCATATCGGGTTGCACCGCCTCTCTTGGGATGCTTCCCGCCTTGGTAAGCGGAAGTTTCTTCGAGGCTGCTCGGCCCTTTGACATGCAGTCACTGAATCTGGAATCTTGGCAGTTTTTTGACCGATGTAACAGTCAATCAACGTTATTACCTACGAGGGCCAAATAAGGTTAAAGGGCAGACTTAGGAGGACCAAAGAAAGCTTGAACATGTCGTGTTATGGCTTAATCACCGAACGACGGCCGGATATCTCCACAGTGGCTCCACGACCTTTCTTCCATCTGATCTTTACTCGCTACTTAGGTAATCGATTGAAAGAATTTCCTTGAACGCGATGTTGCATTTGTGCGGGTCGTGCATGAAGAGCGAGTTTAAAGCGAATTAAGAGCGAGACAAGAGTGAGCTGACCCCCACAAAGGTTCGGTAAAATTTTGCCTTATATGGAAAATGTTCATGAGGCTTGATTACCTGTGTTGCCTTTCGAGTTCCTAATTCCGGTTCCCATGACCAACCACTTCTAAGCAAACTACACCTGGGGTTTGTTATGGCGGACGAGTCATTGGGCAACATGGAAGTCCGAGATATTGACTGTGCTATCACAATTGCCTTGGTTTTAGGCGCGAGAACATGAGGTAAGAATATTACCAATAATGATCATGATTACAAACTTCTGTTGTTCATTTGATAGCGGTTTGCAAGTAGAGTTCATTACGATAATCACACCTATTTTAAAATGGATGAATGATCTCTAGCTTCCGGATTGCTACTGAAACTGGTCAAACAGGGAAATATCCAACGCTTTTAGGTGAAGACCTGAGCTCCGAGATCATTCACTATACTTCTCCACCAGCTCGGCTGTTTAGCTCATTTAGATTCTTTGTATTTCCATTCTCGGTATCAAACTCCTGCTTTCAATAAAGTCAAATGAAGTTACCAACATAAAGACTTCATATTGCCGTTGTTCTTGGAGACGAAGGGATTCTTACGAAATGATGATTAACATATGATGACTGATGCAAAGTGATACGAACGGCTCCAAGCATGGTTACCTTGTGAATGGAGGTGACTGGGACTGTGTGCAACCCTTCGGATGTACGGGAACTTCGATTATTGGTTCAGAACAGCCTTTCGAAACGAGCATGTCCCCTTTGACGGCGATGTTTGTGAACCGGGTGAAGCGAGAGTTACATGAAAGACTACAGATTTCTTTTATGGTAGACATTGTGTATATAAACTGTTCAGTCTACCTTCAAGAAGCTTCCATTGTAGCTCATGCGTTTCATTCACACCAAACCTTGCCCAGATCACGGCTATCTAATCTCGTCCACAGACATATTTCTCAGTTGCAAACATGATTAGCAAAACAGCAGGTCTTGATCAGGTTCTGACTAAAAGAAATATACTAACATATGGAATAATTAGGTTATTCATCACGAAGCGCCAGTACTGGTAGTTGGCGGAGGCCCTGCCGGTTTGATTGTGGCCCTCCAACTCGCCCGTCATAACATAAACTGTATGCTGGTTGAGCGCAACCAAGATACCACGAAATGGCCGAAAATGGATCTCACCAACTGCCGTAGCATGGAACTATTTCGTCGAATTGGAATTTCTGAAGGATTGCGAGAGATTGGTGAGCTTTTCCAACTATCAACCCGCAGCGTTGTAAATCCTTAACGATTGCAGGTGTCCCACCACAATATTCTTTTGACGTGCTTTTCAGCACCGGTTATTCAGAAGGCGAAGAAGAGATAGCCAGATGGGTGAGTTGAGAGTCAAGAATCTGGGGGACGCAAGGGACGAGGCTTGAACTAATTTGGATCAACCGTGTAGAAGCTTGATTCTGTCGATACCTGGTGGCAACGTATTAAATCTCGAAATGATGGATCACTTCCCAGAGAGCCTTACCAGCGCTGTTCCCAAGCTGTCCTAGAGGCATGGCTTAAGCCCCGAATTCAAGCTGAGAAGCTCATTGATGGCCATTTCGGCCTCAAGTTTGAGTCTCTTACAGAGACAGACGAGGGAGTGGAATCCAAGCTCACAGATGTAGTCACCGGCGAACAACACATTGTTCAAAGCAAATACGTCGTCGGATGTGATGGAGCTGGCAGTCGTGTCCGCAAGTCAATTGGGATCAACCTCCTCGGTGGGCCTGTGTAAGTTACGAAAGTCTTTCGTCCCATGCTCCTCGTTCGTCTAACTGATGCTCCTTTAAAATGAATACAGCCCAGCCGCAATGCTTTTGATACATTTCAAATCACGAGATCTCTCAAAGTTGCAGAAGCATGGCCAATTTTGGCATATTGCGTTCGCGTCTGGTGCTTTCGTCATTGCGCAAGATGAGGTCGACACTTGGACTATGCATACCAAGATTCCAGTCGACGCCGATTGGGAGAAAATGAACCCCGAAGAAACAATCTACAATGCTTTTGGAGGTCCATTGGCACCATTTCCGATCAAGATTGACGAAATTCTTGTCAAAAGCACCTGGCGACCAAACATCTGCATCGCAGAGAGCTTTACATCTCTAGGCGGACGCGTCTTCCTCGCGGGAGATTCAGCGCATCAGAACATTCCCACTGGAGGTTATGGAATGAACACTGCCGTTGGCGATAGCTTCGACATTGGCTGGAAACTTGCGGCGACTTTGAAACAGTATGGTGGTAAAGACCTTTTGAAATCATATGAGCTGGAACGACTGCCCGTTGCGGTACGGAATATCAACCAGTCGGGCACTTTTTGGAAAGTTTGGGCTACTGTCTGGTCCCGTGTTGCCGAAATAAGAACTGATACCATTCTATCCAAGTCCGAAGAATTAAAAGCTATCAAAACCAGTACGGCAGAATTTCTTCAAGGAAATGATGCTGAGAATAAAAGCCATGGCATCGAGCTTGGCTACCGATACAACGCATCACCGGTTATCGTTCCAGATACAGAAGCCACGGAGCCTGAATGGAATATTCTGCATTACATCCCGTCCACTTGGCCAGGAGCCAGGCCGCCACACGTCTTTCTCTCCGATGGGGAGACAAGCGTGTTTGACTTGTTTGGGCAAGACTACACGATCGTCGATTTTTCCGAAGAGGGCAAATGGGCGGAATCATTTACCAAGGCTGCAAAACGCCTTGGAATTCCCATCAAGGCTGTTCATTTACCGCAAGAGAAGCACGTGCAGAAAATCTGGGAGCGGACTGCGGTTCTCGTTCGGCCTGATGATCATGTCGCATGGAGATTGCCCCTAGATGAGGCGACGTTTGACGGAGATGTGGATGGAATCCTGAAGATTGCAGTCGGTCAAGCATCAAACACAGAGGCTGGAATTTTAAATAAGGAGCGAACCTTGGCTGGAGTTCGGGAGAAGGGGTTTGAGGGCACAGTCGGAAATGTCAACCAAGACAAGGTGGCAATGAAGGCTGCATTCCAGGTTTGAGAAGAGAAGGAATAGCTGGCACAGCGACACGGAACGTATATAATATACAAAGATGCTAGAATACAGAGATTTCCTTTATGAAGAGTATAATACATCAAGTATGCATGTCTCGCTACGTTGTGACAACGCAAGGCTATAAAACCTTACTTAACAATAACGCGGAAGAGATTGAGCTATCAAACCATGAAAGATGGTAAAAAGCCTCGAGAATAAGACAAAATGTTTGTTACAGATGTGAAACACTTCTGTGTATTATTTTGCTCATGCAGGACTTTTGCGACGCGGAGAAATTTGGAGTAAGTGAGTCACTCGGTAACGTTATTGACATACATGCAGCATTTGATCTCTTGTGCAAGAACTATCGAACAAAGAACTTGTATTCATCACCACCGCAACCTCCTGGTAAATAGTGCCAAGTCTTATTCTCATTCATCATGTCCAGCGACTCCAACTTCGCCACCATAGTCACTCCATCCCAGCTTGCTACCTCATTCAAACATCTCTTCTCCAATATTCCCTCATCAGATCCAACACTTCTCGTACATTCCTCTCTTCGATCCGTCGGCTTCATTCCTGGATTCGCCCCCTCAGTCATCCAGTCTCTTCTCGCCTCCCTCGGTCCCTCTGGCACTATCGTCGTTCCAACTCATACAGGCGACAACTCGGATCCTGCCGCGTGGCAGGCACCCCCAGTGCCAGAATCATGGTGGCAGCCAATCAGAGACTCTATACCGGCGTTCGATCCGGCTACAACCATCACCAGAATCGTCGGTGTAGTTCCCGAGACGCTGCGAACTTGGCCCGGCGCCCTACGTTCGGCTCACCCGCAGACATCCTTTGCGGCATTGGGTCCTCAAGCACGGCGCATTACAGAGGGACATGAGCCGAATTGTCGCCTAGGTGAATCAAGTCCACTAGCAAAACTCGAAGCTGTGGATGCTTGGGTTTTGCTTCTCGGGGTTGGTTGGAATAATTGCACAGCCTTCCATCTCGCCGAATATCGTATCCAGAACCCTCGTTTTGAAGACAATTCATTTGCTATAAATATAGACGGGCAACGACAATGGGTTACGGTGCAAGATGTGGTAATTACTGATGAAGACTTTGAGAGGCTTGGGGCAGATTTCGAGAGAGATTGCAGGGTCGTACGTGGAACTGCTGGAGCAGCTGACTGCCTGTTATTTTCTTTGCGAGAGGCAGTCGAGTATGCAACGGAATGGATGGATAGGAATAGAAAGAAACAAGAGTGATTTTAATTGTCCATTTTCATGGTGCAGACATGCTGGTTTGTTCATGCAGTCACTGGGATTTTGGAGAGGGAGCTGGGGAAGAATTGATATTATTCTGGTTGGATGATGTATACCTTGATGCCTCATGATACAAGACTGACTCGCTTCGCATCTGATAGTGAACCAGAGACCTAATGGGTGCCCGTTTCTCACGAGATAGGGCATCCTGGGATAACCAGCAGCTTCGTATGATAGATACCTAGTAGCCAACTCTGTGCATGTACCCTCGCCTGCTTTTCTCTCCTTCTAATCTTCAAACATTCCCCGTTCTTGATAACGCCATGCCAATTCGTAAAGTATCACTGCCGCCAACGCCGTTGAACTCCGAAATGTACTGCGATCGTGCCCGACGCCCGCAAAAAGGTCATGCCATGGACCCAGCTTTTCCCACCTCTCAACCGTACCGGCTCTCCTCTAGCCAGACTGGAACAGGGTATCCTCGTCACGCAGGTACTCGCCGCAGTCGGCTTGTCTGAAGCAAACAACTCCAGTGGGGTCGAGTCTCCTGCTCTCCGCGGTGCTGCGAGCGCTGACTCCAAATCCCAGAGGAACATCGTCCATGGTGTAGACGACCAAGCCCTGGTGCTCGGGGCAGTCTTCCGAGTAACGACCGACGTGCGCCTTGACAACGTTTCCGCCGTAGAGGAATGGCATGACTCCGTTGGGGCGGATCCAGAGTTTGTGTCGCGCGTGCTCGGCGAGGATGGGGAGGGCCGTGATGTGGATTCGGAATTTGCCAGACTTTGTGAACTTGCCTATTCACGGAATTCTACGTCAGTTTGCGCCCACGCACGGGTCAAAGGAAGAACGGCGCGTACCCAAGCAAGTTCCTAGCGAAAGGAGATTGTCACGAGAGATTGAAGTTGCCAGATTGGCCATGGAGAGGCGGACAAGATAGACTCGGTTCTGCGACAGGCGAAAGACGTTTCGATCGCCATCTTCTTGGGGCGCGATGATGTTCTTGAGCGATGCGCCGGTGTATTCGGCGAGCTTCTTGAAGACGGCCTGCGTCTCTTCTTCGGTGAGGGGACGCATTGTGAATATGCTTGTCTTTGCTATGTGTAGAGGAAACGAGGATTGGCAAAGTTCGATTGATGGGCAAAGATTTGAAGGCTGGATCCAGGAACAAAATGTTTGGCCCAGAAGTTTTTCAGAGCGATAAGAAATTTCCGATAAGAAGGTACGCAATTGGCTGTGGGGTTGGTCAATGTTAGATGATGAGGTACCACTTTAGTGATTATCTGCATCATAGGAACCTCAACGCTAAACTTTGTCGGCGCTATGCTCTATGAGGTAATTGGACGAGAAGCAATGAAGCGTCAGTGGGATTTTACATTGAACAAATAATATTTCGACCACCGCTCAATGGATCAATGAACTCAATTGTCTTGATTGAATAAAATTGTAGACTACCTAATATATAATAAGATGTACTTGATATACATCTTTGAAAGAGAGCTTCAAACCACCCTCTACGCGGCATCGAGACAGCTCAAATATCAGCGCTTGTAAGTGCCATCTACCTGTATTCACCACAGCTTGGCTTCACCTCAAGATTACATGTATGATACTGCACAAGATACTCTGAGTCAATTTTCTTTCTAACCTCTATATTATCTTGGATCTCAGTCTAGTTCTAAAGTTACTCAACGCGAACAAGCAGTAATTAACACTCTCGTATATCCACACAAATCATCAATGCTGCGAGGCAAAAGAAGCCGCGTACAACTCCATGCCGGCAACAAACCCGTTGGTTCGTGTTGGCTCCCATCCAAGCAATTGCTTAGCACGCGATGAAGATCCGCGCAGAGTTGTGCTCATAGCTTCGGCAAACAAATTATCTCCAGACCCAACCAGCTTGCATTCTCCCTTGTAGCTCCAAGCAGAGCCCATGGCTTCAAAGATCTCAGACATGGATTCCTGGCTCGTGAGCAGATCAAACACCGGGTACACAGATCCGCTGTTGATCAGGGGCAGATTTTCAATCGCCTTTTGGAAGCCGGTAGCCACATCGTCAACATGAATGAGCGCCGGCCTGGAGTCAGCTTGTAGGGGAACGTTGACAGGTTCCGAGGAGCCACTTCGAGCTGCTTGAAGCAGAGGGAGGATAAAGGAGGTCCAGATAGTGTTTTCGTAGCCATAGATCAATGCTGGTCTCAGGACAGCAACGTCCAAGACATCGGAAGATGCCAAAATGGAATTCTCAAGGTCAACTCTCCACGCGACAAGAGCTCTTGGAGGAGTAACGCCGCTAGGGCCAGCAATGTCGAGATCGTTGACTGCTTTATCGCTCGATCCATGGACCCAAGTGCCCGAGCAATAGATGAATCCAAGCTTGGGGCCCTTGATGCCAGAAGCGGCATAGCTGTTCAGTCGCTCTTGGCTGATCTGCTTGGCTTGGCTGAGGAACTTGGCCGACTCTTGGTTGGCACCGGCAATGTCAACGATAACGTCGATGTGGTAGTTGCGGACAGCCTTCATATAGGCTTCGGGCTCATTCACTGGATCCGCGCAGATGATGGGTGTGATCTCTGCAAGAGCCAATGTTTTAGCCTTGGCCTCAGATCGAGCAATGCCGTATATCTGGTGCTGGCCGCTTCGAACTAGAGTCTCGGCTAGTCGCTTGCCGACATAACCAGTAGCGCCAAGGATGAGGACTTTGGTCATTTTGATTGGATATATCTTTTAAGGGTATTATATAAGTGAGATGTGATCGAGGAGATCGTATTGGGTTGTGAGTCGATGTGTTTTGCTGTTGGTTGTTTGTTTCGGATGAGAGTGATCGGAACCATCTGGAAGAGTTGGAATCAACGATGATATATATATATATTTCCATATGTCTATGTCTTTTAGAAGTAGTTTATGATGACATTTGTAAAATCGCCTTTTCATGACGGCCTTGACGCTTTTCGGAGACAAGACCTGAAGCCGCCGAAGCTCTACAATCCCAGATTACCCGATTCAGTAACTCACCGTCCGCGTCTCTCCGCGACCTCTCAGCTATTCAGTGGTCAGCAACGAGAGAAGCTCCGGGGACCAACGTTGCCGTTCCTGGGTTAGGCCGTCCGCCAAAGCCGAGACGTCGGACACACACATACAAGCGGACATTGGTTGCACATTCTAGCTCTTTAATTCCGGTATATGAACTAGACCGGCAGCTCCAAAGCCGTCCTCGTATGAAATTATGGCGAGATGTAACACCGAGCAGCTACAGCTTCTGCGCATCCCAAGTCCAGGCTGCAGCTGGAGCTCACAATAAGTTACCCTGCATCTGGTCGCAAAGAATTTTTGCCGCTCATAGCGACTTCAATGACGAGTTTACATGCAAATGGCAGGATACTGAGATGCCGTCATAGGGCGTTTGACAAATTAATTCGTTAAAAGACAAATTAATTCTCCCATCACCAAAGGTCTCAACAGATAGGTTGTCTTCAACATGACTTGGGCAACTATCCTCCAACGGTATGAGCTTTGGCTATGCCTAAAATATCTTCTTTTTAGAAAATTACGCATTTATTGACTTGAATTACTCATAGTAGGGAGTACCATTGAGCAATTGAGGTTGATTGCAACTACAACGACATGACAATCGTCCACGAGAAATGAGACTAAAACTGCAGAGTAACAACCAAGCAATGCACAGGCAGCCGCACGTGATCTCAAAAATGTCTGAGTCATACTCGAACAGTCTAAAAACCCGGTCGCTTCTTTGGCTGGTCTGTTAGTGAAGCTCTATCTTGGCCCAAATGACGTTTTTGAGTTGTAGAGTAAGGGCGTGAGGAAATGCGCCCTCTGACAACTCGCGATCTAGATCATTGAGAGCTCTGAAAGGCAAAAAGTATTTAAACTGTTTCTCTATCAATTATCATCTTGATTTCTCTCTGAGCTTTTACAATCAGATTTCTCTTGTGTCTGAAACGCTATCTCAAAGCCTCTTAATATTCTGGCTACTATACAGCATCTCCGCTTTCACAGCCCAACACCATGTCTCTCTCTGATCGAGCTACAAATTCTGAAAAGGCCGGCCAAGACTTGCTCATATGGAAGGTTTTACTTGATCTATGGGACCAAGAGACCAATCCCTCTGGAATTGTCAGTTTGGGCGTCGCCGAAAACAGGCTGATGCATGACACTCTCTCAAAACACATCCACGACAATCTGACGCTGTCCAACCATGCATTTACTTATGGCGATGGCGCGTCCGGGTCCAACCACATAAAGAAGGCCATGTCTCGTTTTCTCAACAAGCACCTCAAACCTGTAACGCCGATTGTCCCCGCTCACATCTCTGTCACGAATGGATGCAGCTCTGTGATTGAGCATCTTTCGTGGGCGTTTGCCAATCCCGGTGATGGATTCCTCCTAGGACAGCCATATTACGGCACCTTTATCGAGGACTTGACTGCACGAACAGGCGCAAAGGTTGTCCGAGTGCCTTTTCATGATGTCGATCCTTTGAGTGAAAACGCAGTCGCCAAGTACGAAGAGGCGCTGAAGCAAGCAGAGACCAGCGGGACGAAAGTGGCTGGTTTAGTTCTTTGCAACCCTCATAACCCTCTTGGGCGTTGCTATAGCCGCGATGCCATCGTCGGGCTTTTAAAACTCTGCGAGAAATACCAGATTCACTTCATCAGCGATGAGATTTATGCCTTGTCCGTTTGGGACAATACAGTCGATACTGATGTTCCGCTTCAGCCGTTTACATCTTGCCTCAGCATCGATCCCGCTGGCATCATCGATCCTTCTCGAGTCCATGTCATCTGGGGCATGTCCAAGGATTTCGGGGCCAACGGCATTCGAGTGGGCGCCCTCATCTCACAGGCCAACCCGTCATTGCACGCTGCGCTGATTCCCGTCAACCTCTATAGCTCCGTATCATCCGTCTCGGATCATGTCACGGCTAACATTCTTGAGGATGATGCTTGGGTTGAGGCTTACATTGCTGAGAATAGGAGAAGGCTTGCGGAGCAGTACAGGGCAGTCACCTCATGGGCCAAGGAGAACAACATCACATATCGACCCGGTGTTAACGCTGCTTTCTTCCTGTGGGTGGACTTGGGAAGTGCATATAAATCACTACATCCCAACGCTGAGACGGACGACTTGAACAAGACAATAGCCACTGCGTTGCTCAAGCACAAGATATTTTTGGCGTCTGGGACAGCGTTTGGATCAGAAGAACCCGGCTGGTTCCGAATTGTGTTTTCGCACCCAGGATACTATCTGCAGGAAGGCCTGAAGAGAGTAAGCAAAGCGCTGGCTGAGCTATGATTGGCTCTAGCGGAGGACATAGGCTTCATGACACTTATAGGCAGCGAAGGGAGTTAATGAATAATGTTTTTGAATGACACATCGTATGCGACTTGATTTGAACCTATACACCAATTAACACGCGACTATATGTATCTGTGAAATCACCGATTTCGGCATCCTAGGTTGGCCAACAATTCGCACATTGGCTATTGATTACGATACTTGTGCCCCCATGGTCGGCCAACTCTGGCCATTCTAGCTTGAGCCGGGTCGCATTTGGTAACCTTTCCCTCGAGAAATGTAAGTCATGATAAAGAGCAGGCTGTTTCGGTATAGTGGATTTGCAAGCCGTGAACTTCTGTGAGGGGAAAGTGGGGATGTCAAATCAAGACCCGTAACTCGCGCCCTCTGGAAGCTTCAAAGTGTGGGAAAGAGAGACAAGGGCGGCAGTTAAGGTGTGGCTTACGGTAGATGAAGCCCGGTGGTAGGAAACTGAGAAGGTATATGTTGATATTCACTGAACTTTGGCTGGGCTGCGGGAACGACGTATGGAACATGTCAAAAAGATTCTACAGATAGCCAAACTGGTGACTGGAGTGTGATGATGAGTTGGGTAATTTCCTCGAGTTGATCTCATTAGCAATCGGATTGTAACCCCCGACCACCCGAAATTTATCTGCTCTAGCTCAGACAGGAAGGCCAAGATAAGAATGCATACGGATGATCCAGACGTCATGAACAACGGCTCTTCTTGACTCGCGGCTTCTATGGGCTCTGGCCTTCATGGGGACTGTATTTCTCCTCCATTTGAAGAACCTGAGTACGCATTTTCTAATCTCGGTAGCATCCTTGCTTCAACTCCCCCGCAGCGTCATGTTTCGAGCGCCGTTTGTCGGTGCCCCTTGCGAGAACTGATAGGCATCTTTAGTCGCGCCTCCACCATTATCCCATAGCCCATTACACATCAGGGCTAATAGTACCTTCTATTGAATCGGTAAATCGACCAACAGCAACTCGGAATTGGCTCTAAAGGATGTGGTGTGTTGCACGGGAGGGAAAGATGAAGGGAGGGGTTGGCAGAGTTTAGAGTATATAAGGCTGGCTTGATCTTCTCCCTGGAAGATTTGACGAGACTTCTCTTTCACAAGGCATATCTAGGGCCATTAGTGATCCTTGAGCTTTGACGCAAAATGACCCAACTCCGTCTGAGATCGGTTATAAAGCCGCTAACACTCCTTCTGTCGGTGCTGCCTTATAGCAAAGCGTCTCCAACACCACCATGCAGCACGCCGCCCGGTGTTCACATTCCCAAGCAGGGTGCAGTAGCTTCTCAGAGCACGGTATGCAGTGAGATCGGTATTCAGCTGCTAAAAGACGGAGGAAATGCTGTGGACGCCCTCGTGGGCACAGTCTTTTGTGTCGGTGTCATTGGAATGTATCACAGTGGCATTGGTGGTGGTGGCTTCTTGCTGCTGAGGACGAGTGATGGCAAATACGAGTTTGTCGATTTGCGCGAGACAGCCCCGGCTGCAGCAACTCAAGATATGTACAACGACAACGAGGATCTGAGTATTTATGGTGGTCTCGCAAGGTAACCTCGCAATCAAGTGACACGTGCTTAAGATTAACACGAATGACTAACATCTCTATAGCGGTGTTCCCGGTGAACTTCGAGGAACAGAATATATCCACAACAAGTACGGCGCTCTGCCATGGGCTCATGTCATCAAGCCCTCAATCGATGTTGCCAGAAACGGATTTAAAGTGACGGAAGACTTGATTAACACCATTAAGTCGACATCTCCTAACAACTTTCTCACAGAAGACCCAGCATGGGCCATCGACTTTGCTCCCAAGGGACGCATCGTCCGGCTGGGCGAAACCATGACTCGAAAGCGTTATGCTGATGCTCTCGAATCAATATCCAAATTTGGTGCTGATGCCTTTTACACTGGCCCCATTGCTAATGCCACCATTCGCGCCTTGAAAGCAGCGGGCGGAATTATGACGCTGGAGGATCTGAAGAATTACACCGTTGCCATCAGAGAACCCTTGCATATCAACTACCGCGGTTACAAGCTCACGAGCACAAGTGCTCCGTCAAGTGGTGCCGTTGTACTCAGCGCTCTCAACACTGTTGGTGGCTACGAAGGATTCGGAGATCCTGCCCAGGTGAACGTGACCACGCATAGACTGGATGAAGCCATCCGGTTTGCATATGGCCAGCGCACTGAGCTTGGAGATCCATCTTTTGTTGAAGGCCTTGACAAGTACTCAAAAGAAATGATTGCTCCTGCAGCAGGGGCCGAGATTCGCTCCAAAATCTCAGACTTCAAGGCGCAAAATGTCTCTTACTATGACCCCAAAGGCTTGGAATCCCTTGAAACTCCTGGAACGTCGCATATCGTTGCTGCAGATGCTAGCGGAATGGCTGTATCGATGACTACAACAATCAACTTGCTCTTTGGATCAACGCTGATTGTTCCAGAGACGGGAGTAATCATGAACAACGAAATGAACGACTTTAGTATTCCGGGAGTTAGCAACAGCTTTGGCTACATTCCCAGTCCTGCCAATTATATTCGCCCTGGAAAACGGCCGTTATCTTCCATTTCTCCCATTATAGCGGAGACAGCGGACGGAAAGCTATATCTCGCTCTCGGTGCTGCGGGCGGTAGCCGCATTATTACGGCCAACATTCAGAACACGATTCACGTTCTGGACTCCAATATGACCACAGCTGAAGCACTTTCCCAACCTCGTCTCCATGATCAGCTTGTTCCTGCGCAGACAAGCTTTGAATATGCATACGACAATCGCACAGTGGCGTTTATGAAGTCGGTTGGTCACAATGTTACTTGGGTTGCACCGGGGCAAAGTGCCGCACAAGCTGTAAGACTGTTGCCGAACGGTACATTTGAGGCAGCTGGAGAACCTAGACAAGTGACGTCTGGTGGATTTGCTATATAAATGCAAGTTAATGAACGATGTATATTGATGGGTTGAGTGAGTTGTGCATTTGGCTCCTAGTATAGTAAGAGGCCAAGCAGGACGGCAGTTATCTCTGTGAATACATAATAGTAAAGATACTACATATATGTTCTTTAGAAAAGACCATTTTTTGGCCCCAAAAACAGCTCATCAATCACTTCTGATGTTGTAGCACTGGTTGCTGGTGGCGATGTATAGTATGATAGTGGCACTACCTTCTCCCCATTACTGGAATAAACGCCTGATGTATGTCGAATCCTTCAATATTTGCTGGAAATGCGCTTCAAATTCGTTATAGATAAAAAATTTTGATCGGTATATTGTAGATAATGTAGCCATATGTATAGCGACTGACTGCATGTCGCAGTATATAAGTCCTCTCCTATGCTTAGCTTTCTCACGCTCTAGATACCCTTCAACGCATTTCCAAAGAAATCATTTAGTTCGCTCGCTTTTTAATGTCATTTTCCCACGAGGTGAGCAAATCCATGATTGAAACAGAGTTGGTCCAGCTTGGTGATGGCCTTGGGGCTTCCTTGAGACCCTGTGCGACGCAGTCTTCCACACGCTTCACCTGATGCCCGAAAGCGTCCATCTGGGCTGAAACTATAATCTCTTCTGTCGCTCCACCGTAAGTTTTAATCTCAACAATGTTGTTGCCTGCCAGTGGGAGCCAGGGGTTTGTCTTGAATCGCAAAACACCCTTGTCGCCCTGGATAGAAAAGGAGAAGTCGTTGCCAAAGCTATCAGTTGACTGGACTGTGGCCAAGACGCCATTGTCGAATCGAACATTGAGAGAAGCATCACGGGCATGCAGACTGCCCTCGTTGGACAGGTTGCCCATGCCAGTGAGCTGTCTCTTTTCAAACGCCTCGGGTCCAAACGCCGTCTCCATGATGAAGTGCACAAGGGAAACCGGGTAGCATCCCAGATTGTAAATGGTGCCCATGCCCAGAGGATTGGCCTTCTTCCAGATGTTGGCGGCGTAGTAGCCTGACATGCCCTTGATCGAGCCGAGAACACCAGACCGCACAATGGAGGCAACCTTCTCCATCAATGGGTGAGAGAGATACATGAGTCCCTCGAGGAAGAACACGTTGGCCTCCTTGACAGCTGCAATCATAGCACGCGAGTCTTCCATGGTTGTTGCAAGAGACTTCTCTGAGAGAATGGCCTTGCCCCTCTTCGCGGCAGCAATCACAGCAGAGGAGTGCATATGGCTAGGCAAGCCGACATAGACGACATCGACCTCGGCATCGTCAATCAGAGCTTCCAGGTCCTGGTACTTGGTGGCGATGTTGTACTTTGCAGCAAAAGCGTCGAGACGGGCCTCATTGCGTCCAAAGACGGCCGTGATGCGTGAACCAGGGCTGGCGAGGATCGACTTGACCACCGTGTCGGAGATGAAGCTGGTACCAAGAATTCCCCAGCGCAACATTTTGAATTGTATTCTTCTTCTTTATTCTTATGATTGAGTTGAAAAGAGAGCGAATTGGGGAGAGAAGAGGTCGAATAACGTGAAATGGATGTACAATTTTTAACGGCCAAGAACAGTAGTAAGCCGCAGCTTGATGCCAATTTTCAAGCTTAAAAGGGACGAACTAATGAGATGGGGATGGGGATTTTTCTCTTGCGGAGCACGGCGGCCGCCGCATTCGCCGATGGGAGCCGATAAACTATTGCGGAGTCTTGGAGCCAAAGCGGTTGTAATAATTTGAGATGCTGGTGAAGCGTGAATATTATTGGTGCCCAGTAATTGACTCCATTTGTGATGGATTGTGCGTGTGGGGGAATGAGGGGAGAGTATTTTCACAGAGTCCGTGGGAGGTGATGCGCCATGCTGGACACGAGGAACATTGAATATCGATCTATGGATGGTCTTTTGGCGGGAAAGGTTTTGCATTCTAAAATTACATATACATATAGTTGTGTTAAAGTATGCTTCAATTGGCAAGAAAAGGACAGACACTGAAAAGAAGTGAAGAGAGAGTGTCGCCAATTATATCGATATGTGGGAGTATCTATCAGAGAGCGATCGAAACACATCGCCCTCGGTGCTGTATACCAACTCCCTAACCATAGCAGCCAAATCTACTGTTTCTTCTTAAGCTCTCCATTCGCTTCTTCCCACTTTCTCGCCAGCGTAATCAGCTTCATCCCAGCTGCCGCACTCGCCCCGTCTTCCAATTGCTTTGTCCAGAAGCTCTCGTTGCCCGCAATCAGCAGCGATTTCCGGCGCTCTCGCTCTCTTGGACCAATGTGCTCTCCGTCACGCCTATGCTCCTCAATCTCGTCTAAAATAGACAGTCTCCTTGCGTACTGCTCGCTTCTCTCTCTGCGTAGCTCTTTGGAGCCAAAACGCTGAAAAATGATGCGAGCCACTGCCGTTAAAGCGAGAAGGATATGCTCGCTGATGAAAATCGTCAACGGTAAAGTCGACCAGCCACCGCTCAAAACTCCATCAGCGCTGAACAAATGGACAATCGATGCAGAAGTGATACTTCCTAACCACACGAGAATTTCCAGAGACACGACCCAAGGCCCAATGCCATCTGCCCGGACTGGTGCAGGTCTCTGGTGCTCGATGCTAATCTTTGCAAAATCGGACCGAAGCTCGACCCAATTGTTAATAAGGAAGCCCAGGGGAATAAGTGGCCAAGCAGACGAAAACAGGGCCAGGTATCCAAACTGAAGAACCAGCTCTGCAATGTCATCTTGAACATTATAGTGCTCTAATGTGGCCTCGTTGCGGCGCTTTTCCAAGAACTCGGTCTCGTCCTGGTCGTCGGTGACCATGGAGATGAGAATCGTATCCTTTGTATAAGCGCGGCGGTATTCTCGATACCAGCCGCTCATCTTGTGCTTGATCAAGGGCAAGAGGTTTTCCTCGAAAAAGCTCGATAGTTGTCCGGTAACAGTCAACGTAATGACCTCGTGACGCAGACGGTCAGAGTCCAGCCGGAAAGGTATTTCGGTGAGATGGTGGCCGATACTGGGTGCAAATTGAACAATGTGGTCCTCGAGCCAAGGGAATATCTGGTCGCCAAATGGCACATAGACAAAGGCAGTGAGTAGAATGGGAAGATAGTTTGTGATGATGCTGAGAACGAAAATCTTTTGCGTCAGAGACATTTCGTGATTATCTGCTGTTCGGTGGTTCTCGTAGTCTGTTAACCATTTGGCCACTGTTTCAAGGTATGAACTGATGTAGGGAATCAAAACAGCCAGTAAAACCGTGGGTAAGTAATCCTGTGGCCTCGCATCAGTCGGGTGCTCTTTAATTTACCCTACACCATATATCTGATCGGAAGGGCGACTCACAAGGTAGAAATTACTCGGACCATCATACGAATCAGATATCAGAATCTCGACAGCAAATACGGCACTAATCAGAAAGCCCAGCGCCACAGTAGCGATGGCCATGAAAGGCAACTGGAGAAGCTGCCGTGAAATCTGCTTCCACTTGGGACTGTAGTGAATGGTTCGGCCGTATTGGTCCACGATGACTTTCTCGTACGTGTATTCTGGTCGGTTTGTCTTCGTTTTGTTTACTCCTCTCACCTGCCAACGAACACTCAGGTCGACTTCTCGGACTTTCCAGTATTCTAGAAAGACGGTGCACCAAACAACAGTCAGAATTGTATAAACGATGGAGTACTTGGGTAGCCACAGCCAGGTGAAGAGGCCAGTAATGGCTGGGAAGATGAGAAAAGCCGAATATGATTGACCAAATGCAAAGTAAAATGAAACCTATGATGTGACGGCATATGGTTAGCAAATGCATTCTAGAAATAGCTGTATGGCTGCTACGAGATTTACATACCTTTGAACCGAAAAGGTCTCGAATCTTGTCCAAGTCTTCGATACCGAGGAGGAGCTTCTTACTGAGACCCCGTAGGAGTGCCTGGTTGACTTTATCATTGTGCATAGGGTAAATAGCCTTGACATTCTTCCACTGGCCGATACCTGGAGTGATGCCTGCTCCTCCCATGGATTGTGGCCAGTTGACCAAATGGTCCATGGACAGAATGTCTTCAGCCTCGTACCATGCTGGCACGATGGTGTACTTGTTTCCAGGAGGCCGCGTTTGAGTGACTCCATAAAGCCAATCCCTCACTCTGCCTCACACGATATGAGCTGCATTCATTTGACAAAGCAATGCTTTGTTTGGAGGGGGGAGAAAAGAAAACACGTGCGAAAGTGCATACCTCAATTTGTAAACTCTGTTTCCGAGAAGCGCACTTGGCGCCTTTACGAAGAGCAGGATTGTTTGTTCATATCCCGGTCTTACTTCAACGTGGAGGCCAGTAGCCTCCAGGTTTTTGAGCAGAGCAGTGAACTCATGTGTGGCTGTCTCGTAGTCTAGCGTGATGATGAGATGCAGCTCTTGTTTACACGACGACGGCCACGGCAAAAACTTACCTGTATCACTAAAGTCATAAACAACAACATATTTATCGTTATACGTCACAGAAGCAGCCCGTGACGGCGATGGAGGTGGTGACGGTGACCGGCGAAGCTCCGGATCTTTGACCGGCGGCACTTCCAAATGAAGAGGCATCTCAGCAGAGTGGTACCGGCATATACAAACGACCGGCCTTTCCCTCTGCTTGCTTGAGATGGAGGGGCCTCGGAGCACTCTCGGCGATAGTTCTGGTGTGCCTGCTATTGGAGGCCAAAATGTCCGACTATCTGTCCGTGGACGCGATATTAGGAGGGGCCGAAGCTCCGGGAATTTCTTTTTAGATAGAGCCGAAAGCTGTCCTCCGAGTGGTTGAGAGGATGCAGACCTGTCAGCGGTGAAAGGCGATACTTCACGCCTGGAAAACTAGCCGACGGGCAAAGAAGACACGCAAGAGGCAGATACAAACACAAAGGACGCAAAGAAAGACGAAGCTCCTGTCTCAAAGGTGCAAAGAGCTTTGACCGCGGGACATGTGTACAGTGGGTAGGGCTGCAAGGAATCCGTCAGAATCGAGATGCTTCATTGGCTGCCTATCTTAGCTTTCTCGGCTCTGGGTGCCGGTGTTGGGAGGACTGATTGACGCTTAGCTTAGGGGTAAAATAGCAGGGAATCAAGTAATTGACAGCCTGTCTTATAGCCGGCTACTCCACATGCCGCCAAATTACGCCCCGACGAGTGAAATATAAGCAGTCCAGGAGACTCTTTCTTTTGTGAATCTCGAGCATCTATAGCTATAAATCCATATAACTCAGCTTAGAAATCTGATTGAACTGTTGGCTTGTTTGCTAGACGCTGTCGAAAATCACACCGACATATCCGTGAGACCAGACTGTTCAGTATTCAGCCAGATTCGTGGCACCTATGGGCACATAAGCCACATCGCGGGCGGTATCCCCGCTACGCCAAAGCCAAGTAATATGGATGCTCACAACATTACGTAGCCCTCGCAGATCACGCAGAAGAATGAGTTGAGCTCCTGTCGAGCTGCCCCTTAATCTATTACTGAAATAGATGCTGCAGCCAAAAGCATAAACATAAACATCATGACAAAGGTTGATGATTGAATTGTTTACGAACGGTGTCTACTCAAGTAGTCAATTATTATAAGAAAAAAGCATCTGACCCAGACTATATTTCCACGAATTCAGGAATGTTGCGGCGCAGGACAACATCGACGAACCCGAGTGCCAACTAAAAACATATGGTGATACCCTCAAGAAGGTTGCTATCTGCTTGAAGCACTGGCTGGGATTCCTATACGCTACTTAGGAGCATCATAACACGTTGAGAGTAGACAATGCTGGCCCAAGATGAGCTCTGAACATATACACCGTTGCAAAAAGGCACCCCCACCGGTCACTCCTTTGCCAGCCGCCATGGCGATGCGAACAACATGCACACCTGGCACCCAGATGGCAATCGATGTTGACAATTGGAACCTTCGAGAATCTTCTTCTCTCATATAGCGCGAAGAAAAAAAGATTTCGCTCGTACCGCGTTTTCTCCTCTCTTCTCTTCCCGCTCGCGTTATCTCCTCTCCTCTCTCCTGCACCCTCCTCCTCCGCACCTTCGCCGACTCTGTGGCATGTGTTGAAGCGTATTAGGCCCACGCCAGTCAGATGGACGCGGAGACCCAAGAACAGATAATACAGCACATCAGACGCAGTCATTTCACCCACACCAGGTCATCGTTAAAGCAAGCCTCCAGTCACCGCCTCTACAAGGCGGCAATAAAGGATAATGCTAAAAACACTTGGCCGGTGTATCTCATTTTAAACATCATGTACAACATATTGCCGGACGTGTATGTTTCCAAAGTTCGCGCCGCAGGCCTCACCACTGCGTTGGTGGATGACACAGCCACCTATCTCAGAGCACACAAGAATACTGTGAAACCGCGACGATACGATACGAACACACCAGAAGGGCTGAGATTCCAAGCGAAGTGGAAGAAGCTGCGAAACATCCCCACAACGTACAGAAAGAAGAACACCGAGACCAGCGCCACAACGGGAGAGAGCAGTACTCGCCGAGGCGCAACAACTACACGGAGCATCTCGAAAGCAGCGGGCGGAATTATAACGCTAAAGGATCTAAAGAACTACCTATACACTATTACTATTAAGGAACCCTTATGGAGGTTATATTTATTATCAAGAGGTTCAGTAAAGCTGCAACAGCTAGGTCAGAGGAAGACTACGCCCCAGCCTTTGAAGGAACCCTTATACATTAACTATTATAGTTATAAACTTATAAGTATAAGTACTTTATTAAATAATACTATTATACTTAGTACGTTAAATATTATTAATAATTATAAAGAATTTAGTAATTTTACCTAAGTAAATAAAATTAAATTAAATAAAGCTATTTAGTTGATATATAGTTAATATATTAAACTAAAGGATTTATTTTTTTATTAAAGGCCTTAATAAATATTCAAAAAATAATTACTTTTATAAGTAAAGCTAAAATTTACTTTAAGAATTTAAACTTTAAAGTATAAAATATCTTTTATTATAAACCTAAAGGCTTAAACTTAATAAAACTCCCAGAATATTATATATTATTGCTATGAATACTAGCGGAATAGCTATATTAATAATAATAATAACTTGCGCGTCAGATTGTCGTGTGAATGCCTAAGATCATGGTAGCTTGTTCATCCTCGTATAAAGGCGGGGTAGCTGATCACTTTTCACAAGTCATCTACATGGCTTCATTGACTTGTTCAAAGATTCACTGAACACATGAATCCATCAGTTAACCCTTGATCTTATCATTGTAGTGAATAGTTGTCGGGTTGACATTATCAGCATGCTTCAATACCACTCAAAACGAGAAGATTTAGAATAGAGGCAGCTTTCAAAGAATCTCATCAATCGCAGCATTTCTACAGAGTTTACATAACCAATACAAAACAATAATACTCTTCCCACCTCTACTTGTGAATCAAAACCTTGCTATTCACATCGACAATCTTAATCGGCGCCTTGTGGTTATGCAGCGTCACCTTGTTCACCAAGCCGTTCTTATCCCACGAAAAGTCCACGGATCCGCCGCCTCTAATGCGCATGCCTTGAACGGACCCGCCCTTCCATTCAGATGGAATAGCCGGACCCAAGACGACCGTGTGGATGGCATTAGACGCAGCGGGAACTGGCAGATCAGTGATTAGCATGGCCAACACGGCGGCACTGTATCCGAAATTGGCGTCGATCTGGAACGGCGCCGCGAGCTCGTATGGCCAGCTATTGCCAGAGGTGTACACGGAAAAGCCGTTGTTGGCGTAGTTCATGTCGATGGCATACTTCAAATAGGTATATCTGCAGCATAATTATACATGTAAGAATCGTGAAACGAAGTGGAATAGAGGGGGATAAAGAGGGAGAAACTTACGCAATGTCGGTGTTGTTGAGCTGGGCCCAGCATGCCACTCGCCAGACCTTTTCCCAGCCAGTGTTCGAATCAGCCGTACCGTTGCCTCTGGCCGTCAGGCTGACATTGACAGCATCGGTGACAGTCTTGTTCCACATGTGCGTGCCGATGCTGTAACCAGGATACCAGCCCACGAGGTGAGAAAGGTGACGGTGCTCATCGTCGGGCTGATCCCAACCGATCTTCCATTCTGCTTCGTCTTAGCAATGGTTTTCTTATAAATATAGTGCTATTATTGGTGTGCGTACCTTGGATTTGACCGAACCAGCCGATAATAATACCCGGAGAGAGCTTTGACTGTGTCTCCTTTACGGTCTCGAGGAAGGTGGTGTTTTTATCACCGGAATCTTCCCAACTATCGATAATGTGGTCAAACACCTCCCAAACAAGCTGCTGGTAGTGTGTGCACCCAAAAGTCTAATCAAGTTAGTAAAATGCCATAGACTATCCAGGTAATCAGTGTTCTTACCGTCCAACCATGCTCAGGCGAGTTGCAAGGAGCGGCAACAAGGGTTCCATCATTCGAATAGAGATCAGGCACCATCTCATGGATCCAGTATTCGGCAACCGACTTCATGAGCGGATACCCAACAGTCTTCCACCAGTGCGTGTCGCGGCCGTAATCATATCGGTTCCAGACGTTTTGCACAGTCAAAAGGTAAGCTTATGGGAAACACATATCACCTAGATGCACTCACTAAGCCAGGCAGCGGATGCTGGGTAGTTGGACCACACAGCAGAGTTCATTTGTCTTCAAAGCGGTCAGCAAGTTCACCAGCAACGAGCCATAACTCGACTTAGTTGGGGCCATACCCCGTGAACCCAAATGTGTTGAGATTACTGAATCCCACAAATCCAGGAGCGTCATATAGCAATTCGGCTGTCTCTGTTCCACGCGGCACCCACGTATCAACGATAAAATCCCACAAAGGCCCCTGGATATCACCAAGGCCGGTTTGTTCAGTGTGCCAGTGATTCCTATGGCATCATGGTCAGTCAAAGTCGGCCTACGGACGAGTTCAACTTACATCTGGACGTTGACGTCAACGTGGTAATCTGAACTCCAAGCTGGGAATTGATTCTCTGTCCAGATACCCTGCAAATTGGGTGGCAAGGATCCATCTCTGCATGAACCGATGAAAAGGTATCTGCCGTAATCAAAGAGGAGGTTCTCCACGAATGGGTCGCCGACGTTGTAATCGTAGTTCTCCATCAGCATCGATGTAGGCACGGAAGCGGAGTGCTCAGAATCCGGCAGACTCAGAGTGAATTGGCTGAAAAGCGTATTGTGATCCTTGACATGGGCGTTGTACATGCTGCTAAAGCTTTTCTTCTCGACGGCCTTGATGGTGGCAACCACAGCCGGCGCGGGATCGACGCCCTTGAAGGAGTAGTTACTGGCCTTGGTTCCCTTCTTTTGGTCATAGTTTGTCCCAGCTGCGTATACCACCGTTACAGAGGTGGTTTTGCGATCTGAAGGAACAAGAAGTTCGTGGGCCGATGTGCATGTAGCTCCCTTAGGCCGATTAAGAACTTGAGCACGAGCGTCAAATATCATGCCAATGTCCTGTTGAGTCTGTCCTCTCAAACGAACTCCATTGGCATCGCATGAAGAGTTGGATGATGGGTTGCTTCGTTGGTTGTCCTGCAGTCCAATGGTCACGGCGGGCAGCGGCTTGTTGGACTGGACGTTGTAGGCGCAGACTTGGTCGGGAAAGGTGCAGAAAGTAGTTCTACGTGGTTTGTCAGTTTCTGGAACAATTGCTTCTTCACGAAAAGATCGTGGTGTTTCAGGTCGCGCTGTTTTGAGAATTACGTACATGGTAAATTTGGCACCATTCGATGTAAAGGTGGTTTGATGAATACCAGTTTCGAGATCTAGCGCGCGATTGTAAGAGCTGTATTTGCTGACTCCCGCAATCTTGACAGTGAGATTTCCTAGAGTCTCGTAGTTGCCATAATGGTAGTTTGCTGGATCTCCATATAACGCACTAATGTCTGTTCAGAAAGAAATGCATTAGCGGGTCACGACATCCGCAATTGAGTCGAGCGCAACAAACCGTTGTTGATTTGAGTGTTCCAAATCGTCTCTCTAATGCCTGGCAGAGCAGTGTAGACTGGAGCCGGCGGGTTGGCGCCAGTGTAGTCCTGTGGCAAAGTCAGTCAGGCTGTACAAACCAGAGTCGGTAACGGAAGCAAGGATTGAATTGCTTACAGGGCTTTCGAAAGGCCCTCCAGACCAAAGACTGTGTTCATTTAGGACCACAATATCCTCTCCAACCAACCCAAGGGGCATTGCTAAATTTGCCCAACATTAGTTGTCTTATCTCCAGGCGAAACGATTTCCACACCAACCTCCAAGCTTTCCATTTCCTAGTGGATATGCTGTCATAATAATGTTGGCTGGATCTGCTGGCTCTTGAGCCCAGAGTTTCCTGGCAGCTGTGCCATGGGCACAAGCTGCGAGAGTGATGAGCCCCGTTCGCAACATTGTTGGCCAATGCTACTTTGCACACAAAGGCGTTGAGTGGGAAGCAACTGTTGTGTCTCGGAGCAACTCGATGGGTCATCTTACCCTCTTAAATAGCTGCGAACGAGTTGCCCTATCATCGTCGTAAACCGGCGTGATCCATAACGATCTCAAGATAATGCGGGGTTGGAAGCCTAAACGTCTACCAGCGATCCCCATAGTAGCATAGGTTACCAGATGAACACGACGACAAACGAGAAGTCGTTGAGTTCTTCATCGTGTCGCATCGCGGAGGGGAATTAACCGTCCCGTAGGGTGTTGTCTCATTAGACCCGACGGGTGTGAGGGAGGGAAACGCCATGCCATTCATGGTATCAGTTTTACGGCTTTGGGATGTCTTGGAAACCATATGCTAATTGAAATGCAGAAAGTAGGTCAGGTTGCAGTGATCTCGCTGGGCCGGTAATCGACAGGGGCCAATCGTGGGGAAACGATACATGCCGACGGCAGCAGTGCTAGCCTCGGGCTGTTGGAAGAACCGTCTTGGCTGTGTTTTGAGAAACGGAGAAACTGTCAAATGGCGGATATTCAGTTGGTTCAAGTTTCGGAGCTGTATTAGAGGAGGGATGTGAACCGAGTAGCGAGACCAGTCTCCTTCAAGAACACATCTTGGGGGAGCTATTCAGTTAAGACAACTACAGCGGCATCATCTTACCCCAAAGATTATGTTTATAGCAGTTGTCTTGTTCCATTTTAAGTAATTCGAGCGACACTTTAGTGGCAGATGACTGTAATAATGCGAAACGTTTTGTTTCATAGATCAATTGATATAACGCAGTAACCTCTTCTGGGCAATGCGTATGCACTGCTGACCAAGCGAGTCATCCTTTTTCACGAATGGACGATGCTCTAAACAAAAGATCGTCTTCAACGCTATCGGATATCGCAATTACGCATAATTCTTTTTCCTTCAAACTACACGAGAATGTGAACCGGGATACGGTGCGGATACGGTACGGATAAGCGCTTATTTGGTTCGACATCCCCTTTTCATGATCTTTATTCATCCGATAGATGATTCTGCTCGCAAAAGTATCACTATTTTCATCTTCCACAGCGAGACGACTCAGCTTCCGTCGGTTGGAATTGAAAGGCCATTCTAGTTTCAGCAACGTGGTGCATACCTAATTAGTAGTGAAGTTGGTAGCTTGGCAAACACTGCATAGCCGGAAAACAAGTTAAGCTTCTTGATGCTTCAAATGTGGAAACAAAAAAGGGGTATGAAAGGGCCAGGTTGAAACTGGAACAAAGAAATATATATGGCAATATAGAGTAGAACCGTAAGCTGCACCTCAAAGTACGGTCAACTCGGAGAGCACAGACTCCGGCTCCTACAATAACAGCCGACATCGGCTGATCTGGCTCTTACATACGTTACTAAGAACGCTAGACTTTATACGAGCACCAGCCTTCGTCAACCAGGAACAAAGACGTGATTTGTCGAGCAAACTTCGGCTGTCGGTGGATCTTATCAATCAGATAAGCAATCAGTTGATCATGGGCCGGAGCGAATTAATGTGTGCCGTAGGGAGTGCAGAGGCACCGAATCAGCTGATGTTTCCATTTTTTGGCTTGTGATCCACGACCTAAAATATCTCAGAATCGCGGTCGGGTTGAAGGTTCATCATAATATCGCCTACCGGCACCGATATGCTGCATCGAAAGCCACGCGATGAGACGTTTCACTCGAGCAACCTTGTATTTATCGCTGCTTGCTCATCTATCCAACGCTCAACCCCTTTCTCCACAAGAGTCGCCTAAACTGTGCGTGAAGAGCTGCGAGAATTCCCTCAAGTCTGTGCGATTCAACGATGCCGATCCGGCAGCATCAGCCCGTCGACAGGCGTGCCAAAGCCGCCTCGCGTTATCATCAGAATATCTGTGTCTTGATCTGAATTGTGGAGCGAAGACGCGCGACTCGGCGTTGCAACATCGCAATGCTACTTGTTACGCCTCTTTTGGGAGCCCCATCCCGGCATTTAAAACAGATTACACAGATGAAGAAATAGCCGGACTACTGAAAGTCGGTAAGAATGATACGTTTGACGCTGGAAACACATCGCAAGAGGCGGTAATCCCGTCACCTGAGTGGTTCACTTCCTGGTTCGATACCTTGGTATGCAGACTTATCTGTTGATGCTTGTCTCTCTTCCTATACAATATTAACTTTCCTTAGGATGCCGTAGAATATGCCCGTCGACATCATTATCTCTATGGGTAATTCTTCTTACGATTCAGTGGCAACGAGGCTTGGCTAACGCAAAAATAGTATCGGAGTAATGGTATTCTGGGTTGCGGTGGTATTTGTAGGCCTCGCGTACAAGGTCCACCTTGCAATCTCTCAGCTTTATTGCAGACAGCACAACTTTGACAATATCGGAATCTGGACGGAAACAGGGTCGTGGTTCAAGCGCAACATCACCATTCCCGCGACGTTTGGATACAGATGTGCCCAAAACGTGTGGTGGGCCACGATTCCGCCGCGCATCCAGACATTCACAATTACAATGTTTCTTATAATGAACATTGTGTTCTGTATACATGGTTATAGAATCATTGATGAAAACCTCTAGTAGGTTAATCCCTTCTTCACAATGCTTCTAGGCGTTCATACTCATCACCTACAGTTTTGCCACACCAGCTAAACAGGTGTTGCGCTACGTGTCAGATCGGACAGGAATAGTATCTTTTGCCAATTTCCCATTTATTTGGCTGTTTGGAATGAGAAACAACGTGGCCATGTGGCTTACTGGCTGGGATTTTGGAACATACAACAACTTCCACCGATGGTGTGCCCGAATTTCCACCATTGAAGCCGTTGTTCATTCCATTCTTTATACAGTTCTTATTTTTATGAGTGAGTTGAGGGAATGCCCAGTTATATGAATACCACACGCATCTCTGAATACTAATGCCGACTTAGACGGAGGGTGGAATTATTACGCATGGTGGTTTACCATGTGGTTTTGGAACGCCGGTCAAATGGTAAGAAAACCAGGTGCACATGCTGGGACAATACTCTAACTCATCAATAGGCCACTATTTTTATGTGTGCGTTATTAATACTTTCCGTCTATTGGATACGACGTCGCTTCTATGAAGCATTTCTCATCATACATATCGGACTCTCTATTCTTATCCTCTTAACAATGCTCGGGTAAGGCTACTACTTTCATTATGTGATGACACTGTCTATAGAACTAACGCAACTACAGACATGTTTCAATATTTAACGGAGAATACGACGCCTTGTTTTGGGTCCCTGCATTCATTTGGGTTTTTGATCGGGTAATGAGGCTCCTACGAATCATCATATACAATCCTGGACGTTGGTCAACTACTGCACTGGCCAGCTACAGCGACTCCGCAAACATCATCCGTCTGACGATTCCCACCGATGATTCTCTCTACAAGATTCGACCCGGCAATTATTTCTATTTGACAGTCTTGAACGACACGCGATTTTGGGAGAGCCATCCATTTACTGTTGCCTCGACCTCGGCCGAGCTTTCACAGGCATCGGAATACTCAGACGAAGAAGAGCCGCTTTTGACTTCACCGACGATTGCCACAGAGATCGAACTCGAGCGCCTGACCTCTGAATCAAAGAAACAATACATGACATTCCTTATTAGGCCATACGATGGCTTCACTGAGCGTCTCAGAGATATGTTGGCTAATGAACAGTCGAGCTCGAAGCCTCTTAGGGTACTGGTAGACGGACCGTATGGCCATACACAACAGCTTCAAGACTATCGACAAGTTGTATTCATCGCTGGCGGATCCGGAGTTGTCGTTGCTCTCTCATACTTGAACTCTCTTTGCGACGGGATGAAAGAGCCGATCACAATCGAGCTACACTGGGCTGTTCGTGAGCCTGCATTTGTACGAGATGTTGTTTCCAAAGAGGCCAAAAGAGCCCTTGAGACAGGCATGTTATCGCTGCATCTCTACATGTCTTCACACGTGAATGACATTAGCGGGAGCGATTTACCAAGCACGGTTGAGCAACATGTTGGTCGACCAAATATTCACTCAGTCGTCATGTCGGCTGCGCGCGGTGCTCAGGGCAGTAATTTGGCTATTGTCGCATGCGGGCCAGCTAAAATGGCAGATGACTCGAGGTTGGCAGTGGTTGATGCATTAAAGAATGGGAATCATAATATAGATTATTATGAGGAGAGCTTTACATGGTAGATCGGGGTATGGAATGGGTTATAGAATGGATAATTTTGCCAGATCAAGATGCTTCACAAGGCAATACGGCGAATCAGTAGAATTCAGTTAAAAGTTACATCGGTAGACCTATCGGGCAGTCCAAATAAATCGCGTAAATGATTACTTTACAAGCACTGAAAGTGTAAGGTGACAGCGGCTCATTACCACGGAGAGAGTTGCCACGGAGAGAGTTGCGTGTAAAGAGCTGCTCAGGTCAAATGAAGCGCAGACTAAAAATACCACTAGTGCTCTTCTTTCAACCAATTATATTCTTGAATGTTCTTGAAACGGTGCTTCCGGAGAGAGTTGCCTCCAGACGGATGTTCCACAGACTAGTATCTCCGGACCTAGCATCATGTTCACTAATCTGGCCCTGTCCATTGAACCCTACAGCATAGTTGTAATGAGCAACAAAGAGAAGTCGTGAATAATAATCTTCGAGCAGGTGGGTGAGCGCATAACATTTCCCATACAATTATTGACATAGAATCCGGACTTTCTTGCCAGTTCACGGACGACCGCAACCCGTTATGTGCGAGAAATAAGCGAGAAGCGATGATATTGAGAAGTTACTTTCGAAGTCAATAGAGTCGATAGAAATGCTGTTCAGGAATATAAAAGCAGCTCTCATTCTTGCTACTGAACTCCTGCTCAAAACATCACAATCTCACCCAGCACTTCTATCATTGCCAGCACATAACCGTTTACTATTAATCGCACTTGAAAATGTCTGAAAGCCTTGTTTTTATTACCGGAGCCACTGGCTACATTGGATCTCACCTTGTTGGTGATGTCCTCAAAGCTGGTCACCGTGTTCGTGTCGCGGTGAGAAGCCAGGAAAAATCTCAGTCAATCAAGGAGCTGTATCCTTCTGCTGCGGATAAGATCGAATATGCCGTGGTGCCAGATATGTCACAACCCTCTGCTTATCAAGATGCCTTGAAAGGCGTCAACTACGTGTTCCACCTGGCTGGAGCAATGGTCGACAAGGGAGTAGAGCTGGAAAGAGACTTTGTCGATCCTGTGGTCAATGGAACTTTGTCGATTCTTGAGTCTGCCAAAAAGGAACCCAGCATTCGCAAAGTGGCTATTGTGTCGTCCTTTTTGTCTTTAATCCCCATGGATGGTGTTTTGCGCAATCCTCTCCACATCAAGGGTATGTTCGTCCGAATAGCATCATGATTGAGTCAAGTAAGCTGACAATTTGGTAGCCAATACCGGCGAGAAGTTCGCTGTCGATTACAAAATGGCTTTCCCTGAAGGCTTACCTGGCCAGCTTCTCAAGTACCAGACAGGCAAAATCGTGGCCCACCAAGCCTACCGCGACTGGATCGAGAAGGAGAACCCCAAATTTACCGTTGTAAGCGTTCATCCTTCTCAGGTCTTTGGGCCTAGCCTGGTTCAAAAGTCCTTGAGCGAGCTCAGCGGAGTGAATTTCCTTGCTTGGATGAATCTCCAGTCAGATGGACCTCCGATGACGCCTTACTTGATGGTGGATGTTCGCGACGTCTCGGTCGCACTGGCACGAATCATTGATGCTGATGTCCCATCTGGGACCGAGCTACCCATTACTGGACCTCTTTACACCTGGAAGCAGTACGCAAGCTTTATCAACTCGAAATATCCTTCGTTGGCCATCAAATTTGCGCCTCAGGAGGAACCAACTTGGACAATGGATAGGGATGTTACAGACAAGTATCTCAAGGTGGACTGGACTGCACCGGAAGAAACTATCACTGCATTTGTTGATCAGCAAATTGCACTGCCATAAAGAAGAGGAGATTGTCCAGATTTATAGTTCAGCATAGTATAGGTGACTATGAGCAATGCCAATAAGAGATCTATATCGTCTTGACTAGTATGCACAGTAAAATAGCATTGTGAGTACTGACATGGCACGTCAAAAGAGATGTTCAATCTGATGGCTACAGTATATGCAATAAATTCCTATACTAAAACAGTAACTATTTTCGCTTATCTATGTGATGCTCTATCTAATTTTTCTCATTCTCGTTATGGACCAGCTTAACCTCACTTGCTGAGTCGCCGAATAAACCAGATTTCAGCTGGCTAGGATATTTCTCAGTTGAGTAACCGACTGAGCGCATCCACTCCTCGATGGTCTTCATGCGCTTAGGGTGAATCTTGTCCAAGCGAGCATAGTCCTTGGTCCAAAGGCCCTTGTTACCACCGCTCTCTTGCCAGATTGTGAACCAAGGAACAAACATCTCGGCCATGGTCTTGAGTGTTGGGTCTTCATAGCCTGGGGATCCAGCAAGACCAATCTTGGTGTCTGGCCACGACTGGGCCACTGCGGAGAGAGGTAGAGGCTCGAAGCGAGCAGGCTCTCCAGTCACCGCGGTGAAGGCGGCAGCAATAGTGTTGCCATTTACGTGATCAATGCCAACGCTGAGCAAGTCGGCTTCGAATTCCTTGGGATGCTCAAGCATGTATCGAGCGTACCAGGCGAAGTCAACCAATCCTACCATTGCCATAGCACCGTCAGCCTCGATGGGCATGCGGAAGACATAAACCCCATCGTCTCCCTTGGAAGGAGACCATGTAGCAAGATGGGACTCGGGATAGGGGCCGCTTTCAATAACACTCCAGACCATCTTGTCTGTTGGCTGGGCCTTCAAGAAGTCTAAAAAACGAGGAAAGTTAGTAATCTTCCGAGAGGCGTCAGGTCAGGTCATGGTCATGACTTTCTTACCGACAACCTTTGCCTTTCCGTCGACGAAAGGGACACGATACTTGGGGTTGAATCCAGACTTTTTAGACACAAATGGCAGAGAGCTGTAGACGAAGTGCTTGACGCCGGCCCAGTAGGCAATCTCGTAGATGCGGATGCCCCAGAAGATCTCAGCCTTCTCACCAATCGCGAAACCGTTGGTGTTGACGAAAACGGCGTGGACTCCCTCAAAGGCAGCAACGAGGTTGTCTTCGTCATAAGTGTCGGCCTCAACCACGGTGATGCGGGTGATGGCTGCAAGAGAGACGCTCTCCTCCGACTTGGCATTTCGAGAGAGGATTCTGACGGAAAAGGACTCGTTCTTGACCAACTCGCGGGCCACGGCGGAGTTCTGAGCTCCGGCTCCGCCCAAGATGAGGATGACTTTGGACATGGTGGATTCTTGAGTTATCTTGATGCAGTTTGTTGTGTTGTGATATGCGTGTGATGCGTGTGTGTTAACCAACTAGATGCTTGTGTGACTTGCTGATTTGAATGATAGGATAGCTTGAGAGGGAGAGCTTTCCAAATCTTTATATATTCTGTTACACTGTATATCTCCTCAATCTCCTTTACACGGTTCACTAATCATGGCTGATAGTATTTGGATTCTCATGAGGTCAGAGTTCCGAGGGCAGAAGATGTTGCGAGCTCAATGATGCTTGCTCTGTAACCAGGATTACTGATCCCGCCGCATTTCGATCTAAGGAGTTACCGCATTTGTCAAGGCCAGCCCAGAGGCAAGAGATGCAATTGGATGCCCCCTCTGCCATTCTTCTGCTTGGGGTAACGCGAAACGCCGCGGACTGTGTAGTTTTTCGGAGGCAAGGGCCGTCATGATGCCACTCTCGATTACTAAGATTTGGATTCATCAGCCTGGAGCATCAAAACAAAAAAGGTACTTTTGGTCAGAAATACAACGCAACAAGATACATCTATTGCATCCTTTCTCTAGTGCTGCAATCCATTGGTCTGGAACTTTATCACTATGTCCCCGGATATGTCAGCACATTCTAGAGTCTGAAGAGAGAGTTTTAGCCGGCAGAAAATCATCACAGATTCTGCTGGCTAATCGATTGGATTATAAATGTGGAGATTCTAGAACCAACTACAAAGTATAGCTACCTACTCTTACCCTCGGGAGACACCACCAGTTCCAAGGTATCACTACTTGCACCATCGGAGATGCCCCGTTTCTATGACCAGGGTACGTGCTACCTTCTTGGGAATAGCCTCTTTCAGTCATCTTAATAGTGATCACAACGGAGACTTTCCTCCTTTCTCGCCAATCAGGATTGCAGTTTTGTTTGGTCAGAAGCCGACGCTCGGCTCGGAGATTTTGGGCGCCTCTCCCATCATTAGTCGGAATGTTTATAAAGAGAGCCGGTTCGCCATCAGTCGTGATTGGCAGAGATTACAATTCATCCGTCTCCGATACGTTGCTATGATGGCATATGTATCTCATAATCACTCAAATTCTTGGTTTGCAACGGTGAAATCAGGACCTTTCTCGAAGACGAGTACGCATGCTCTGACCATATGGTCGACCTAATATAAAGAAACAAAAAGGGGGGTTCGAATTTCTCAAAATCTTTTCCTCCTTCTCTTCATCTACCCAACCAGCAATTGTACGGTCCATGAGAGCGCGTGAGAGCCTGGTCATAAACGCCAATATAATTTTGAGGGAGACAGAGTGTCCCTGAATCGCCATAATTGAAAGCGTTGTCGTGGGATTTGACGGGATTTCAGAGACAGACAGAGTTAGAGGTACCCTTGACTCTTCCAGCATCATTTATAAGCTGACCAAGTTCCACAACGTAATTGTGCTGAAGCTCATGTGGGCGTTGATTGGAAAGGATGGCAGCATTCCCAGTCCTGCTCAGCAAGATGTTATACATACACTTACAAAGATGTCGATGAGGCTCACTACGTATTAAACCACCCCTCTGTCCGGAGTCAATACAAAGGAGGAACCGGAAAATTCTATGAGACCTTCTTCCAAGCTTGACCGCATTTACGCGGGTGTGGGCCTTGGCGGTATCACATTAACACAATATGGAACATGGTTTCAAAAGCGATTTTAGTCAGAAATTTTTCAGTAAATAGCTATGGGGAAAACATATGAAGAGCAAGGTCTGACCATATAGGACCTATCTGCTAATTAGACCTAAAAACTTCCTGGCTGAAAGTTATTGTAGCATATCGGACTATTCTTAAGGCTTTTTCATAACAGTGGCAATCGCATCTTTCTCAGTGAGACCACTGACACCAATTCTCAGATAATTGGGATCGCTGTCAATCAATTTGGCTGCCTCGCCACTTCTAAGCTCCTCAACATCCCAATTACTCCAGATAAAGCGGCCGTGAAGGAAGGCAGCAGCGGGAGTTGCGGCCCAGACACTTAGGGCAGCAGGCAGGCTTTCTTCTCTACGAGTTAGCAGCTGACTTTTTATTGTGATACAGAGATGCAAGACGATTTTCTTGAACTAAAGGGCCATGTTGAAACAGATGACTCACCATTATCCCAGTTAATTGGAGAGCTCTCATTGAATCCATCTGCGCGACTCATGGGTGTAAGAACAGCACCTGGATGAAAGCTAACGATTTGCATTTCTTCCGCTTCGTGTTCTTGGGCGAATTGCTGGGCGATACCCAGACTGGCGTTCTTGGTCAATCCGTATGACGGCTTCCCTGACAAGTGCCAGACATATGTGATCAGAGTGGAAATATTGACAACGTATCTTGGACCTCCAGACTTTTGATGATAAAAGTGTTGAATAAGGTCAAATGTAGAGCGGACATTGATGTGATAGTCTCCCCAAAATTCGTCCAAGGGCATGTCGACCATCTTTTTGGGCGTTCCACCCGTTGCCGCGTTAAGGACCAAGACATCGAGGGTAATGCAATCTTCTTTCAAGCCAGAGAACAACTTTTTGACCGAGGCGGGATCGGCAATGTCACCACTGCGAGTATCTACAATGGTGGGTGATCCGAGTTGTTTGGCCTCCGCAACAAGCTGTTCACCAGCCGATTCCAAAACATCAGCTCTGCGACCGAAGATGACAATGCGCCTGGCATTTGCGGAGATGAAGGCTTTGCTAATGGCATATCCAATTCCGGAGTGGCCGCCGGTGATGAGGACAATCCGGCCAGCCTGGCTGTTTTCCGGCCGCTTAGGGTCGATGGTTGGGTAGGCCGCTTTGCGGATGTTCTTGATGGATGGTAAGCCCATTATGCCGGTTATACTTTGCTGTAATGGGAAAACAAGTTCGTCGATATAATGCTTCAATTTAAGAGGTGTAATAAGATATCCAATCTAATAAAAGAGGTGCTAATAATTCAGTGTTGACTTGATTATCCAGTTTCTAGCTGACTTGGTTCACAAGTTTATATGTCTTATATACCAGAGAGTCAATAACATTGCTTGCAAATAATGTTACCTATTTACACCATTTGTAATCTACAGCTTCTCTTTTCATCCTTGAATTTGCGTATTTTTGCTTACATCAAACGCATCTTGGATCTTTCCAACAGTCCTAGTGCGGGGCCGCTCGTGGCGGACAAAATGTCCGCAGGTGTCGCTCCAAGAAAGTCAACTGGGTACTGCTTACTGAATAATGTACTTGTCATTAGGAAAGTAGGTATAGTAGTAATAACATTCTACAAAGTAATTAAGGGTAGAAACCCAAAGTACAAGTCAATTGTCTCATAATATTAAGTCTACACCAGTATTTTGTTGACAGCTAGAACGCACGTTGAACTGGCTTGACGAACACTTCACAACACTCATCCAAGCTAACTTGCCTAACCTCTTCAAGGACCACGGTACGAAAAAAAATCTTGAACTTGCCTGATCTACAACAGCTAGTCCGTCTTTGTTTACGTTCGAATGAGACCCCTTTGTCGACAACTGCTACGTTTGTTACTAATGGGCACATTTGCCTTGCGGACAGGAAGCCCGCAAGACCCCACTCTGTATGATGACAAACCCCCTGTCACGGATTCCGAAGCCGCAGACTATTACCAACTTGACCTCTGCCGTCATTCGTTATGGCTTCTTTTTTCAGTCAATGGACTAATGAAATACATCGTGATGAATCAACATAGCACATCCCGGGCGGACCCTCGGCATGCGAGGCGAGTCTCCTGCATCATCTGTGCCAAGGGCAAGCGGAGATGCTCCCGCCAGATCCCATCGTGCACCAGATGCGCCGAGAAAGGCTTTGTCTGTCGATATCCTGCTCCTCGCATCTCCTACGTTCCTCCCATCGAACTCGTCTTCTCTTCTGATGGCCCACCGACGGTGTATCAGGACCTGCGCGGATCCGCCGGCAACTCTGCTAGTTCCGGTGCTTCAAGTGCCACGGCAAACGGCCGTTACCATGAGCAGCTCCTCTTGGATAGTACTAACGAAAATAGAAACCATCTCGCCCAGGACTCCACTTCGTTCTTGACTGAATCCCGTTCTGCTACCACTGGAGATGAACCTATATTGGCTCCTCATCTATCTAACCCGTGGTTTCTATCGCCAAGCTCCTGGGTTATTACAGACAATACTGATTCCGTCCGACCTCGCGGCTGTCTCAACGAAGAGGCTCTTCGACAGTTCCCGGACCATGCCATGGCTTGGCTGAAACAGTGGTCTGTAAAAGGTCATTGCCCTTTCATTCACTTGAACCAACAAAAGACGTTCAACGGCTTCCCAGACTGCCTGCAAGATGCCTATACCGTTACCGCTGCATACACAAACTCCACGCCAGCAACAAAACAACTCGCCCTGCGTATCCTCCAAAGTCGCGCCGCACAGCTCGTCAGCACCTTTAAAGACGCCCGATCTCTGGAAGATCTTATATATGGTCCCATGACGGCGCTATCCCGCCTCCAAGCTCTTCTAGTATATACCATTATAGGACTTTTCGACGGCGATATTCGCGCAAGGGGTCAAGCTGAAAGCAATCTCGATATCCTTACGACTTGGTCAACAGAACTCTGGGAACGGGCCGTGCTGGATATATCTCAAAGTCGTGCGGCTGAAGACAACCCTAGCACTGACATCAATGACCTTCTGGCTACGGAACGTTGCAAGAAAGTTGGAACGGCGCAAGAGGCCATGGATGCCGCTGCTCCTACGTCAACTGATCCGACTATTAGCACTACCAAATACGACTACATGGGGCTCATCATGGACGGAACTATATATTCTGCTTGGCAATCGTGGATATTTGCCGAGTCAATACGCAGAACCTATCTCACTGTTGGCATCACCCGCTCCGTATTTCGGGTCCTGCAGAAAGGGTGGTCCGATTGTCCTGGTGGTATTATCTTTACCGCGGCGAACGGGCTGTGGGACGCATCAGATCCGCATACATGGATGAAGCGTATTTCTTCGTCAGGATTTTTGCCCGTGCGGCACACGGATATGGGAAACTTGGTAGATCAGACAGATCGCTCCAAAGTGGATGAGTTTTCGCACACTATTGTCATAATATCATTTGGATTGGAGAGATATGCACAATGGGGGGCTGATTCCAATGAACAGGAAAGTGTGTCTGCAGACTCGCAGAGGCGATTATAACAGTTCATTTAATTAGTAGAAATTTAGTATCAACCATTCATACAAACCTTGAAGTTATAGGACACTATAGACTCAATTTTAGAGACATTAAACTACAGAAATACAACCTTAATATTGTTACTTGTTTATCTGAAGATTATTTCTCAATTACCCGAACACTATGTATTTCAACTTGATCTGAGATACAGACGTGAAATGCAAAATGATTCTGAAAAGTATAGGGTAGCTCCACATCCTGAGTCGAAGCCATAGATACCTAGGTACGTGTCACCTGGCACTGTACACCTCTAGTACCCATTTCGAGATGCGCGTCAGTGCTATTATATCGTCCGGAATAATAAAATCCGGCAGATATTGAGATGCGACATCGGGGTTATTATTTTCCTTGTCATTGGTTTCCTCTCATCTTTTCTCTTTCTTCTCCCGTCTCGCCGGGTTTGGGAGGCCATCACGATCCATGCATCACAAGTTCATCATCTTCTTGCTTTGTGTTGGCAAACAACTAGACCGTCAATCGCTCATCTAGACGTCGTAATTCGGCCAGGCGATACGGTGGCAAGTCAGCACGTGAGGCGCGCAGTTGAAGATTCAATTGCGGCCATGTGCGTAATCAAGTGAAGAGATAGAGTTTGTATTAATACCACCGCAGATCCACAAACATCCCCGATTTCTTTCATGATGAGACACGTGCTCGAGGGAAGGCCTGCGATAAGCTTACATGGACAAGCCGCAGAATGCTTGGAGTGGGTCGATCATTGGAACGTGTCTGTCTAGTGGTGGTGGCTAGTTGAATTGGATGCCTCTGTTTTTACACTTTTTTCCTTATGCTCCAGTTCTTTTCTTTGCCTCCCGCAGGCGGCTGAGAGTTGCCAAGCCAGCAGATGAACCGAAGTCAGGTCAGAGACACCGAAGCAGTGGGCGAATGAGGCGTGAAATCTCTAAATACTGGGACTCCGCCGCCTTGGCCGTGGCGCTATGGAGCAATGAATCGAGTCTTGGCTGCGCCGTTGATCGCTTTCCGGTCACCGAAGCGCCGCACGTGTGCTAGAGTGGCGAGAAGATCTGGTCATGACTGGCCATGATGAGCCTAAAGACTGTATTGGATGGGGGCAGACGTTATGCCGAGCTAGTTTTGAAGCCCTGAATCGTTCCGCTGAGAGGCTTCTGAGCAGCAAACCAGACCACCATTGGCACCCCGTGGGAACATTGAAGTGACACACACCCCTGAACGGCTTCAAGGAGCTAGCGCTGGAATGGATGCCAAGCTTAAATGCTAACTTTATCCACACTGGATGTAAGTGGTCAACCTTATTGCGGTTTAACTTGGGTCGTTGCCAGTCTTGGCAAGGCCGCAGACGAATGCTTTGTTTCTTCGAGGCCGAGGCACGTGCTCTGTCGTGATGGAGGGACTTGAGCTGGTTTTGGGATAGCCTGTCTGATTGGACCCTGGCTATCTTTTTTCGATAGCGGTGGTGGTGGTGGTGGTTGGTGGTGGTGTTGGCTCTCCTCTCAGGCACGGAGATAAGGACAGACGGAAGATGAACAAAGAAGACGGAAGAGAAGAAGAGTCTCGACCGTCGTTGGACTTTGGCCAGATGGATGGGGAGATTCATCAGCTTGTCCGCTTCCCGGCCGTATTATTTGCATTTCAGGGCGTTCACGCGACACTCGGTCCAGCTTTGAGAAAGAGGCGGCCTACATGGCCGGTTCGGGAATCTCTTGGCCGCAGCAAGTCTGTTCAGCCGGTGGATCCATCTCGACGAACAAGAAGTCTGGGGGCCGCATCGATCTACCGCTGAGAGCCGTCGACGAACCCACGTGTATTTTCCCGGGGACGTGATAGGGAGAACGGACTGCGCGAGGCTTACCCTGCCACCAACAACGTCGTGCCTGGTGCTGTCTGCGTTAGAGCTTGGAACTTTGCAAGGTTCCACGAACACTTTCCATCAGACAGCTGTTGCTTCAGGACTAGGCCAATATCCGTTGCCACATGCTGATCTATTCTTTGCCCAAATGTGTGCATGGACGACGTCGGTGTCCCAACGGGGAAAGGACCACGATGTTCTGCTCCATCTTGCCCTCTGTCTTCCTTCTTGTCGTGCGTGGGAACGCACAATACGATGGTGGCTATGGAGCAAGCGGATAACGATGGAACCTGTACCGAGGAGAATATGCACAGGGTGCCTGGTGCTGGGTGCCTGGTGCTGGTTACATGTAGTACATGTACGAGTAGTAGACCTAGGGATATAATACATATTTAAGAAGCGTCCTGTGCGACTGCCCTTGGACCTCTCTTCCGGCTTGTCTCTTTACAATCCCCATTTCAAATCTCTGCAGGATCACCCTTCCTACAGTTTGGGGTTGCTGAAACGCACATCCGTCAAAATGGTGCTCCATCAGTATGACTACATCTTTGCCATTGGCACTCTGTTTGCCATGCTGGATGCCTACAACAACGGTGCCAGTAAGTAGTCTCTTTGCAAAGCTTGACGACTTCACAATGGTGAATTATCTAACCCATCTGCTCTTACAGACGATGTTGCCAACTCTTGGGCCACCAGTGTCTCATCAAGGTCCATCTCCTACCGACAGGCCATGATCTTCGGTACCGTCTTCGAGATGCTCGGTGCCATCACTGTCGGTGCCCGAACGGCCGATACCATCAAGAACGGCATCATCCCCACCTCTGCCTTCCAGGGCAACACCGGTGTCCAGATGCTCGCCTTCACCTGCGCCCTCGCCGCCGCCTCGTCTTGGGTCATGTGGTGCACTCGTCACTCCGCTCACGTTTCTTCCACCTACTCCCTCATCTCTGCTGTCGCTGGTGTTGGTGTTGCTACTGTCGGTGCTTCCAAGGTTCAATGGGGATGGAATGATGGCAAGGGTCTTGGTGCCATCTTTGCTGGCCTGGGTATGGCTCCCGCCATTGCGGGTGGTTTTGCTGCCGCCATTTTCCTCCTGATCCGCTTCGTCGTTCACGTCAGGAAGAACCCTGCCCCCTGGGCCGTCTACTCCTCTCCCTTCTTCTTCCTAGTTGCCGGTACTATCTGCACGCTGTCCATTGTCTACAAGGGTTCTCCCAACCTGGGCCTCGGCAAGAAGCCTGCGTGGTACATTGCCGCTGTCACCATGGGCACTGGCGGTGGTGTTGCGCTTCTGTCTGCCATCTTCTTTGTTCCCTTTGCTCGCGCCAAGATCCTGAAGAAGGATTACACAGTCAAGTGGTGGATGTTCCTCCTCGGACCTCTTCTGTGGAACCGCCCTGCTCCCGCCGATGCTGAGACCGCTGCCGTTCCCGACTACGCTGTTGTTCAGCACCACAAGGATGATGAGCACTCTTCCGGCAACTCTGTCGATGAGTCCCTCGACGGCGAGGTCCTTAAAAACGACGTGGATGCCACGACAACCCCTGCTGATGCCGAGAAGAACATCTCTGCTGTTGAAGCTGCCAGGCCCACCTACGCCGAACTCATGGTTGAGAACCAGAACCGCCTCAATGCTAGACTATGTGAGTTTAGAGATCAAGGGAAACACAAGTAAGCTGTACTAACTTGGAACTAGACAAGAAACCTGGACCTATTGGCTGGGCCATGCGCACTCTCCGTGACAACCCCATGGGCCCTGGTGAGATCTACGAATTCAAGAACATCAAGATCCTTGCTATCCGTATCCCCGCCATGATCACTGCCGGTCTTCTCTATGGCCTCTACTACGATATCCACGCTGCCCAGACCGGTACTGAGGGTACTCCCGATGGTGAGCGCATGAAGCGTGTCTACGCCGCTGCCGAGAAGTTCCCCAACGAGGTTGAGCACACCTACTCTTTCATCCAGGTTTTGACTGCTTGCACTGCCTCTTTCGCCCACGGCGCCAACGATATCGGTAACTCTGTTGGTCCCTGGGCCGTCATCTACTCTGGCTGGAAGACTGGTAACGCTGCCGCCGCCAAGGCCCCCGTTCCCGTCTGGCAGTTGGCTGTTCTGTCTGCTATGATCTCCATCGGTCTCTGCACCTACGGCTACAACATCATGAAGGGTAAGTTTCACTCTGAGCTGCATCTCTTAGTTTGATTCTGATGTACTAACTCGCCGTATAGTCATGGGTAACAAGATCACCTACCACTCTCCTTCTCGTGGTTGCTCCATGGAGATGGGTGCTGCCATTACCGTTCTCGTCTTCTCTCAGTACTCTCTGCCCGTTTCCACATCCATGTGCATCACTGGTGCCACCGTTGGCGTTGGTCTCTGCAACGGTACCTTCAAGGCCGTCAACTTCCAGCGAGTTGGACTTTTGTTGTTCTCCTGGATCATGACCATTCCCATTGCCGGTACCCTCGGTGGTGTGCTGATGGGCCTCTTCCTCAACGCTCCCCACTTCCTGCCTGCCGCTGCTTCTGCTTAAGCAGCTCATCTTCATACACGAAAAAAAAAACATTCTGGGGATGAGGTCAAGGTTGTGGATAGAACTGTGTTTATTACAAAATGATTGATATCCTGCATACATATTTATGGTTGCTCTGTACTTATTTTAATTTTAGCGATGAAGGGGACAATACCTGGGTAGTTTAAAAATAGTCGACGCGTTTCGCGTCATGAGGAATATTACACATGATGACGATGAACTGTGGTTTGTTTGACAATGATGAATGTATTGTATCAATTAATGAATGAAGTGATTGTTTTCGGGAAAGTCTAGTAATCATAGCGCTGTCATAAGTCGCGCCTCAATGAGACATCGTTGTTCTCAAACAGGAAGAAGAAGATTGGAGAAACGGGAAGAAAATGCAGACGATCATCTAGTGGGGAGAGGATATATATGTACTTTGTTCTATTGAGTGACGACTCTTTTCTTCCCCGGCATTATTCGCTGAGGCTGAGACTTTGTTAATGCTGTCTTGTGCACTGTTCATCGGGAATGGTCATTAAAAACATGAACCTTGAAAATATGTAACTTCACAAACTTCCTGCAGTGAATCCGTAATCACCAACTCAAAGCTGAATAGACAGAACACAACTCGTTACCGCAATGTGTAGTAGTTGGACTGCTATCATTAAATACGCGAAGCAACCTCGTAAGGCGTACGTAGTTAAATGCGTGAGGTATTTAGCTCATTAATCTTCTTTTCATAACTACCTAGTTGCTGAAAAAAAGCATACCTACTTTGAGTAGTAACTCAAGGTTGCCAGAGCGCTGAATGGCTAATTTGGGGTACGTGCGGCCGCTTTCAGTTTCTATGGTCTCCCGACTCTTTAAACCCCTGTTCAATAGACAATCAAGCGAGCGCTTGTTAGCTAATCTGCTTTCTCATCATTACCAGATCAAGAATATGAAATGATTCCATAGTACTAGTGGAAACCCTTCTATAATTGCTCCAATCAAATTACCGATTTCGCGAGGCTGCATTGTATGGCGCTACCCGCGCCGATTACAAATCCGATAATTACGCTACAGTCGGAATTACACTGATCGAGATGCGGCTAGACAAGGCGATTTATCACTTCTTGTTGAATGTTGGTTGTGAAACTTCAGCGTCGGATAGACTTGAGTAAAGAATGACAAATGTAATTATCTAGGTTGGAATGTATAGACATGCTAGTATCACGGGATGAATTGCTTTGAGATATAATAGTCGAGCTTCACTACGCATTCAATAGAACTTATTATCTTTAGAAGCTTCATCTACTCCCAACTCTTCGAACTCAATATTCTAACAAGAAAAAAACTACAATACACAATATGGCTAATGAGGCATTATGGCTGACTGGAGTTGGCGAGCAGCCAAAGCTTGGACTGGCGGATATACACGAGCCTGGAGAAGGTGAGATGTTGATTCAGGTTCGTTTCATCTACGACATCATTCTTCGAAAGATCCCTCAAAAGTATACTGATTGGGATGCAAAGGTCAAAGCCATAGCAGTTCAGCCTGGAGAATGGAAAATGCAAGAGGGCCTCATTCCTATTAAGCTCAAGTACCCAACTGTTATTGGCCGTAGGTATCTATCTGAACCCGCACTGTTGTTATCACTTCCTAACAAGATAAATAGTTTCTGCGTCTGGAATTGTTCAAAAGACTGGCCCTGGCGTTACCCGTTTCCAGCCAGGAGATCGCATTTTGACCAATACTACTGGAGTTCTTCGAAATGACTCTCGTTTTGGCGCTTATCAGAGATACTGTCTTGTTCCCGAAAAATTAGCTTCAAAGGTAGCCCTTCTTTTAAACAGTGGTGCGATAAACATGTCTCTAATTGCCATTATATCCAGATAAGCGATGTATCGTTTGATGAAGCTGCAAATATCGCTACATCCTACACGGCGATGAGTGCTCTAGTCCTTCATCTTGGTTTGAACAGGCCACAGATACCCAGTGCACCTGCCACTGGCGAAAAGATTCTCATCTGGGGTGTATCATCATCGCTAGGAATTTTTGCGACTCAACTGGCTAGGCAAGCTGGGTACGCTGTTGTTGGTGTCGCTTCTGGTCGCCACAAACAGCTTGCAGAGCGGTTTGGTGTTACACATTTCGTAGACCGTACCTCTAAAGATGTCGTCTCTGCAGCGTCCGCACTGGGCCCATTCAAGGCCGCTTTTGCTGCTAATGATTCTGCAGAGGACCAAGTCAAAATCGGAGCGATACTGGCGGCTCTGGGCGGAGGCTCATTTTTGTCCACGATGGGTGTTCGAGCAGGAGTTGAATTGCCTGCGGGCGTTACGGGACATTTTGCCCAGTACATTGATGACTACTTGGATGAGAAGAATAGTGAGTTTACAGAGTGGTTCTGGTGGAACTATATGGAAAATGCTCTGGCCAAGAAGCAGCTCACGTCACTGCCTCTCACTATTCTTGGGGGACTAGACAAAACAGGAGAGGCGTGGAGGATCCTGAAGCATGGAGAAAATCACGGAACACGACTGGTCATTGTGCCGGATCACAAGGCATGAGCGCGTTGGCATTTCCTGTACCAAATAAGTTAGTTGAATAAGTCGAACAACAGTCTTTGAATATAGCAGTAACTGAGAGAGCGAGGAAGAATAGTAAGGTTTGACTTGAGGACTTCATTTAGGAATATGCTGCCCAGTTGTGGTTCTAATACTCCATAATACTCCATTGGCTGGAACTGTTACGCCCTCCCTACATGTGGGTCTTTACGCTCGAGATAATAGCTGCATCAATTTAGCTTCTCGAATTTCTCTTCAAATTGCTCTTTGACGTTGCATTGACTCACTCGCCGCAAGGCATCAACAGCAGCACATTAGTGACTCTTGCGTTGTTTTTAAAGAATGACAATACCTTCTTATAATAACAGTTACGTCGTCGTCGACAGAAACGGCATCGTCGAAAACAAGCACTTGGTTCATGCTGTCGTCGTGGACTCTACCGGGCAGCTTCTGCTTTCCCTCGGCGACCCATCGCGAATAACCTTGATTCGCTCCGCAGCCAAGCCTGCTCAAGCGCTGGCAGTTGTGGAAACTGGTGCCCTTGAGCAATTTGGCTTTGATGATGTTGATCTAGCACTCATGTGTGCCTCACACAGCAGCGAAGAACGGCATGTTGCACGGGCTCAGCAAATGCTCGCGAAATCACAGCACATTGAGGATCAGTTGCGCTGTGGTGGTCATCCTTCAATCAACTTAGCTATCAACCGAGAATGGATACAGCGTGGTTTCGAGCCAACCGGAGTTTACAATAATTGCTCCGGAAAACACGCGGGTATGCTAGCCGGTGCTAAAGCTATCACCGCTTCCTCAGACGACTATCACCTATTGACACATCCGATCCAGGCTAGAGTCAGGCGGGTGGTGGAGGAATTGGCAGGTCTGGAAGAACAAGATGTTCAGTGGGGGCTTGACGGTTGCAATATGCCAGCTCCCGCGCTACCCCTCTTCCATCTGGCTAAGATTTATGCTTCATTTGCTCAAGCGTCAGATGCATTGGCAAGCGGCGATCCAACCGCTAAAAGAGTACAACATATGGGGCGGATATTTAACGCCATGTCTCGAAGCCCCGAGATGGTTGGCGGCGAGGGCAGATTTGATACGCTCCTTATGCGTGCTTTCAATGGCACTATCATCGGGAAGGTTGGGGCCGATGGCTGCTATGGGATCGGACTGCGTGAGTCTGAGCGGACCGAAAATCTTGGGGCTGTGGGCGCAATTGGTATTGCGGTCAAGATTGAAGATGGAAATTTGGATATACTCTATGCCTCCGTGGCCGAGATCTTGGAGCGGCTGAAGGTTTGCAGCCGAGAAGACGTACAGAGCCTGGAGACATATCATCATCCTAAAATTAGAAACACCATGGACATCGTCACAGGTACAACAAACTTCCAGTTTAGTTTTAAGTCAGAAAGAGGAGTTTTGATCGGTTAGGAATTGATGGAAAGTCGTACGAACAGACATAAAGATGACTTAATTTGCCCCGATATTGAAGAGTAGCAAATTGCACCCCCGTACAATAAGTCGGTGAGGTTAGCTAATTGGGAATGAATACCTCGGTATAATTAGCTAATCGCGAATCCCTATCTCATTCCTTTTACTTCCAAAGAAACACAAGCTATCGAGTTGTAGGTTGGTAGTCTGAAAGTTGTGGGTGCTAGTAAACTATCTAGGAAGATATCAGAAAATCGGCTTTTTAACATCAACCCATGTATTTGATAGCTTTCTCGCCAGCGCATGGCCTTGATGCAGAAAGAATAGCTCTTTTTCAAATATGAGATGTGATACAGAAAATAGATATGACCGAATTCGCAAGAGCACGACGAATACGGCGACATGGGCCTCTGGGTCCTATCTCCGAAATAGTTTCGGTTGAAACATATATAGTGGATGATTATCTATATTGTGGTCGTATTGAGAGTCGTATTGATGGTCATAATGATTGATCATCAGACCAGTTGAACCCTCAAATTATCCCCTGTAATTGAACCGCGTCGTTAGATTCCTACCGTCTCATGTACCGGACCTCGGTAAATACGGAATTCGTATCCTTGATGTTCGGCAAGATGGAATATAAGTAGGCGTAATTGCTGAGATTTAACAATTATTGTTATAGTGACCCATAAACCCTATTAACTGACTAGTATCCCCCCCTTGCCATTTGCTATTTCACTTATTCTGATTCAGCTGATATCCAGTGTGGTCAAAGCGATCTTAGCCATGTCGTCTTACAGTGGTACTTGCAATTGCGGCTCTATCACCGTCACGCTTAACGCAGCTCCTTCCGCAACCTTGGCGTGTCATTGGTATGCCGTCAGTAGAGAGTAACGTCCATGTTATATGCTGATACGATGCGTCTGCTAGCTCGAACTGTCGTCGCTCAGGTGGACGTCCGTTAAGTCTTACCACAACTTCATCTCACTTGTCTAACTATGAAATAGCGTTTTCGATCAATTATCTGGTCGAGGAAAAAGAGTTCACAGTTAGTGATCCTAAGAGTTCCGCAAAGCAATACCTCGATTCCAATACTGCATCCAAATTTTCATTAACGGTGTGTTGTATGAGCATTAATAGCATGATGATTAATACTAACTCATGTTCTTCGTCCATCAGCGCACATTTTGTCAAACATGTGGAAGGTATAGAATGCCAGGCTCCTTTCATGACCATGTACTATTCACAAGACAAGGCTGACTTTTTAATAGTCCTCTTTTTAGCCAACCCGAAAAGATGCCAGGCAAATACTTCGTTAAAGCATCACTATTCGACGAGATACCTTCCGCCAGGACTGACATTTTTTTGGAAAGAAAGATTCACTGGGAAGGAGACGTTGACGTCAGCGCCTGATGAGCTACATGCAAGCTTTATGATGCCTTACAGTGCTATATTAAATAGGAATATACTCTTCTCAAAGACAAATTATATGACACTGCGCAGGATGAGCTAGATCTCGAAGGAGGTAGCATACTTTATCCATGTACTTGTATTACATTTATTTGAGTGAGTGGTTATAGAGATATATTTCATGTTCTATTCATAGTATGTTCTATTGATAAGCGTCCCAATTCTTTCGATATATACCCTTATATCATCTCCATCTCGCAGAAATATTTTTGGATTTCTCAGAGATCCTATCCCTGGTCCGGTACCGGTCATGACCACTGTTCCTCGTTCGAGTGTTGTACCTTGCGATAAAAAGGATACTATCTTGTTGATGTTGAAGATAAGTTCCCTACAGTAGTATGTAAGTTATGTTGGTTAGATACTTGAAGAACTTTATTAACTAACCTGGTGTTTGAATCCTGCACTATGTCTCCGTTGTATATTGCCTGGATTGCCAGGTTACCTGGGTCACCAATGGCGTCTGGGCTCACCAGGACAGGTCCTATGGGGGCTGATCCATCAAATCCTTTGGAGAAGCACCACTGGCTATTCTTAAACTGCTGACTCCTGACAGACACATCGTTACTGCATGTATATCCAAGAACGTATTCTCCAGCCTTCTCTTCTGGTATGTCCCTTCCATCCTTTGCAATTATAAATGCAAGCTCAGCTTCATAATCGCTAGAATCATCTTGGCCTATTTTAGCAAGATTAATGGTGGTCGGATGGGGCGAACTAATGGCAGTTCTAGGCTTGATGAAAAGCACTGGTTCTTCCGGGATGGGCATTTTTGCTTCAATAGCATGGTCGTAGTAATTGAGTCCAAGACAGCGAACCAAAGGTACATCGTGGTAATCTAAAGGTGCTAGAAGCTATAAAGTATTATTTGACCATATTACTGCGATGGGAGATCGTAATGAGCCTACCTGCTTTACCGTCATGACCTTGTCTGTTACAGTACCGTCAAAGGCAGATCCAACTATTAGACGCGCTTGAACACGCTTTCCGTTGTAGGTGTCCAATCCGACATCTGGATTAACGGATAGATCAACTTGGCCTAGATGAATCTGATTATCTTCATCTGCTATGAAGCGTATCAAATGTGTCCAGTTGCGTGCCATGGTCGATTAAAGAATGTGTGTAGCGAACTGGAAGCACTTAATTCATGATACTAAGAGTCTTGGGAAGCGGATAACCTAATCATTATATAGAACGATCGATAGGTATGATCACTAGATTCTTGTGATTGTTATGAAATGAGAGATCTCCTATCTGACGTGGTCCGAAATTTCGCCCGAACAACATCAATCAGCGATTAGCCCGAAGAATCGACCGAAACCCACCGATCAGTCGATCGGCCAGATACGCATCCGGACTCTTACAATCGTTTTCCAAACACAAAAGCATTTAGGAAATTGAGGCTATAGCAGCAAATTTTTATCGATTCGCAACACGTGGCCTTTTCTTCTCCTTTTCTCCTTCTATCAGTGTGATTGCTACTCGCTACTCTATAATAAGTTGTCCGGGTATACATATGTCCCCAGAATGTCGTCAACAGTACATAGGTCATTCTGCTGCGAATTTTGCCAAATCTCCGAAAAAATGGTATCAATTGGCAAATCCAAGGAAAACCCCAGATTGGAGCCATCGAGGCTTGCATCACAAACATAATCGCCGCTATCAAGTGGGAAAGTGCCTTCACAAGCTGCCATGCCCATCTGCTGCACGCAGTCTATTGAATTGCTCCGCCCACTTTCTTCCAGATCTTTACAAGCTGGGGAGCCATTGCTCTTTAAACTGGTATCCCCATGCTAAGCACCTGTCAGTACTATGTCCACGTTGAAGCGGGTTATGCTTACGACCTGAGGAATGAACTCTTCTTCTGGAGAGCGGGGAGCTGCACTAGGCTGATTCATAGCAGAAGACCTTGAGACAACATGAGCCCTTATGCTGCTAAGAGTGCTTTGTAACTTGTCCAAGTTCTGTAAAAGTAAAGGCGAGGTATTCCAATATTGCTCATGTTGTATCAACGTCAGGCGCAGTAAATCAAAGCTGGACTGCGCCATGACTTTTTCGGATTTCGTTTTCGCAAATGTTCTTTGTACAAGCTGTATCGCAGCAATTATCCAGAAAGTGTTTACTAAAAGAGGGTCTCCATAACGAATATGGTCCATCGACGCGTTGCGGACGATACTAACCACATTATCTGCGGCATCAAGGTACCTTGACCATACAGAATTTGGATGTGAGTTGGATTCACCTGGCCATGGCGAAGACGCTGTGTTGCCGAATGTGTTTGTGTCGTCCTCTCTCTCGACAGCTCGGTTGTCGTTACGGAAGCAATCTTTGTGAAGTATCATTATCTTGGCAAGTTGAATCATTGCATGAATCGTTTGTTTCACGCTGTCTCTCCGTCGCGCATAAATTTGATCCTGACCTGATGGAGTTGAAAATAAATGCTCTGAACGATAACGAAGCTGCTGAGGTAGCGACAGCTTAAAGCACGAGACGCAGTTGTCAAGCACGGCGAGTTTTGATGCCCTCTCAAAATCTTGACCGTTTCCCCGGGTTAATGGTAACCGATTTCCCCCGTAAGATCTAGTATCCTCATCGCTGAAAGATCCCACAGGAACAGATGCATTCGAGAGGGAGTGCGCGTCTCGCATGAAAGAATTGATGACTATGAACCAGGTTCTGCCACTTTCATTGTCGCTATTTTTCAGTTCCTTCCATCGAAGTACGGGATCTGCCTCAAAGAAGCAACTTGGAGCCTTTTCCCCATTGAACCAGTATTTGTCGTCAACGGGTAGAAGCGTAGCATGTTGTTCTGGATCCATGCCGAGTGGACACTTGCGTATGGTGGTCGCAAAGACTTCAAATTCCCAAATAGTCCACCACGCTCTCCGTCTTTCTTCTTTAGCCATCCATAGCTCTACAGGATCCGTATCAGTTTTGGAGGAAGACAGTTTCAGAGGCAGATCGACGAGATGAAGTCGAAGTTCGTATGCAATTCTAATCACCGCTCCTAGTGACCGCCATGCGACTCCGCGAACACCACTGACCAGTTCGTAGTATGTTGTCATGATGAAAGCCTGAAGGAGGAATAATGGAGGGGATTTGTCACCACAATTTCGCAACTGCTTGTGAACCAAATTCGACGCGATTTCGTAGAACTTAGACGGATTTAGCACCGCTTTTCGAGTGTCATCTCTGTCTTTACATAGGTGCTTAGCAGACAGCGAGAAAATGGAAGCAAATAAAGCAGTGGATTGTTCGGGGTCGAGTTCGCTATTAATGCGCTGTTGAAAGGTTGGTCGGTGGAATAGTGAAATTGCGGTGAGATCGGAGAAGAATAAGTCCATTCTGCAAAACGCTTGGAGTCAACGTTTCATTCATAATATAGTACCTTAATCTTAGAACTCACAATTGAAGAAATTCATCTTCCGATATTTCCAATGCGGCGCAAACATGCGTGGTATTATCATGGTGTATTGTCGTTGGTGGAGTTGGGATGAAATGTGTCTGAGGAGAGCAGGAACTTTTGCGACTTTCCTCGGGCTCCTCGTAATAAGCCTGTTTCTCATGGAAATGATGCAATATCCAGCTTGATATACTATTTGACTTTTCTTCGTGTGCTAAAAGGTGTTGTAAAGGGACATCCTCGGCGTCTAAGCCTTTACGAGAATTATCGTCTGAACATCTTTCGGGCGGCCGCAGGACGGGTATATTCCGGTCGGTGTGTCGGAAACTAGAAGATCTGCCCTTGCGTTTATGGAAACTCCCTGTATTACCAAGTGTGAGAATCTTTATATACGTGCCCCTTAGATAGGATAATAATCACCAAGTTTCGGGCCAGGCTTTTGGGCTGCCGATGGATAACGGCAATCGTGTTCGTTTCGAATGCAGATCTCACAAGATGGAGTTGTTTTATCACTGTAACAGTGGCGATACAATGCCACACTATGGGTCAGTGACGTTCATAGTCCTTGCTAATACGAGTCGCTTATACCATTTAACCTTTCTCCTGTGCCCAAGTTAGAAAACATATTACCAAGGGACTGCATTGTAGGCGTCGAGGCGCTACCAGGAATCCACAGAGAAACCACTTGCTGACAATTGGGAGACATAGACTTACCTTTTGCACTGGTAACAGGCCCATGGTGAGATACCTGTGCCCCGATGTTGTTTTCTCCGGTCTTCCGGGTAAAGCGGCTCGGCTGTAGTATCTTTCTCTGAGGACATATCGAATGATGGCAACAATGCTCAACCTTTTCAAGAACCGTAGTTGTTTGATGATACGGAGAATAGGGTAAGAGAGATGTGTGTGTGTGTGTGGGATGGAAAACATCATCATCTCATGCATTCACGATTACTTTTGCTGAAATCACTCTCCATAGCCGTCATTGAATCGTGGAGACCCCATACTTTTCTAAGCCTTGTTATGTCTAGCGCCCCTTTATCCAATCGGGCTTCACGCGCCGAAGCCGGCTCCGAATATTTGCTAGATGCGATTGGCTCGGCTGTCTTGTCTTCTCCCTGTGGACAAAACCTGTAACGCACCGAAATTCGACCGAGGCCATCAAATAGACCGAAGTTATTAATGCCCACCAAGAGCCAAATCTAAGCTGACAAGATGGGCGGGACGTATCTACGTCAATGTAATTGGGAGGGCACTTGACGGCTGTGTATAAGACTGTCTAAAAGCAGGTGAATTTTCTCTTAGAATATTATGATGATGATAACTTTGAACATTATCGATCTTTGAACTGTACTTCACAGCTCGTTCAACATGCCTAAAGTCAGCATTGCTAGAATTGCTCATGTCTATTACAGATATCGAGACCTTGACAAAGCCCACAGCTTCCTGTTGGACTTTGGGTTGATTCAAGTCGATCGCAGACAGGACCGTATTTACTACCGGGGATATGGCACCGAGCCGTTTGTCTTTTGTGCTGAAAAGGCTAACGAGGACGAATTCGCCGGAGCTGCGTTTGCAGTAGATTCATACGAGGATTTGGAGCTCGCCGCTAGCCTCTGCCCTGGGTCTACAATTCGAGACCTTGATGCCCCAGGAGGTGGAAAAGTCGTTTCTTTGCAAGATCCTACTAATAAATTTCCATTTCATTTCATCCATGGCCAGACTCACACCTCGTACGATCCTAATACAGAATATCGCGGAACTCAACCATTTAATTATGTATGTGGAGGATAAAAAAATGACTCTATAACTTCTTTAATGCGATATTTATTGACAATCATTGCAATGCATAGCCAGTGACCAAAAATCGAGATCCCGGAACATTCCAAAGGTTCGAAAAAGGTATGCTTGAGCGTTTTCAACTTCTGCGGCCGGTTCATTGAGATTATACCTAGGTCCGGCTATTGTACACAAGCTCGGCCATTTTGGCATCTGCACTACAAATTTCGAGGAGACGTTCAAGTTCTTCACGGAGAATTTTAACTTCGCGCCTAGTGATGTAATTATATAACAATTTCGTCGTTTTATGGACCGACTTATTACTAAATTGTCTATAGCTTGTACACGACGAAACAGGAAGAGACGTTGTGACCTTTCTTCACCTCGATCGCGGCAAGGAAATGGTTGATCACCATACCTTCTTCTTTTATGAAGGGCCTAAGCCACATGTTCACCATTCTTCTTATGAAGTTCATGACTTTGATACACAAGCACTTGGTCACGATTGGCTCAGAGAACAAGGATATGAGATATGCTGGGGTGTTGGTAGACACGTCCTTGGAAGTCAAATCTTCGATTACTGGTAGGTTCGCTCGTCTATAATTCATGGCCGAAGGGCAGTGGCTTACTAATGGATACAGGTACGACTCTGCGAAGTTCATCGTGGAGCACTATGTAGATGGCGACTTGGTAAACTCTGATACTCCTGTGGCAAAGAGTAAGCTTGGCAAAGATGGTCTTTCTGTATGGGGTCCAGATGTACCTGGAGATTTTCTTACCTAAGTACGACATGCTCTAGCGTTATGTCAATCAAAATATTTTAGGGTTGAAAATCATAGGTGATACAGTTCAAAGCTTTCCGTAAGAACAGTGATACACGTGTGAAGCAGTGTAAGGAACTAGGAAGGCCCTAGTGGGGCGGCTGACTGTATCATACACATCTTCACACATCTGAATCCAGTGGATCAAAACTCCATGAACACAATATAGTATAGTACTATTAAGTGAGTTATGTTCACATTTCGTGGATAATGCTTTTCAAACAGGCGAGGTTCACATAGAGATAGAATGAACCCAACCCTAGCTAAAACTATAATTGTTATTGCGAACTATAGGAGAACTAGTTTTCTTGAGATTGAGCCCATGGCAATTTGCATACTAAATATACATGTTGTTCTTCAAAAACTCTTCCAGTGAAGTTAGGCGGAGCGCGGAATACTGCTTGTCATCCAGCTGTTTCATATGACACGTGCCATTCAACTGATATAGTTGATAGAAATACCCCATCCAATCCCAAAAATGCTTGAGACCAATTTCACGCACTGCTGTATTGGCCGTTACTCTTAGGTCTTCGATACTTCCCATGTAGTCAAGCTGCACCGAAACTCTTCGGATGTCCTGATAGATGCTGGCGATCTCTCGGATGCTGTGCTGAAAGCTGCAGACACGATATGAACCCCCCTTCTTTGTCAAATCTACAATGAGTTCTGCAGTGAAGTCCGCACAGTCTTGTTCAGTTGTAATCTGCCACTTCTCTTCACCAGATCCCCATACCTCTGCTCTTTTGGGAGACGACTTGGGATCCCATACTCCATGGTTTGAGGGTGCAAATCCGCCATGTCCAGGAACGGAGAAAAACACTTCTGCCAAGATTCCTGTAAATATGTACAGCACGTCAACAGTGGACGATAAGGCAAGTTGTCTCTGTAGCGCGAGAAACAAATCGTAGTATGGAACGTCGCCCCATTGTAGCTGGGACCAGTCGAGATTCCAGATGGACGGGATAAATCGCTGGATCATCTGTGTTAGCTATTGAATACTCAAGATAAACTATGGGGGATATTACTTTAATACTCTCCTCCTCCATGATCCGGACCAGAAGAAGCTCGGCTTCCAATGCTAAAGCTGGAATGGGGCTGTAGGCACACACTACAGCATCCACACCCTTCATTGCCTTTCGCAGGGTTTCAGCATCATACCAAGACTTAGTTTCGAATACGCCTTCTAATTTCCCTCGAACATTGTCTGGAAGCGCTGCTATCGATCTAGAGGCTCCACGGACACTGTGGCCTCGTTGTATGAGAGCACTAGTAAGCTTGAGGCCGATGTTGCCGGTAATTCCAACAATGAGGATCAACATCTTCGTTATCTGCGAGTGAGTTTCTGAGTTGAAAAAGTTTATTTGGTTGGGGATAAGCAACAGAGAGGGAGAGGCTGGAGTAGCTTGATCATATAGTGTTATCAGAAGCTTAAAAGCAGAGAGTCATCCTAGAGAAATGTGCATATACCGTATATACCCGTTTTCGGGGAGATTTCGGTCAGATGGGAAAATTGATTTCGGGAGATCTTCCCCATATTCTTCAATTCTTCTCGTTGCTGGAATGGTTACTATATGGGTGTCGGCTGATTGTCAAGTATAAAGGCCTAGTCAACTCGTGAGATAAATGCTTTGTAATGATGAGGGATACGAATGATCTTCATGATTCATCATGGATTCCTCTGACCTTTTCGAACTGCTCCATAAGCGACGAACTACTCATTATTTGGGAAAAGACCCAGAAGTTGATAAACAACTGGTTATTAAAATAATGCGGGAGGCTTTGCTAGTAGCCCCTTCCTTTTTCAACGCTCAAACTACTCGGATGGTGTTGCTATTGGATGACGAAAATGCGAAGTTATGGGAGCTGGTGAAGAACTGTCTGGAACAGAGTACTAAAGAGCGGTCTTTGGGGCTGGATACGATAGAGAAGCTTAATGGGTTCAAACAAGCCAACGGAACAGTAAGTTATTCCTTCACCTCTTTGCACAGCATTGCGAACTGATACTTGCTACAAGATACTGTTTTTTGAAGACCGTTCATCTATATCTCAATTAAGAGACATTCCACGGTACAGTAGGTATCAAACGTATTTCGACAGCTGGTCTGAACAAACAAATGCGATTCATCAGTATGTTGGTTAGTTTATCACGCCAATGATTACTTGCTAGGCGTCATTCTAACCTTATTGTCCGTAGTCTGGGCGGCGCTTTGTGCGCAGGGTCTCGGAGTAGCCCTTCAGCATTATAACCCTTTAATCGATCAACAGATTGCAGCAAAATGGAATGTCGATTCAAATTGGCAACTGATGGCGCAATTGGTTTTCGGCAAAGCCATGGTAGATCCTAAAGGAAAGACCTGTACACCTTTTGACCAGAGACTTTTTATATATGGCTAAGTTGAAAGTTAGTATACCAATATTACTTTAGAACCAAGGAAGTTGTAGTACCTTTATAATTGTGTTTGAATGAGGTAGCGATAGTAAAATAGCTAGACATGAAGTGGTGGGGCTCTCATAGAGGAGTAGCTATCTGGCATCCCGTGTCTCAAACCAAAAGACAGTGATAATAATAGATGTGAGAAGGATATAGATACGGGAGGAGACATTAGAGGGAAGTAAAAATAATAGCCAAAACATATTAACAGTAGCAGATACGCGAGGATCCGGTTATCTACTACCTAACTACCTAGGGGTAAACAGGGCCCTTGAATAGCTATTCTCCTTAGTAGATGGATTAAGTCGACTCTTCTCCAGGAAAGAAGCAAGCCACTTTGGGTCATATACTTTATCCAAATCTCCTCCAATAGCTGAAAGTAACTGAATTGAGTCTAAAGCTTTGCCACTGATGGCTTGTTGTTATTTGCGCTGTCTTTTGACTTGGACGACGGGTCCTCGATATGAAAGAACTTGACAAAAAATTCCAGTGATGCCTTCTCCGCATCGGAAACCTTCATCGATGACACTGCATCCTTTCCTCTGTTGAGAATGCTTTTGACTTGTGTCTCCATCTTTTTCCCATTGACATTGTATGGGATTGATTTGACTTCAAAAATGAAGTGTGGCACATGGCGGCGACTAAGTTCTTCAGCGATCTTTTGGCGAATTCTATCCTTCAGCTGAGAACGAGATGGTTCCGATGGAGACGACGAGAACTTTAAGAATAAAAACACTCTTTCATGAAGATCTCTTTCTTGTCTCTGTTGGCCAACACAAAGAGAGTCCTTTACGGAAGCTGAAAAATGCTGTTCAAGAACTGCATAGATTTCAGAGGACCCGAAACGGACACCATTTGGATTGAGAACCCCGTCACTTGAATCAGATATTAGGTCAAGAATTTGAACATTGAAATAAGATGCTCTTACCTTCTGCCGAGAATAATCAAGCCATTTGTGCGAGGATCAATCTTGATGAGGTCCCCATGTGTCCAAACACCTGATTGAATCAATACATAACTGCGGCATGACGATGAAGATACAGCTGTAAAACATACCGAATATCTGGGAGAAATAGGCATTGAAGTATCTCTTTTTATCTGCATCATGTAGGAAAGAGACAGGCATGTTAGGAAAAGGTTTTTTACAGACCAGTTCTCCCATCTGCCCTGCTTCCAGTGCGTGGCCATCAGGTGAAAATACATCAACATCAAGTCCCAGGGCCTTGACGGTAATCTGACCCGGCCACGTCGGTAAAGATTTGGTTCCATGTACAACTAGAGACCTTGGTTAGTGAACATGCCTTATACTGATCAGTGACATCGAAATCTCACAAGATCCACAGAGCTCTGTCCCTCCAGACATAGACACCTGACAGACAGGTCCAAAGAACTTCGCAATCCAAAGGGAAAGAGATGTCGTCAGAATAGCTCCAGTGGATACTATTAAGTCCAGTTTACCAGCGAACGGATCTATAGCAGCACTTAGCGTCTGAGGCCTCGCAGGGGATCAAATCGAAACATACCCGAATCAATCGAGGCGTTCCGCAGCTCTTCAAAATATCGTGGGCCCGCACCAAAAGCTGTAACTCTGCTAAAAGTCAGCTCGTAAAGACTTTGTCACAGAGAATTTGAGACTAGCCCTGTAGCGAATATTGACTGAAGAAATTGTGAAGGGGTCGGATAGAATGGAGAGCCGTCATATAAGACGAGCGTGCTGCCGCAGAACAATGCACCAAGAGAAATATTCCACAATGTCCACCCAATCTAATGCCACTTAGTTTCAATTAAATTCGGATCCAAAGGTTTGCACAAACATTTGTATAGTGAAAATAGGTGTCTCGACTACCGAAGTTGTTATGGAGGCGATTCTCCTTCAGTCCGTTTATCACAAGACCCTATTGAGATCAGTTACATATTTCACCAGAGAATCAATTGTTGTTATGTCCATACCCCGTGTGAATGCACAATTCCTTTTGGAGTGCCTGTCGTTCCCGACGAAAACATAACCACTAGGGGATGATTGAATGGGACTTGCTTAAACACTAACGGCCGTCCTATTCCTCGATTGATGAAGTCACTCCAATTGACCAAAGTGAGGCCGGAATCGGGATTCAATGCTGGATCATTGAAAGCATCTTCGTAGCGTATTATTTCTGCTCTATCGGACTTTTCGATTGCGGAGAAAATCGTGTTAGTTCTTTGCGCAATGCTGTGAGGTTTGCCATTGTACGTGTATTCTGTCTGTACAAACACCAGCCTAGGATACAGCTGACTGAGTCGATCTTTCAGCGCCTTGAAAGCCATTAGCCATTCTTGGTATTCAAGCTATGTCACTTGGCCTATTTGAGACACTCAGAGACATACCTTTTCTCCAAGATCAGTATTGAATGAGCAAAACACTGCCCCCAGCGATGCAGTTGCTAAAAGCAAAGTCAGAGACTTGATCGAATTACCTCCGATTACTGTAATTCTACGTGTCAGCTCTAGTATACAATGGATCAGAGCCAAAACTTACCGACTACAGTGTCTCCCGCATACACTCCGGTTGACTGCATAGCATCTGCTGCCTGTCGCACCATTTCTTCTAGCTCCATCCATGTGACTGAACGAGGCGTCTGTATAGTTGACTCGTCCATATATTTGATGGCAACTCCATTGGATTTGTTCACCAAGATGTTTTCTGCATAGTTGAGTCTTGCTCCTTGGTAGAATTGTGGAAATTGGTCTATGCGAAGCTTCTCATCTACTGCCTAAGCAACCTCAAATTACAATTTGCCCAGAACAGAGATAGTAAGTTGCATTACCGTTGATGGATGCACAGATGCTTGAACCTGAAAGTATTGCCATAAGGATAACCAAAAATCATTCGCTCTATCAACAGAAAATTGATGGAGCTCGTTGTAAGAAGCTGTCGATGAGAGGCTGTTATTATTCTGCTCGGAGCAATACTCAATCAACCGCAGATCTGGCTAGTAAGGCTTACATAAATTCAGAAGATGCTTTTTTGACACAAATTCTCGAAAATCATCCATATAAGTGTGTAATCCACTCGGGGGCACATAGACCGGAGAAGAAGCCATAACGGTGCAAATAGACAAGGAACGAACGTAAGAGACGACTGAGTAGTGCTCCTGTTCGAATTCAATCGATTGGTTTGCTCAAGGAAATATGACAAACTTCAGATCTGAAATCATATGTTGGAAAACCAGGTACTCATGGAATAATTTCCAAATGCTATTTCAACTAGACTAATATTTCGTTGCATCGTCGTGGCGAAAATAACCCGAAAATGGCGGGCGCCTTTCAAGCCACCTCCGGATCATTGGCATCATCAACCAGAGCGATAATTGACCGAGAATGTACCATGACACAGTAAATGCATTTTTCAAACTGTTATATATTGAGCTAGAGCTGAGGTACCTTGAAAATTGTAAACTTGTTCTTCCAGAGTTCGCCACTGTTAGGTTTTCTTCTCTTCGCATTTACCGCCTGCGTTATTGATCATGCGGAAATATCTTATCAAAGGTGGCAATGTCCTCCTCTTTAATGAGGAAAAGAGGGCATCATTTCCAAAGCTCGATATCCTTGTCGAGGGCAATATCATCTCCAAGATTGGACCAAATCTAGACTTCAAGGATCCAACTCTCGAGATCATCGATGCGACCGACCATATTGTGTCTCCCGGCTTCATCGATGGCCATCGACATGTATTCCAGTCTCAGTTGAAGACTACAGTCGGGGATCATATCTTTGTCGACTATTGCGCCCATCTTTTGCAAGGCCGTATGACGTTCCTTGATGCCGATGATATGTATCTTGCGCAACTATCTGGCGCATCAGAAGCCATATGGTGTGGCGTCACCACCGTCATGGACCATTCGCACGTTATCATGTCGAGGGATTATGCAACGAAGTGCATCGATGCGACAATCGAATCCGGTATTCGAAGTATATATTGCGTTGCACCCTTCGCCAATCCTCAGTCGTTAAACCCAATGGTTCTACCGGATATGGATGTGAAGCATCCTGAGCAGATAGAGCTCTTCAAGTCTCTATCCCAACAAACTCCGCTAGGCGGGTCCAAGAATGATGGACGAGTGACGCTTGGTCTGGGTTTTGATACCATGAACCATCGACCTGTGGAAGAGGCGCGTGAAGTCCTTCAATATGCAAAGGATAGCGGCATTCATGTCACATGCCACGATGTAGAGCGATTTAATCTTCCATCGCTCGAATACCTGAGAAAAAACGCCTTGCCTTTACCGCCCATTACCATGTCCCATACCTGCGAACCTGACCAGACCAGAATTGATTTCGTGAGGCGCAATAACATTGGAATTATATCTACTCCGGAATCCGAGCTGGCGATGAGCCACGGTATTCCGTCGGCTTTTGATTTCCTTCGATCAGGTTGCCGTATAGGCCTCGGCATAGATTCCCCGGCAATCTGCAGCGGAGATATGTTTTTCTGCATGAGATTAGCCCTACAGAACCAGAGGGCGCGAGAAAATGCGACATACCACGCCAGGAACAAGCTGCCGAAAGAAGTGACAGCTCGGGTGGATGAAGTCCTATACATGGCCACATTAGGCGGCGCACATGCAATTCACCGAGAATCGGAGATTGGAAGCCTGGAAGTCGGCAAATTGGCAGATATCGTACTAATCCGAACAGATTCGCCCTCCATGGTCTCGTCGGTGAATTACGGCCCCGCCATGGTCATGCATTGCCACCCAACTGATGTGAGTACTGTGATGATCAACGGTGAAATTGTCAAACGAGAAGGCATATTGCTTAGGGTGGACTGGAATAAGCTTGTTGGGAAATTGAGAGAGAATCGACAGGTATTGGAAGCACGATGGGTTGATGTAGACTGGGATGTAACTAAAAGTGAGCTTACAAAACTTTGGTATCTGGGCGGGGTCTTAGAGGATTAGGTATTTCCACGCCCTAAGAGTTTAATGGAATGACTATATAGGACTTTCGTCCTGCTATCTAGCTTTTATGTCACAAATTGTATGGTAGTAATGATATCGCATACTATAAGATTAAAGCCATGGTGTTAGAGGAATAGAGCCCTCTAGTAGTTGATAATCGAATAATACGGTATCAAGTAGTAGATACTAGAAGAACAAAATTGCTAGTGGTTAATACTAGAAGAATATACCTATAGTAGCGGATATTGTAGCAATGTACCTGTAGTAGTAAGTAGGTACTAGAGGAATATAAATATGGTAGTAGGTATTAGGAAAATATAGCTATAGTGATAGAAAGTAGTGATGGTAGCAGATACTAAAGACTGGATATCTACTACTTTGGGAAGTGTTCCTCTTGTCAAATGTCACGGTATGCGGCGAAACAAGCTCAAGACTTCAAGTATTGATGAAAGTACTAATCTGCTGCAAACCTAGTTCTTAACTGTCCAATTTGTGTAGGAAAGAATTTCTCGTCAAGCCCCGGAAGTATTTACCAAAGTACCAAAACAGAATGCCGAAGCTGCAGAAGAATGTGATCAAGGTCATGAGTGTCATGATTGGTGCAAGGTACCCAATCTGCTCTGTCCAAGGCGTGATGAACTTGCCAACACCATAGCCCCAAAGATTCTTATTGCTGTTAAAGGTTAGCTATGAACACATCTGTGCGAGTTGATCAGTTTTACTCACATGGTAATGGCAACGAAAATAGCGCCCGTGGCTGGTTTATAGCTGTCAATGGCGTAAGTGGACGCGATGCTAGGCAAACTCGTCACTTGCATCCCGAGCAAAGTGTAGCCGATAATGACAATGACTTTCCACGACCACAACCGGCTGTAACCGACACCGACCACAATAAGCCCGATCATCATGATCAAAGTGTAAGGCAGCATTGCGATTAGTCGCATTTCCGGCTCTCTGATACCCCTGTTGCGCTTGGTGAAGAAATTCGCAACCCAATCTGATAATGGGCCTGATGTCAGGAGTCCAATCATGCTACCCGTAAATATGGCAAAGTTGGTAAAGCCAACTGCTTGGGCTGAAAAGTTATAAGGTGGTGCTCCAAAAAACTGTTGCTGGGTCAAGTTGGCGACCAAAAAGCCGGATGCCGAGAAAGAGACAGCAAAGGCGGCAAATTCAACAATTGGGAAAGCATGGAGGTACCATGGAAGCCACAGCTCTTGCCAAATATTTCCCTGATAAGGCCCCAAGAGATTGAATTGCTTCAAAGACGGATGTCCGCGCGATAGCCACTGATCTTGAGGTTGTTCACCTGAGGCATCCTCCGAGTGATCAACAACGGAACTGGCCTTAATTTCGGGTTCATCAACAAGAGTAGCAGGGTCTGATGCTCTCTTGGTCTCTGTTTTGCGCGCAAAACGTGTCTCTGGCAGTAAGCCAATGTTGAGAAATAGAGTAAATATGAGCAACCTGTCAACTCCAGTGTCAGTGCCATCTCTTGTAGCCATGAATTTCAATTAGGACCACTTTACCCTGTGTTGAACCACCAGAAAGACCTCCAGCCGAAGCGTTCTGCCATGCTGCCAGCAATGATGGGGCCGATCTGAAGAACCACGTTAGTAGACGCATGGCTGTGGGATATCTTGGCTACCCACCGAGAGCGACCCAAAGTAGATCGCAAAGTATAATGTTTGGTATTTACCGCGATCGTGAAGGAAAATAATGTCGGCAATTATTTGTGGCATTAAACTCTCGCAGGGGCCGGCACCGAAACCATTCAGACTTGGTAGAGTTGGTTAGTTTTGAGTTCATCACATCACCAAGTTGATATATGCATGCCAATAGCAAAGATTACTTACGCGGATGCTCCGAGAAAGGATTTGTAGCTTGTTGATCGAACTCTCCAGATGGAGGAAACTGTGCAGATCAAAGTACTGAATATCAAAGCCGGCCTTCGACCAAAACAAGTCGAGATCGGAATCCATATCAAATTGCTGAAACCGAGAACAAGAATCGTTACAGCTAGATTATTTCTTAGCTCCAAATATGCTACAATAACCGTTTTATTGATGCGTACCTGTCGTTTGAACGGCGTCTGCTAGGCTAACGTTCCATTCCTCCATGTATAAGCCTGTTTTGAGAGACGTTAGCTTTTGAAAAGACTGGGATACTATCTCTCTGGGAGTCAAACCAAATAAAGGTGCGTTTGCGAGAGGGCCAAGATTTTGACTGATGGAGACAAAGCTGGCACAAATGATCGTGATGAGTTTCCAGGTGTAACTCCAGTTCAGTGGATCAAGGGGATCATCGGAAGGCTGAGGAACAAGGACGCGTCCGTCTCCGCCGCCATTTCCGGACTTGATAAAGTGATGTGAGCCGACATCTACCATCACCTCCGTCCCAGGATAGATTGTGATATCGAGCTCATTCTCGATGTCTTGCAGAGTGCGCTGTTGCGTTACCTGAGTCATGATGGCGATCTCAAGTGATGGCTAAGAGATAAGACCAATGATGGAAAGCACAGCCGAGCGTCGTGTCAAAGGAGATCACAAGGGACTGGGTCCTCTCTTTATATAACTATGTCGAAGAGCGAGAACAACGTACATCTTTTTTCACAAAGTCCGATGGCCCCATAGCGAACTAGCCAATGGAAGTAAGTATATTTGAGGCTAAGACGGTGCATTGATGGAAAATAGTTAGAGCAGCAAATTGTGATTATCAACTTCGTAGATTTGGAAGCAAGTCTGTCCAATCAAACATCCTGGATACTGGAAGAGGGTTACATCCACCCCTGGATAGCGGCATAGCGACATCGCTATCTCACACAGGACGCCATCTCCCACTTACTTCTCCGAATTACGACTACTCGTTGATCGGGAAGAAGGCATCATCTCTTAGCTTCATACGGGATGCTTCATCCTTGCTCCGCAGATAGTGTCAAGCACCCTCGGTTACGCGTCACTTCAGGCCTGTTGTTGATCCGCCCCCAGATTCTCCAAATACTAGCGCCGGGCGTTTCTGTTCTCTCTCCTTGATTGAGCCCACATGCTTATGCTGGTTCGGGTGACAAACATTGCTGTAAACCGATATCCCCGCATTGTAAGTGGATATCTGCTGGAATTTCTGCCGCCGCCACTAAAAATAAGGACAGTTTCTTTGCTATCAAAGTCCGGGGCATAACATCTTTACGATGAGAAAGTTGGAAAGCAAAACGCCTGGTAGATGAATCGACCAATTAGAGACCCAGAAGTCGGTTAAGGAGTCGCTTTGTCAAATATGAGTAACGGGATACCCCAGTTGGTGACTACAAATAGTTTCTTGGTGCAGCAACTTCAGCTCTACGGCAGGTCAAATCCCATCGATCCGTTAAACTCAAGACATCACCAAGAGAATCAACAGTCAATTTATTTAATAAATGAAAAAGCCAGTCTCGATTGAAGACGGCAGTTTGTGGCTTATGTCTCTCTGTAGCCTGACGAAAGCCGTCACCCAGCCTCTCACCCATACGTCGACTTGGCACCGGGGTATTTACTAAGCAAGAAATATGCAACCCTCCAACTTTGTTTGACAGATGTTTCGTTTTGCCCTTTCGGGTTCCTTGAAGGTATAAATGAGTCTCTTGAATTATCTACTCGATAAAGCCTGAGGGTCATTCACCGTCGACACATGTAAACTCAGATGGACAAATTTCGGCATCAGATTATCTTGCTCATCGGATGCGGGGTAAACATGCGGGGGCAGGGCCGGGCTACCGGAATAGCATCCGATGGCTGTAAAGTCAGGATCCGAAGCATTTAATGCACAAGTAAGAAGTAAGAACTATATCGGTTCATATTTGATAAAGCTCGGGTATCCAAATTGCCAAGTTGGAATATAGTTTGTGATAGTATCAAGGGAACTGAAAGGCTAAGTAGCTGCGCACGAGAAGGATTGCGGCGGCTCTTGGCTTTTCGGGTCGGGCGAATAATCGACGGTGTTATGGGAGGGTGACACAAGAGACGGATATTGACGCCGATCAACCTGTATTAATAGTCTCGTTTTACCCTTTTCATAGATGAGTTATCACCAACATAATAAATCTTAGTTGTTCCACCTCCACGTAAACACAATGGGCGTTATTCCAGAAAGCAACGTGGATGTTCTCATTGTTGGAGCAGGGCCGGCGGGCCTAATGATGGCGACATGGATGGCCAAGTGTGGCATCAACGCGCGCATAGTCGACAAAAGAGGAACCAAGATCTTCAACGGACAAGCAGATGGTCTCCAGTGTCGTACTCTTGAGATCCTTGACTCGCTGGGGTTTGGACATAGGGCATGGCGCGAAGCAAACCATATGCTTGAGATCTGTCTTTGGAACCCGGATGAGAATGGAATCATCAAACGGAGTGATCGCATTCCAGACACCATCCCTGGCATCAGCCGTTTCCAGCAAGTTGTCTTGCACCAAGGTCGGATCGAGAGATTTTTCCTCGACTCGATTGCAGAGGCGAGTGACATTCGGGTGGAGAGAGGGGTGATGCCGTCAAGTCTCAAGATCGACGAATCTCTGGTAGAGGATGATGCCGCCCACCCAATCACTGTAACCTTGAGACATCTTACAGAAGAAGAGGCTACACCGAAGCAATCTTCAACATCCGCCAACGGTCAGAGTATACAAGACGGACTTTTTCGCAGCAACCTTGCCAAGGACGACACCCAAGATTTGCTTGATGCGTCAAAGATTAACGCAAAGGCAAATAGCGAAGAAGTGATTCATGCCAAGTACATGATCGGTGCTGATGGCGCACACTCGTGGACGCGCAACCAGATTGGCCTCAAACTTGAAGGCGATTCGACCGACTATATCTGGGGAGTTTTAGATATTGTACCCATTACGGACTTTCCAGATATCCGAATGAGATGCGCGATCCACTCTGCCGACAACGGGAGTATCATGGTCATACCGAGGGAGAACAGACTCGTCCGACTTTATATCCAGTTAAACACCACACAGAAGGCTGGAGACATCTCGGGTAGGGCTGATCGATCCAAGATCAATCCTCAGATGATTCTGGAGTCTGCACAAAGAATCCTGGCTCCTTATAAGATTACCTACCGTAAACTCGACTGGTGGACCGCATACCAGATAGGCCAACGGGTTGGAACTTCGTTCTCTGTGCATGAGCGTGTCTTTTTGGCGGGAGACGCAGTTCACACTCATAGGTAAGATTATGCAAGCCACTATGACAGACAAAAGCAAGCCAAACGAGTGGCTAACTTTCTCACAGCCCCAAGGCCGGACAGGGAATGAATGTCAGTATGCAGGACAGTACGTAATCCAGAAAGAAGAGAGCAAAGCCACCGACACGAGAACGACACACTGACACCTGTTAGGTTTCAATCTCGGCTGGAAGATTGCAAGTGTTGTCAAGGGTCACGCCCAGCGATCAATTCTGAAAACTTACCAATCCGAAAGACGCCGCATCGCCCAAGATCTCATCGCCTTTGATCACAAATTCTCCAGGCTCTTTTCCGGTCGACCCGCCAAAGATGTCATGGATGCCGAGGGTATCAGCATGGAGGAGTTCAAAGCAGCATTCGAGAAGGGCAACATGTTTGCCAGTGGTATTGGTAGGGAAACCTCCATTGTCATCTTGCTATGATACGTGCTGACCTGTTGTCTATTGTAGCTGTGAATTATGGTGCAAGTGCAATTGTTGCAAAAGAAGGTAGCAGTGAAGAGCAGGGAGACGGCACAGACGTGTCCGTCGCGATTGCAAAGCATCGGGTCATCTCTGACCAATCTTTGTGTGGCGGCATAACAGTGGGCATGCGTATTCCGAGCCACAAGGTCCTGAGTCAAGCAGACGCCCGGCCCTGGCATCTTCACGAAGTGCTTCCGAGCAACGGGCGCTGGCGAGTAGTAGTCTTTGCCGGAAACACTAATGATAACCGGCAGAGGGACAAGCTTTGGAAGCTCTCGGAAGCTTTCAGTGCCCCCAATTCTTTCTTGGATCTGTACACTCCTAAGGGGGCCAGATACGACGAAGTATTCGAAGTTCTTCTCGTCCACAATGCTCCGCGTAAGAGCGTCACCGTCTTTGACTTCCCAGAGGTATTCCGCCCTTATGACGAAGTTGACGGTTGGGACTACAACAAGATATTTGTGGATGACGTTTCTTACCATGAAGGGTTTGGAAATATCTATGAGGCCTTGGGTATCCCTCAGAATGGGTGCATTGTGATTATTCGACCAGACCAATATGTTTCTTACGTTGGGTCGATGGAGAAGACAGCTGCAGTCAACAGCCTTTTTGCAGGATTTATGAAGGAACAGTATGTGCCAGACGAGGCACACAGACGAATGGTAGCATTATCTGAAAACAACCAATCGTTTAGTGTTTGATGAATAGCAGTATATAGCATAATGCCACATGTATTCGATTATTACAATTAGTCTCTTGCTGGAGCCGGCAAAGTAGAAACGCAGAGGAAGATACAAGTATCGTCCAGCAATGTACATGCTTGAATCAAAATTATAAGCCAAACTCGAATGACCTCTACCGATGTCTGTACGTCTATGATTAATGATTCAATGGTAATAATATATAGTAGACACCAGAGGCTGAACAAGTTCACTGCCAAGAAACAGAAAACCGTCTCTCGTAGCCGTCGTAGCCGTCGCAGACCCTCTCAAGGGACTGCCTTGACATCGGCCAGCCCGTTAGCCCTTCTGCTTCCAGTCATGTTCTCCAATACTAGCTCAAGCTGGTCTGTTCTTTAGTGTCAAATTAGATACCCGTGTGGGATTGCCGTGAGGCTCCCCGCGTATTCCCCCGCAGTGGCCGCTCAGCGTGTCCCTCGTTTCCTCCAGTTCATCCCATTGAGCTAGTACTAACCGGATCGTGATATCGGCAACGGGCTGGATGGCGTCCGCCCGGTATCCGATGCTCGGACCATCCTTGACTCTTGCTTGTATGTGCTTGGGGGCCCTTGGCGTACTCCTAAGTCGGTGGCAACGATATGGTCAGCTTAGCGTAAGCCTCCGGTGGGTGCAACACGGAGCAGCTGGCAATACTCGTAATTGCAGTGTGTGATCCAGTACCCGCGCGGTATCCCAGCCGGAGAAACTGTTGGGTCACATTTCCCATTTCTCGTGCTTCTGTAGAGTAGCCAGGCGCCGCCAAGCGAGAGAGATTTGACAATCAAGTGAATCCCTACGCAAGGAAAAGTTTTGTCTGTGTAATCTTCATCATCTAAAAGATAACAATCCTGCAAAAGCGAGGCGGCTACGCAAGTAATCTTGAATTACGATCCGGACCGGGTATCTTTCCGACCCCTTCCAACTGCAGTTTAATTTGGCGTCGGCAATTGGCCGTCGCTTATCACCCCATAATCCATTGTCGGCTTCATACCTGTCCATACCCGACAGATCCCTCATATACGTGCGATAGCATGCCTACGAAAAAGGTCAAAGATAGTGACCGCCGGCGATGCGCCAGAGCATGCACAAACTGCAAGCGTCGCAAAGAGCGCTGCGATGGACGACAACCATGCCGACGGTGTGTAGAAAGGGGAGTCCCCTCGGAATGCAGTCTTTGTCTTCGTCGGCATTCTCCTTTCATGGCCTCAGCGTTGCCGAGTCCTCTGTCTGAGCTGTCTGATCCGCGGTGTACAACTATCGAAACTCGAAGCAGTGTTCCGTCAGACCATAGCAATGATCAATCACACGGATTCCAGCATGAGATGGCGCTGCGGTTTCCTCATCTTTCGAGGCTGATCAAAGATGATAGAGGCACCTTCATGTTCATCGGCGACTCGGCCAACCACAGCTTCCTCCAGAATATCCGTCGTATTGTTCGCGAGCGTGTCGGGGATTGCATCTTCGTCGATGATCCAATGAGGCACTACATGGTTGAGGCATGCCCAAGCAAAGGTCATAATTCGCTGCTCCATCATGGGACGGAGCCACCACCTAGACCAACAGAGGAGGAGGCAAAATCATTTGTGTACTGGTACCGGCAAGCCACGCACTCTATTCTCCAGCTTTTCGACGACGCCAAAATATGTGACGATATCCTTGACTGGCTACGTCTACCTCAAGAGCCCGTCGATGCAATCAGTGCCACATATTCGTTGATACTGGCCATTGGCGCCCAGGCGTGCCCCGACAACTACGACGAGCGAGCCGAGCGACATTTCAACTATGGAAGATACGTGACATTGGCAACTCTAATGGATGATCCAAGCATCGCCACTACTCAATGCCATGTTCTTATAGCCATGTATCTTCTAGCCCAATCACGCCGGAACGCCGCCTTTATGTATTTGGGTATAGCTGTACGTGGAGCTTATGCTTTGGGACTCCACAGAGAAGATGTATCTGCATTGTACGATCCAAACGAGTACATGACAAGAGAGCGTCTATGGAAAGGCATCAGAGCTCTGGATTTGTTTATGAGTGCATCACTTGGCAGACCGCCGGCCACCCTGGAAACTCGCGATACCGCATCGAAGGAGCACTACTCAGCCATGAATGACTTGTCATACATTTTTGAGAACATATTAACCGAAGTCTATGCAAAGAGAATGATTACAACAGAATGTCTCAAGAAGATCAGCGAGCTTCATCGGGGCTGGGCGACTAGATTCGGCGGAGGCCTGAGGGACAATATTCCTCCTCGTGACGAAGTACAAACAGAAGCCGGGACAGGGCCAAATATCGGGCTCATTCATCTGAAAGAGGCCTATTATTGGACCATCATGTTATTGTCTCGACCATTTTTAATCGACTATATTTCTTCATCGTCGCCGCCAGAAGAGAAGGACTCGTCCTCCAACACAAGTCAACCCACGTCTTCGCTGTCCCCCTCACGCCACATTCTTGCCCAAGCATGCGTTGATTCAGCCGTTCGTACCGTGGATCTCTTTCAGCCGCTATTAACCAACAAGTTGACACCGAAGAGGCTGCCCTTTGTTGTGAATTCAGCATTTGCAGCATCACTGATCATTGGGGTTGCTCTTTTCAGTGATCTCGAAGGATCCGTGCCATTACGAAGGAAACGATTGGGAGACGCTTGTAAAGTGCTGGAAAAATTCAGTGTCCACGACCCTGTGACGCAACGCTATCTGGGAATTGTCGAGAAGTTGATTAGTGCTTGCGATATGTTCTTGGAGCTACAGCAGCAAAAGAGGATGGAATACAACAACGATCTAATTGCAAGGCTATTCGGCCGTCTCGATGGAGAGGTCGCAATGAAAGACGCAAGGACTACAAACGGGAACTCTGGAGATGTCGCCGGATGGCACAGAATATGGGAGTCCGAACCTGTACCGCTCAGCCAACCGACTCCGCCGGCAACAGAAAGCAGCGCCGTGATTAATAGCCATCCAGAAAATGAGGATTTGGGAGAAATCAGATACGAGGGCGCGATTATACAGCGAGACGACTGCGATAATCCGTCACTTCAAAATCAGACCATAGTTGGCGACATCGGGAACTTTCTGTCTCCAAGAACACTCTGGTTTGATGCATATGACAATGGGACATTATTTCCTACCGTTGGAGTTAGTATGTTGGACTTTGCAAGTCTAGAAGGAGATCGTCATAACGGTTAGTGTGGGTGAGGGAAAAGGATAATGTATGATGATGACACGAACATTCTATATTCTATGCATTTATAGCTTCCTAGCTAGCTCTTGAATCCATGGAACAAACTTCCGCACATTCTATTGATCTAACACGTCTGGCTGTGCAGGTCATTATAACTTGCTAGCACGCAGTGTAATTGCATTTTCTGGCAGATGCGTTGGCCTGGAGACCTTTGACTGTTCCTCTGTGTCTGCAGTATTTCCCCCCGAGCTCTTCACCACTTGCTCAAAAGTCTTTTCTACATCGTGTTCAGAGAGCCACAGCACATCTGGTCGGCTCCTCATTCTGGCCCGAAGCGCCTCGTCTGCTTCCTCGGGCGTCTCATATGTTGGCGCCTTGCGACTCATCAAGCCATGAATGATGTTCAACAAGCGAGCCGCATGTGGTCTTCTTGTTTGGTCATATAAGCTAAATGCCTGGCGAATGTTTTCTTGGGAAAATGGAACATTAGGTGAACCGGATGAAAAGACTTGCTTGAAAGCCAGTCCAAGTGCCAAGGAATCGTCGAGAGCCAACGAGCCACCTGCAGCGAAAGAACCTCCATGAGTGTGAGCTGCATCACCTACTAGAGTGACGCGTGAAGCAGGGATCCAAGAAGGTAGCGCATCGCCCGCGTAGTTGGGATAAAGACGAGTGTATGGCGTCAGCTCCGTAAGAGATTTGATGATAGGGTGCCAATCCTGTTGAACCTGTTAGTTTCCAAGATGTACATAACGCCCTCCAATCAAGCTCGAACCTTGTATTTCTCTCTCAAGAGTTCGACATTGCCGGCCTGGTCCCATGTAATTGACTTTTCCAATTCTTCAGCACTGCGCCCATCAGTATAAGAACCAACGACGGTATATATACCCTTGCCTGGTACAGAGTCAGCCATGCATTCTATTAAAAAGCCTGAGTCAATAGTATTACCGAGTCTTGAGGCAAAGAATGCGTTATCAGGTCCCCACTGGTGAAGAATCAGCAAAGTTTATCGTCGCTAATGAGCAAATGCTATAACTCACCCAGTGAGCAGCGTCAGCTGGCAAATCAGGCACTTTGCCCTCCACCAGCCCTATGTCAAAGGTAGATCTCATGTATACTTTCCCGCTGAACCTTAGTTTGTAGTTGGGATAGAATGCCCCTCTGACTTCCTATTTGAAACATTAGCATTCAGGATGATTAGACAGCATTGAATCAGTAGCGTACTGATCGAATTCCGTCTGCTCCTATCAAAATATCTCCGTGGGCGCTAGTGCCGTCTTCGAAGAAAAGAGTAACACCCTCGTCATTGGCTTCAGCATGAGATATCTTCTTATTCAGATGAATTCGCTCTTTTGGTACGTGCTCCTGCAGGGCCGCATGAAGGTGTCCTCTGTGGAATCGTGCCGTCTGATGGCGTCGATCAGGCACATTAGCGAAGGTATCGACTGACACCACTTCATTCGTTTTCCAATGCCTTCATCATCACACAATTAGAAGATTTTATACAAATTGTGTAATTAGGTAGAGATACTATACCTATAGATTTGCGGTATTCCAATCGGGCCGCGGAACCCAATTTCGTCACTCAGAGCAGAATCTACTCCCAATTTTTCGAGTGTCCGTAAGCCCTGAGATCTGACTGTTAGCAGCTGGCAATGTATGGAAATCTCATCAAGCTTTTTTCAAGCCTTGATTGTAGATCTTACATTAGGGCTGAGGGCAATACTAGCTCCGATTTCCCGGAGCTCTGGAGCCTGCTCATACAGCTGGATATCTAGATCTGGTATGCCAGAGATTCGTGTAAGTGAGATTGCGGTTGCCAAGCCAGCGATGCCAGCACCGGCGATTATGATTCGAAGTGGCTTTGAGTTGCTAGCCATCCTTGCAGATGTGTGCTGTCTTTTTTTGAATGATGAAGATTCCTGATTGGCGGCGTCACAGTCAGCGAAATGCAAACTGTAACATTCTTTTATATCCTCTTGAAAGTTGGCCGAATCTAAGCTCCCATCACGCTAGTTGAAGGGAATTTCTAATCTTGGGATGAAGAAGCGTTCAGATAGATTGAATTTTGTACTGGACCATGGGTGTAATGGCAGAAAGATATGTCAGAGTTTAACCGGATGCGGGCTGATATGCCCATACTGAGACATATGATAGGCTTTTAAAAAAGCACGTCAACTCTACGCCCATGACGCAAGACTACCACGTCGGATATCACGACACCGGGAATATTTACCTACCATTGGATGCATTCCCGCGGCAATCTCTCTTATTTCTTCTCTTACCTGATAGCGAAGACTTAATAATGTGCTTCCTGGCATATTGACTCCGCACATTCGGCACTACTACCTATCTATACTCATTGGGGAAACGTAACAAGAAGATAATCAACGATGACGACCGATGCTTGATCAATGGCGCCATATTGAATGCGTGTAAAGCTTCATATTTGGATAAAAGAGAAGACGTAAAACAAGTATCAAGCATGTAGCAGCCTAGCACAACCTTTCGTTGCCTTTTGGTCGGTAATTCCTGTGTTACAACCATGTCGTCGTCAAAGATTGCGTACGAGGAAACGACACACTCGCAGCCAGATTCCCAGGAGGAAAATGAGTCTGCTGAGTCTGCTGGATCTGCGAGGGCCACGCTCAAATTGTCCGATCGCTCGGCCGACGAGAGCTACAAGCTCTTCTCCAAGGTCCAAGTATCTGATCCGACACCGGAAGAAGCTCAAAGAATCCGCAACAAATGCCTCTGGAGAATCCTTCCTTTCCTATGCATCGGATATCATCTGATGTATGTTGATAAGCAGACAGTACGTTGGTTGGCCCTGGTCGCAGCTACCTGAATACCGCTTTCGTGTTGCTGTGGTTAACAAATTGTCGTTTCTTTGAGCATAGTTAGGGAGCTCGGCAATCCTTGGCATCCTAGAAGATGCAAAGCTGAATTCAAACCAATACAACTGGCTCTCATCTATATTTTACTTCGGTTACATGGTGGCCGAGTGGCCACAGAACTGGGCTCTGCAACGCTTTCCTGTTGGGAAATGGCTGGCCGGTAATCTTATTGTTTGGTGCGTAGGTCCAGATTAACGTTATTAAACACCCATCATCATTGGTATTGACCCGATTGGCTAATTATCTGCGGTATTCACAGGGGTGGCATAACGTTGCTGCATATCCCATGCAATAACTTTGCATCTCTTTTTGTTGTCCGATTCCTCCTCGGACTAAGCGAAGCCTGCATTGTGCCCGCGTTTCTCCTCTCCATGTCCATGTTCTTCACATATCAAGAGCAGGCTGTCATGATGTCAGTCATGTGGTCAATTGGCAACTCTAGCCCCATCACTTCGGGCTTCCTGTCCTACGGCGTTCTGTGGATTAGAACAGGGTCATTTCACCCTTGGAAATGGCTGATGGGCATGTCCCCTCACTCTCATTCGTTGACAAATGCTCTATCAGCTAATTAATTCTCTGCAGTCATCACTGGTGTGATTACCATCATATTCGGGGTTTTAGTATACTTATTCTTTCCGGATAGCCCCCTGCACGCCGACTTTTTGACTTACGAGGAGCGAGCTCAAGCAATCTTGAGGATAAAGGGCAACAATTCTGGGATCGAGCAGAAGCAATTCAAGAAGCATCAGTATGAGAAATAAATCTACGAATTAACTCTCCATAATCTAATATTGCCGTTACAGATTTATTGAAGCCATCAAAGACCCGAAAACTTGGTTGTTTGCTCTTCACGCTTGGTCGCAGGAGATGGGCAATGGTATTAACAATCAGACTTCATTAATCATCAACTCATTTGGCTTCACAGTTTTCCAAACTACGTTGCTTAGCACTGTCAGCGGAGTTATAGCGTTCTTTACACTCTCTGCAGCTGCAATTGCGCTGCATTTGACCCGGGTAAGTCGTGAGCTCCAGTTTCCTGCGCATACGAATTAATTAGATGGTCAGAACTCTCGAGCATGGATATCCCTTATCGCATACGTACCTGCTGTCATATCCAGCATACTATTGTTAGGTATTTCTCAAAGGCTTTTCTGAATGGTGTATGGGTATCTAATCCTCATAATAAATAGCTCTCCCATGGTCTAATCGCTGGGGCCTCATCGTGGGTGTCTGGCTACGATACACAACCGGTGTACCCTACGCTGTTGTAATGATATGGGCAGCAAACGCATCTGCTGGGCACACCAAAAAGACAACAGTTATTGCTCTCTACCATATAGGATATGGACTGGGAAACATTATTTCCCCCCAACTGTTTGAGCCTAGATGGAAACCTCGATACAAGCCCACCTGGATCATTTTGCTCATTGTACGTAGGGATAGCGACATCTCTTGCTCAAATCGGCTAACATATGACAGGTTGCTGCTATTCTCCCTTCCATTATCATCATTACTCTTCGATTCTATCTCAGCCGCGAGAACAAGCGCCGCGACAAACTCGAGGCAGAAAATGTTGTTACCAACAACGGTCTTGTGGAAACGACAAACGCCGATGGAACTAAAGATGTTCATGTGGTAGACACTAACCAGCTGGACCTGACGGACAGGGAGAATCTGAAATTGTAAGTGAATAACTGATTATCCTTTGGGGATGGGTCAAATTGGAAGCTAACTTGATTCAGTCGGTATGTTCTGTGAAAACACAGACATCGTCATTCGACTTCTAGGAGCCTTCTGGAACTATTTGTTGCCAAGAATCTATATATCAAAATTTCTTTGTGATAAATTACCTGTCATGCTCTTGATAATGCCAACCAAGTAATTTGCCAGTTGTGTTACTTGTGCCTCTCATATATGTCACATTGGTCACACTACTGTAGCGCTCATTATGCCCTTCATCGTACAAGTGCATTTTATAATGACACAGTTAACAGCCGGTTTAAACTTAAGTCAGCTTACAAGAGCCTCGAACTCTTTAGATGATAAAGGCTGCATAGCGAACAATGACATGAATATTCATGATAGAAAGGGAGGGCGCGCGCTTTCCTATTGGGGTAGAGCTAGTATGTACGCAAAAAATAGACGCTCAAAATGGACCGTTCTACTCACGGTGGCATGCTAACGTAATGAAGTTAGTTAATTACTTATCCTGTGGGAAACCGGGTTTAATGCCCGTACCAATCTCGTTCAATCCCTGGGACGGAAAAGTGCCTCAGCTATTGACGGAAAAGTACCACAGCAATTAGATACATTGAGACGGAAACGTGCCATGGTAACTATTCATTGCAGCCCTAGTCATCAAACCAATTATATTTCGCAAAAGTATAGTTTTATCCATCGAGTATCAAGTTGATTGAATATGACAACCATTATGAAGGTCTATATACAATATTGTACAGGCCGATGCGGAAATAGGCTTATGTTTCCCGAGCTACAGGCTTTCTCATTTGGTAAAAGTCTCAACGGCCCTTACGATAAAGTCCGCCGTCTCTTTTGGCTTGCTGAGCATCGGCGAATGACTCGTGTGGATTTTCTCAACAATAACATCACCCTCTTGCTGCTTGGCATTCTCGGCAATGCCCAATTGAACCTCCGTCGGGAAAGTTCTATCGTCGGTCGTGATCAAGTATCGGGTTGGAACATCTTTCCAGCCTGAGTAAACGTGCTCCCCATTATCTGTAAGGGACTTCAAAGAATGCTTCAGCAGTCGGCTAACCCAGTATTTGCCTTCTTCTTCTGGGAGATCGTGGTAGAATAGCTCCCTCGTATCGACTATCAGCGTAGCAAATCCCGTATCTGTATCTGCCCTCCAAAAAGGGGGCGGATTGCCACCAATTCCTTCGAGGAAACCAACACCCGTGACGCAATAGCCAGTCGCCATCATGGCAATGCCGATGACACGTCCAGGTCGCTCACTTGTGGCTTCAGTCAAGCCTTTGATAGCGCTTGGGCCCACCATTCCGCCGTATGAGTGAACAACGACCACAACATCGTTGCCTTGAGTAACTTCTGCCAAGATAGCTTTTCTGACTTCTTGAATGTCGTCGAATATACCCTTCGTCGGATCGGACAGGGTTGAAGGATGAGAGGTACAAACTGTTTTGTAGCCCCGAGGCTCCAACTCAGCAGTAAGTTTGTTCCATGTATCAGGGCTGTGCCATGCTCCAGATACAAAAATGAGGGTAGGCTTGGAGGTCATAGTTGTTGTAGAAGATAGAATTCAACAATGGTTTTCTTTTCAGAATTGAACACAAGAAACAAATAATACTCAGTGATTGAAGAGTTGCTTGAGTTCTCCTACGAGCAACATGGCCCGGTCTTTATAAGAACATGGTCTAGCGCCAAGTAATAGTGGTCTAATTTTAGAGTCCGAATCTTTTTCGTACTGGTGATAATTTTCACCATACCACCTCCTAAACTGGATCCAATCTGATACACTGGCGACGGATTTACTTGATCCACATTTGGGATATTTCCGAGGAAATGTCACAGCGCTACAACTCACCTGAATGGGTATATAACCCTGCTACTACCGATTGACTAGAAGCCAATCAAATTAATATCAGAATTGCTCATGAGTTGCATAGCGTACAAGATATAGCCATTGGAACTGCCATTTATTTTGATTTGAAGCCAATAAGATTTTTAGATAGGCTACTCGCCATACTGTCAGCTACTTTATTTTTACTCAGGTCATAATCATTTTCCAATTAACACTGTTATAAGGCTTCAAAAATGACAAACAAATGGATGAGACGTTACGGTGTAAGCAATTCTTAAATTAGAGACCCTATTCCATGGACTATCGGGAACCTAATCATTCCCGAGTGCGAGTGTATCCTGAACGTTTTTAGTATGTAGCTTGTCCCATTTTGAGTCTTTGAGCTCGCACCTCGGACCTCGTACTTGGCCGAAGCGTCGGCTGGGCTTCGAGTCATACGAGTCAGCCAGTAGAAATCTTTCATCATATATCACGATACGCCTGAACAGGAAATCAATCGTATTTTTTGGCCTGTTTTTCCCGAAGTATCTCTCTATAGCGCTCCAATGACCATATCCGTCTTAAGGGCGTGCTGACTGGACTTTTATGTCTGTTGAAAATATGCCTTGGTCTCACCAGTGAATCGGTCCTGATTATCATTGGGCCAATTGCTCCAAAGATGATATAGACGTGTGAATTCACATTCAAATTCGTTAACATTATCAATTTTGGTGAGTGCATTGACCTTATTTCGCCTACCAGCCTCTCTGTATCACCTGAGATACAAGCCTGTCTTTTGCTGCACTGCAACCGCGGCAGATAAAATCCTGCAAATGGATTTTTACAGCGCTGTCTATCCATTTCATTAGGAAACGTATGTTGCATGAGATTTACCAAGTATACTCAGTAGTTTGTTTGTTTCATCTTCCCAATTCCTACGCGTTGGTTGCTGCATAATGGTGATAATGGATCTGAGATTTGCCGCAAAAAATGGGCCTGAGCAAACGGAGAATTAGAATATTCTTAAATTCCGTTCCTACGCTATAACGCCTAAATTTGTGTATCATATAAGATTGTGGCGAACCCATCTAAATTTTCCGTGTAAATTCACACCCATGTATCTCATTCATGAAACAAGTCTCAAGTTTATGAAATCTCCTGCCCCTATCCGAATAAAAAACTTAGAAATGAAGAAGAGAAACTATCAGTGTTTGTATCACATTATGTACGCTTGCAGTATGATGCATTACAATCAACAAAGGCTGTCTATTTTAACTATCTGAGTGTGAGCAACCACTAGCATATAGGGTATGTATTCTCCATAAGTCAGCCCCAATAGCATATTCGGCTGATAAACAATGCAGGAAGATAAAAAGCTCCGGGAGTGTAATACTACGCAACTCTGATCACAAAATATCTTTTTCTAAGAAGTAGACAAATTATTGGCTTTCATAAATGCACGAAGCTGAAGAGAGCTTTTATGACCGCGGATGCTTAACAGTCATGTCGTATGAGACTTTTTTTTTTTGACAGACTCCGCCTTAGGTCATAATAAGCAATAGGAAGTATTTCAGTGACTTGTTTGTATAATTTGCAGAACCTATTGCATGTTTCCTTGCAATTGTGGAAAAGGCTACTCTAATCCGTATCAAGAGGGATTTCTGAGACAGTCAAGAAGAGGCTATGCCTCAATTTAAGTCCAGATCCTGCGCGAGCTTTACTTCATCCATTTCGACGCGCCAAAAGTGTGTCACTAGGTCTTACTATCGCTTTCTCACTATTGCATTGTACTGCACGAGCCATACGCACCGCGGCGACTTCAGTATAAATGCACTTTCAATATGTTCATTTTCCCCCTCTAGTTTTTCTAGGCCAATATCTAGATAACAGGGGCCAAATTGCTACTTTAAAATATTGTATATCGAAAAATCCTGGTCTATTAGAGCAACGACGTTGATATAAGGATGCGGCCGAGTACAGGTACTTATTATTCACGCGTCGTGTTGGTGGATACATGCACATATCAACCAACTCCTCCCTTCGCAAGGATCCGAGCCCATATGCTTCCACCCATCTGGCCACCTAGAGAACCACATCGTACGTTTTAGGCCTATTTTCCTAGCACGTTCAGCCTATTGATGGTTTTGCGGGGTGAATTCAGTCCAGTAGCTAATGGCGCGCCGAAGTATACGCCGAACAATCATCCGCGGCCTCTCTCCACAAGTTGAACATTTCCCCAGATTCCGTACAAGGCGTATTGACTTTGCGGAGAAACTCCACATTGTATCCAACCCCGGAAACGTTACGAGACTCGTGACGAAATATGCTGCACTTGGATACTCTATACATCCATCGGGTTAGAAGAAACGACTATTGAAGAGGTAATTAACCCTCGGATAAAACCCAGTCTCTGGGGATAGCTGACTACAGAACAGCTCCAAGATCTAGGCCCCGGGAATTTCACCGCACGACCGGCAAGTTCTGCCGAGCTGCCGAACATGAACATCAAACATCGCGGAAACCGACTCCGAGAAAGCAAATGAATACGTATAAATAGGCCCTTGGTGCCGTCACGATGGTAAGAAGACTTCTTTTGAACAGCAGGGAAGCAACAGCCCAAAGTGTCCAGTCTTCGTCTCAGCACAATGGCGCCAACTGTTGTATATCTCGTCTCCCTCGCAGGGATTTTCCTGCTTCGCCCTGTGGCCGCGCAGACTCAATGTGGTGGCAATCTTTACACTCCTGGAACTCTCAACTTCACGACTGAGTGTTACAATGCGTTCATGGACTGTGCCGCCCGTTTCGAGGCCAATGCAAGCTTGGTCAACTGTGACGACGGCAAGGGAAATCTGTTCATGCAACAACAGGCCAACCTAGGAGGCTCTCCGGGAAGTCAAAACAACGATGCCGTCATCGCCTTCCAAGATATCCGCGACCTCTGCCTCCTCAGCGGTTCCACGACTGCAACTTGGGGCTACAGCGACAATCAATGGTACTGGGCAGCTGCTGAGGATGCGTGCTACACCAACGACCCAAGCAGAACGGATGTTGTCCAGACTCACCCGGCACCATTCTGCATCCAGAATCGCGATTCTGGACTGCCTGAATGTTATCCGCAGCCAGATGCCACTCCCGGTGGCCCTCTGAAAGTTCTCAAGACTGCCAAGACGCGAAATGGATTCAAGTCCTCTGCCCGAGGCTGGAATACCTACGGCGTTCAGGCTTTGCAGAACGGTTCCCAAGTTGTGCCATCCTTCGCTGGACAATCCGGCCTTTACTACACCCAAAAGTTCGTCGAGACTCAGTGTGGCGTGCTTGCCCGACCCGAATTTAAAGCCGCTGGCTACGATCTCTGCAGTCTTGATTCTGGTTGGCAAGCGTTCAACGCTGTTGATGAGCACGGCCGTATTATCTATAACACCACGCGTTTTAACCTCCCCCAGCTGGCTTCTTGGTTACACAGCAGAGACCTGAAGCTGGGAGTCTACATCACACCCGGTGTTCCTTGTGTTGCACACAACCAGACTATTGTTGGTACCAAGATCAAGGTTGGCGATATCCTCAACGGCAACAACGACCAGATCAACTGCGACTTCGATTTCAGCAAGAATGGTGTTCAACAATGGCATGACTCAGTTGTCGCGCAGTGGGCTTCTTGGGGCGTGGATATGCTGAAGCTGGACTTTGTGACTCCTGGTAGCCCCTCAAACGGCGCCAATCTCGCTTGCGACAGCTCTGCTGCCGTGAAGGCTTACCAGAAGGCCATCGCGAAGTCGGGCAGGAAGATCCGACTTGATATTTCATGGAAACTTTGCCGCAATGAGACCTGGCTGCCTGTATGGAGCGACCTCGCCGAATCGATGAGAACCGACCAAGATTTGGACAACTACGGCACCAACACGTTGATGGCGTGGCAGGTCGGCCAGCGTGCTATTGAAAACTACCGCCAGTACATCGGTCTACAGGCGCAGCGTGATGTTCCCATTACGATTTACCCCGATATGGATGCTCTATTCACGGTCAACCCAGAGCACCTTGCCGGTGTCAACGATTCTATTAGAACCACTGTCCAGAACCACTGGCTTGGAGCTGCTGCCAACTTGGTCATTGGCGGTGACATGCAGCAAATTGATGCATTGGGTATTAAGCTGACTACCAGCAAGCAATCCGTTGCTGCTGCCGACTTCTTTGCGCAGTATCCCATGCAGCCCCGTAACCCCGGAACCGGAAGCAACGCCGCCAAGCAGCTGCAGGCATGGATTGGCGGTCCTTCAAAGAACCACGAGGCTTACGTCCTTCTCGTTAACTATGGACCGGACCTAGGCAACGGAGGCTTTGGAACGCAGCTGTACGGATCTCAGAAGGTGACCGTGTCATTGAAGGACCTTGGTATTTCCGGCTCGACATGGACGTTTACTGATATCTGGACTGGCAAGTCAACCAGAGTGACTAGATCTTACTCTGTTTCCCTCACGGAGGGTGCTTCACAGCTTCTCCGCCTGACAAAGAGTCACTAGAGGATGAGTGGGTGGATATAGAACCTCTTATTATAGATGTCTAGAAAATATATGTGTTTGATCAAAGATTCTTTAAAAATTGACTATGGATCTCGATATCTTCTTGTTAGCTGTCACTGAAATGTATTGCAGTAGTGTATGGAGCTGCATAGGATTACAAAACGTTGTTACACGTCTTTTCGGTTTATAAACGATGTCTCGCCTTAAATGCATGGGCAACTCAAGATATCAAAGGGGTACAAAGAGAAGAGACGGCAGATGAACAGCAATCCTTTATGGACAATGTATACCAGGTGCAGTTTAGATACAGGTGCAGTTCAGATACAGAACGCTCTCTATAGCACATATCTAAACATCGGCCCGTAGTTCTCTACCGCCACAGCTTGAGTGGCAACTTGGCCTCGCTCCTGTGTCTCAGCAAGTCGCGCTTTCTGTTCCTCAATAGTCCCGTATTTCTGATCCAGCTTCTTATTCTCCCAGGCGAGCAGAATCCGTAAACCAATGACCAGTAGCGTGGTAAAGAACATAAATGCCGCGCAGACCGATTGGCCCTTTACATAAAAGGGGCCTTCCTTGGAAGGATATAGTCGGGTACCTAGCAAAGGGCCGCATTGCCCGATGACGTTGAGAAGGACAATTCCGGCTCCTCGGCGAGTGTCACTGCCTTGGTTATCTAGCAGGATGAGCGGGTTAGAGATCCATCCAACATGACGCCTTATTTCACACTTACTCAATACCCAAGGAAGAATATTCGCAATGGAAGGGAAAATCCCCCCGGCCGCCATGAAGACTCCGAAATAGCGGGCTCCAACTGACTTGGCAGATGCCAAGATCACATAGCCCACACCGCCGATGATGGTTAGAATAATGAGCATAAAGGCACGCTGCTGAGTTCGATCTGCAATATAGGGCGTGATGAGAGTAATGATAAAAGACAGGAAGAATGGAGGGGCGGTTAAGCCTTGAGCAGTAACATCAGAAAATCCCATCTCTGAGAGAATCGTGGGTAAGAAAACTGGAAGGGAAGCAAAGCTGACATTGCAACTGAAATACATGAGCTATGGTAATTGTTAGCGATGAACGTCGTGGAATGAAATTGCACCCTCTTACACCTGTGAACCAAGCCTTGATATCAGTTAGCCCTCTCCAAAAGTCCACCCAGTCGACTCCGCCTATTCTGGCAGAAGAGCCTGCTTGGCGGACACTTCTTGCAATGGCTACTCTTCTCTCATCTTCATCAAAGAATTTCGCCTTTTCGGGAGAATCTGGGAGATAGAAGTAGGCTACAGCTGCCATGACAATTGTAGGCAGTCCTTCCACGAGGAACAGTACCCTCCATTTCGCAATGGATGGATGGCCTGATGTGATACCATATGCAAGGGCTCCCGCAAAAGTATTAGCAAGAGGAGCAGCCGAGAGAAAGACTCCACAGCGGAAGCCTACTTCATGTCGGAGATAGAAGAAGGAAAGTAGAAACGGGATTCCTGGTCCGTAGCCCGCTTCAGCGGCTCCCATGAGGAATCTAAGTGCCATTTCTGCCCCCCATGAATGGGTGACAGCTTGAAGAGTTGATACTAGTCCCCTATAGTTACTGTGATTAGTTCCCTGAGCAACTCAAGTGTGTTTGGCCTGGGCTCATACCATATGAAAACAACAATGGTTGCCCAGATATGTGGTGGCACGACCTTCCACATTATTCCAAGGAACTCAAATATGATGTAAGGGATATAGAATATTGTGAGCAACCAATCATAACGATCTCCAATAAGATTAAGATCACTGCTCATTCCGGCAATGCGCGCATTCCTGCATGTGACTAGTTTCAGAAAGCAAGGTCGCAATTGTAAGTGATGAGATGCACACATACCCAATGTTTGACCGATCAAGGAAAGCAAGGAGATCTGCAGAGATATTAGCTGCAGGCGGTAAAATAGGCACCATGCAACGTACATAGAGCCATGACCAATGGCACGAGGTTCATGTCTGTTTTTCTGACGACTCGCCGCTCCAGTTCAGGATCGATGGCGGGCTGCTGCGCGACAGCATTCTCGTTCTGAACAGACACAGGCTCCTTTTCAACATTGCCTGTTTGCATGGCCAAATCCATGTCTTGCTGTCCCTCCGCCGTTGTCTTTGACTGGGAAAGCTGCATTTTCTGGTTTATTGTTGACGCAAGACAGTGTGTCGCGAACGCCTCGCGGAACCCCAGATTTTATGGGAAATATTCTTTTGCGGGGTTGTGTCTGAGACAAAACCAGGGGACCACATTGACTTTCTTTTCTTGAACTGGTGACTCCATTCTATCTCCGGGATGTGGCAGCCGATCCCTGCGACCTGCTGTTGATGATTCCCTTTGTAGACGCCTCAACAGTCAAGACCGGCACTTGGCTTCCGAGGAGGAGCAGTTCCGCACGCGGCTGTCCTATGACGAAAGGGTTCTGTTCTCATTGTCCCGCGCCCCGCCACTCAAATGTCCGTTAAATCCACAAGTACCCCAGCCTAAAGAAAGAGAGGGCGCCTTTGTCCAACCTGTTGCGGGTACTGCAGTCTGGTAATAACAGGTTGGTTGTTGTTGTGCTACCCTAGGTGATACAGCATCGGCAAAATCGCTAGATGTACTCCAGATTCCTTGGAGCATCACTGGAGCGGCTAATGTAAAGGTAATCCATCGCTCGCCTGCGATTTTTCGCTCTACCGATTAAGGCCGTCTAAAATGACATTGGTCCTTTGAAACCATACTGTATAAGTAAATGGCAAATGCTTATCGACCTCACTCAGCCTACTTATGTGGTGCTTGGCCAAATTGCGTAGCTGTGAATTCGATATAAAGATGAATCTTGGAAAATAAATATGGTCATTCTTATACGCTCTTTGGTGCGCTTTTTTCCGTACACAATTACGAAAAGGACTGCCCATACACCAGCTTTGCCCATATCATCAAGTGGTTGTTGGCTAATGGACCTAAGACGGGGATGATCTGGGGTCTGGTATTAGTCTACGGAATACCAGTTTGTGAAAAACGGTTAGGCTTATGGCGATAGGGCTGAATTTCTGATGATTAGAGAACATAATTGCTATATCATTGAGGCATCATAACTTCATGGATTGTTATTTTCAGAATGTGGATGTTTAATCGATTCACTGACGTCGGAATTAGGCAAAATGCCGTGTGTTTCATAAGTATCTCCACAGCGTTAGAGTACATGCTTCCCACAAACTTACTAAGGTAATGCCACCAGAACTCTGAAAGGACTCAAAGCAAAGGTTAAACCTTTGACTGAGACTACTCTATACCTCTAGCAAATGAAGGTTTAATATGGAAACCGATTGCGCCACAATGGTGAAGACTAAAGCTCAAAGGCAACGTGACACCGGATGTCAAGTTGAAGAAACCAAGCTCCGGCACTCACTCTAGGGCTCGGTGTCGTTGTTATTCTGCGATCGGCTGGTTCAGGCTGCCAAGGCAGCTAAAGCAGTAACCCAAAATATAAGCTTAAAAATGTCTGGATCGAAAGAAACTCACACGTATAAAAAGAAGTAAAGATGGAAATTTGTGGTGCTGTTCGGCTTTTATTTCCTTGCCCAGGAGCTGACTTCTACTCCGCGTTAGCTTCGCTGTTTTGCAAAAATTAGCCACCATGAGACCAGTCCGGGTACTACAACCGAGCCATGTTTATTTGGCAGTGGACGCTAATTTTTTTTCTGGATTCTTAATCTTTAGTTGTCTGCCATCGGAATTGCCGGAAACTTTCTCTGTGACGGTATTTGTGATGGGATTTTCACGTAACGTGTCTTCTCTTCCTCTTCCATGTTGTTTGCACAACTGGCCTCTATCGTGACTACCTATGTTGACAAGTGTTTACAACAATCGTCTTACGCACGGCGTATGTAGGCCACGCAATAGGCGTATTCGCGGGTTCGCGCCTCGTATTTGACTGGTTCGTTGAGTCAACTTATGGCTGCGCCTCTCCAAAAGTGGAAATTGGGAACTGAAATGGCACTTCTGAACAGGTAACAAGCCGGCAAATCTCCACCCTTAAGCCCTGTAAAGTCGCGGATTTAAACAAGTAAGAACCCACGAGACATCCGTCTGTCTCATCCCGTGTCAATCTAGAATCTTACACTTTCTTTCCTCCTTTTCCACATTGTTTCTTCGATGATTCACTGACAAGCGCACCTTTACGATGTCTGCCTCAGCACATACACAACCGATGCAATGGGCTCTCTATCACGACGATAACGTCCATTTTGCTTACGAAGCACCCTGGTGGTCGCGCGTCGTTTTGCTGGTTGACCTGGCAATTCTCCTGCCTCTCTTTATCATCGTGCGTGCTTGTAGCCAGCCCCCTGAGTCACTGTGGCATTCCATCGTCTCTTGCCTCATGGTGATGATGATTTTCTGATCGTAACTAATGGAATCGTTGGTAAAATAGTTCAACTACACATTGCCCCGCGTTTATCCGGTGTTTGCTATTGTCCAAGACAAGAAGCGAGGAGAAAATGACCCCATCAGACTCGGCAATGTTGCCGACGAGCGAGCCCTGGATTTCAACTCTGTCGACAATCCCAGTCGGATAAACTCGTCTTCTCCAGCAGCCATTTATCGCCTTTTGGTAGATACCGATGGCTTTATGGCCAACTTCCGCGGCTTTTCTTGCGCTCTTCTCCAGAGTGCCGTCACGGCATTCCCAGTTGTAATCGCCGCTCGTTATGTGCCCTTCCCATTTGGCCGTCTGTCGAGACTTCTTCCTGCACTTGCCATGGTTCAATTCAGCACTCTTTGGCTACATCTCATCATCTCTAAGCCAAGTCCCCGATCGTTCTGGAGACGTGTGCCTTCGTTCGGTCGCACCTTCAGCGCAACATGGAAAGCGGTCGTCATTCACTGGGCCTCAGTTGAGATCACGAGGTGGCTGCCCTACTGGATAGCCTCGTCCATGGGATTCGACTGGCCTTGTTTCAACCTTCTCATGCCCGACAACACGTACAGATTTAGACTTGACATGGCAACTGGAGACATGGTCCTGTACTCCAAATGCGCCCTTGTCATCCTCGTTACCATTATCGGATCCATCTGTTTCATTGTTCCCAGCCAAGTTGTCCTGATGCGAATCCAAGCGTCTCTTCTACCGATTGAAGATGACGCCATCATTCCATTTGATAGGTCTTTTGATGGCAAGGTAGTACCTTCGATCCTCGGCGGCCGAGGCTACGCCACGATTTCCGACGCCTTTTACACCTTTACATGGGCGAGTTGGAAAAACTTGGCTATTCTTTCTATTAAGATTATCCTCCTGTCCATGTCTCTGATTGGGTTTGTTGCTTTCTTGTTGATTGCTCAGTGGTCTATCATCGTTCAAAGGACCCTGGAGCCTAACCAGTACAACTACTGAGCCGCTGAACCGATGGATTTCCCATACTTTGACTTATAATGTCTTGATTATCTTATCATTAGATGGTACATTGCGTAGCGAATATTGAATCCAATTGAGGTCAGGAAACGTTCAGATCTTCTCTCGTTGCTAGGCTATGACATTATTTTACTGCCGACTAAACATATAGCCTAGAGTATGTATACCGGCGTGCGACTCTCATATGCATCGCCCTTGCTTATCTGAATGTCCTTTTTATGAAAGTCGTGTAGTTGGAGCCAGTGAAGCATTCGGAATATGAGGGTACACCAAATCTTGTTAATCTCACGTTTTGTTGTAGCCCCCGAGTCCGCCACGTCTTCCGCCATCGCATACGTGTTTGCTTTCTGGTTGTACTGTGACCGCTGCTTGTAAACAGTTTCTATGACGTTCAGCCGTACCGATTTGCAGTATAATCGTGCTAGGAGGTGATGCTTTTCATCCACCGTTGCGGAATCAAAGTCGCTTATGCGAATAGAATCAAGACTCTCATCCTCAGGTTCGTCACCCGGTTTCTGATTCAACATCCCCAAAACCTCTTGGATGTGTACGCGAACGACTTGGTAAATCATCACCATGTCAACGCCTTTCAAGTATTGGTCACAGAGCTCTATGCCCCCGCGCAAGTGCGCAATCCTATCAGCCGTAGCTGTACCGCTGATGTTGGTATGGATTGATCCGTTGGGCGGCTTTTCAACCTTTTCCGCAATATCATCACACCAATCCAATATTTCAGAAATCTGATCACTGTCTTCCGTACGGGCCGTCTGTGTTTGAGCCACCCTCAGTAGAGCGACAATGTTGTTGGTGAGTGTGGGAAGGGAAAATGTGTTGGGCTCCCAGTAATATACTGTGGGATTAGGAAGCATCCGAAAAGCTGTATCCTTTATGTGAAGTATTTGGCCAACCATTCCTAGTATTTCGAAGGGAACTGTGATACAATTAGTCTATAAACAGATAATTCATTCATCGAAACCATTATAGGGGTCTTGCGGTGTGACGCAGAGAGTAGGAACTATTAGAGGATGACATACCAGGAAATAAATGGCTATGACGAGCATTTTCGGCGTTCTTTCTAAAGTAGCCAATCGTGTTGTTATCACAGCCAAACTCCGCTAGAGTATCAGCAATTTCTGCCAAGGTGCCAAGTTGCAAGGTTGCATGATCTTCACTCCCATCGACGTAAACGAGCATCTCCCGATGGAGAATTGTTGGTGCCAAACCAAAGCACAATTGCTTGATGTCGTGGTTTGGAATCAAACGATTTTGTCCAAATACGGTCCGGCCTTGTTTCTGAAAGGTAAAAGATATGCCCAAATTATCGACGTAAGAGCCATACAGGACAAAGCCGTTGCCTTGGGCTCGATAACGATCATTATCCAAATCGAAATTCTTCCAGTGAATGCCAAGCATGGCAGCGATCTCGATTAGATGCGATATAGTGGTTGTGGCATAGGGTTTACTGAGACCCTGGGGAATGCTATCCCAGACTCGCTGCTTTCTCTGCATGCAGACAATCAATGAGTGAGGAGGCGATGGATCGCAGGGAGGCTGGTAGCCTAGCGATTCCTTCTGCCATGAACGCGACTCATTCTCCATTTGATAGATGGTCATCAGCAAGTGGCACCATGTTGCGTTTTCGTTGTCTGCTGTGCGGATGGCTTCTTTCTTGTTCTTCTGTTGCTGCGCATTGAACTCTTCAGTGCTCGATGTGTACTTGAGATTTGTGTGGCTGCCGTCAAGACGTATAATTTTCCTATCCTCTTGACGGAAATCCTCATCATTTCCGAGAGGCCCTCTCGTATTCTCGGGCCTTGCGACAAATAACACGGGCGTTTCGAAATGTACTTCGATGCGGAACTCAGACCAAAGCATCCGGCGCCTGGAGAAGCGCCCCCATTTTCCTATTACAGCTTCGCTGCAAGAAGAATATCCCGTAGCCGACGCGAAATACTGCTGGAGAGCCTGCAAGATGGCGATAACAAAGGCGAGAATAGAAATGATAAGTGCCACAACGGCAAGAATCAGCTCAGTATTATCGGTGGAAGACATGGTAATTGATGGCCTCTTCCTGTCGCTTGGCTCCGGCCCTTTACTTCTCGCCCCGGCATAAGGCCAGAAGATGGTTTGGGCGAGAACTGGGCATGGAAGACAAAGCCTGCGTGAACCAAGTCATACTCATCCACCCCTTGGCAGGGGCAATGAGCTCTAGCCGCTGAGCTTTTAGCCTCACCAGCCTAGCCCCCAAGTTCTTCATGACCTGTGACAACCAATCGCCAGCAATGCTTCAGCAGCTATACCCACCAAGACACGTCAACTTTTGTGTTGTTGCCACCCCGCTTTCTCTGGCGACGATCCCCGCCAAGAGCTCTTCTACGGTGAAGATGCCGACGATGAGGGTTGCAGCGATCCCGGTGGAAATAGATTGCTCTAAAGCGCTACAATTTCTGTTGTCATAGAGATATTCCCATTCAGAAAGTAACAACCTGGAGTAGGTGGGTAAAGGCTATTATGCCGTTGATCCAAGTTGAGAAAGGGAATCTTCGCCCGTGAATCATACCAATCAAATGTGATCCCAGTATGGCACAAACATTCTATCAATTTTATCCATTTTGCGGCGCTACAATCACGAAAAATGCAAGGCTCGGCACTTTTCGCCCAAGTCATAGCAGATTGACCTACGAAATTTATAACGGGGTCTGTCATTAAGAGCGCTAGAGATGTACAGAGTAGGTCGCTGCTGCAATGCGACCGAATAGCTCTCGTTTTTGGTTAGTCCGGCTAAATGAACGCAGCTGAGGGAAGCCTGTGGCTAGACAAGCGAGAGACAAGATCTATTGGTTCGTGAATTTGTTGATTCTGATACAAAGGTAGGGCACTAGGTTAAGTGATTGGTTGGTAATTTGTGACAGAGCTCAAATTCGTGACCACCGCAAGACTGAAAGTGGAGGTATGACATGCAACTCCATAATGAATGAGGCTCAAGAGTGCCAACATCATGGAACAGAAAACCCAGTAGCAAAAGTAAATGATCCTAGTTACATCGTTCCAAAAAATTGATGTATAATGAAAGTCTAGCAATATAGGTACTCCATATATAAGCCGCTCTACGTGCGGTACTTTCCTCTTGTATCTACGGAGCAGCGGTTCATTGTCTGTCGGCCTCCAGTGCAACATTCTTGGAGTTCCTCGCCCCAATCAGAGCATCGAGATATTTGGACGTAACGTCTTCCATCGTCGACCCGCCAATGGTCTTTCCAATGATTTGGCCGATAAGCTCGGCTTGCGTGATGATTCCCAGCCGAACTGCGTCGTGCATGAGGTCAAAGAGGTCATGTTGACTGACCCCTCTCCGGATTCTCGCTAATAATTCGTCCGTGAGCTGTTTCCATGGCATGGTAGGACTCAAGCAAAGCTTACGTTTCATGATAGAATCTCTGCCTTTGCGGATTTTGATGATGTATTTTCTCAAGGTTGATGCATCGTATTCCGTCTTGACCCCCACCTCATGGCCGAGGCTTGTGATTGTGTAGTCAAGACCTCCTTTCACTGTTTGGAAGTCGAAATACTTCTTCAACACTAGAATCCAAGACGTAAGTCTTTGCGAAACATAAAAGATTTAGCACTTGAATAATCCCACATACCTTCTTTTTTCCCACCTTCTGCTGCCTTGACTTCCTTTTCGTTCATGAGCTGTAAGCCGAGACCTTCTGGTGTCACGCCCGCACTGTCCATCAACTTTTGGATAATCTCATCATCCTCTACAAAGGTTGTGAGCACAGTTGCGTAGGCTTTGCAAGCATCATAGATTGTCGACTGGGGAAGACTCACTGTATATAATGATGCCCTTCTCGAAGCGGGACTCTCCTGAGTAACAGATAAGAAAAAACACATCGACAAAGCCAATGAGTCTGATCTTTCCGTTCCATCGTGAGCCATCTATTAGCACATCCCATGGGTGGATATCGCTGTCAAAGAAAAGGGGATTGTTAGAATACACACCTATGACAATATGAAAGAGATACTCACTAATTGCACTCTACACTTTTTTGCGTCACTGACCTATCAAAGGTCATTAGAACTCTATGGTACGACGCCATGTTAAAGACTTGTAGAAGCTTGTAGTTGATGATAGTATGAGATTCTCATGAAGGAGACAAACTGCAGATTCCTCGCGGGCTGTGAGTAGAGTACTGGGCATTTTGTAAGAAGCCGACGATTCAAGAGAGGGCTCGATAGAAGGAGAGTGACGGCGATAATTTGGCTCCTCCCCCTATCCTGAATCACACGCTAGAAACAAGACGGTTGGGCTAGCTCGGGGCACCATTCACCAGGCTGATCCATCCTACCGACCCACCAGTTGGCCGTCATTGCTGCATGTAAGTACGAGCATTTACGGGTTCTTCAAGAGCTATTTCCGAATAAAGATAGCCTACCGATGCAGCCTAATTTCGCCTTTGTAACGGCGCCAATGGCATAGCAGCCGGAAGGCATCCGTATCCCAAATGACCCAATAAATCATCACCAGCTGAAAAAATGCAACACACAGGACCAACGTGGCAGATAGCCATAGGCTATGGTTTCTTTACTCTCCAAATCAAGTCTGCCTTATCATGTATGGCCATTGAAGCTAATCGAATTGACGTCTTAGCGCACGTCTGCAAGCTCCGTCGCCACGCCCAATTCGCGGGACAATCTCATCACACGTAGAGCCGCATGTACTAAATTGCTCCGAGGGGTATTATAATTGCCCTAGTTCCACGTTGGAATTTCTTCAGAGAAAGGAAACAAAGGTGGCCATCCTTTCTTTTCCTGGGTTTTTTGTACACCAAGAGGCTGGTATTAGCCATTCATTTTGACCGCCATGTCCACGATGACCAGTATATCCGATAAAATTGCAAGGGTCGCTGACCTGAGCAACTACACGGATATCACGCCTGAAAAAATCAAGAAGATCTTTGATGATATCGGCAGCAGCCCAGAGAAGCTCCGAGCAGCCTTGAACCTATGGTTCGTCCCAGACTTCAAGCCAACTTTTACACGGACAGAGGACAGCGCTCTCTTCTCTACCTTGCAAGACATTGAATTTCTCGGGGCTCCAGATACGGAGAGGCCCCAACGGCCATTACGTATGATCGACCTTGAGACTGGAAACATAGTCGATGCGTGGAACATTTCACACCTTGACTCATATTGCATACTATCCCATCGTTGGAAAGGAGACGAGATTACCCTGGCTCATATTATGCGTGCTAGAGAGAAACATGTGGAGCGCATCAGGACCAGAACTGGGGAGCCTGGAGTGGCTTCTCCCAATATCGAGACTCTGATGGCGCAGAGCGATGATATATCTCTGGTTCTTGAGCAGTGCAAGCTTGATATACTCGAGCAGCAGCAAACAATCGATATGATCCTACAACAAGAATCGGAGGACGTGAGCGTGGAAGAGGTTATTAAGAGAAAAGTTGAAGCCAACGAAATGAAATGGAAAATGAATTCGGCCCGGCAAGCTCGAGATTCTAAAAAATCACTGGTTGATCTGAGTAAGATCGAGAAGAAGATGTTCGACACCATAATCCACCGCGCCGGAAAGGTTGTGGACGGCAATGCAAGAGAGTCGCAAAACGCAGAAATTCCAACAGCAACTGCGGATGGCATTGTTAATAGTGGCCCTGATATACCACAACCAGATAACTCGGATCATGGCACCACATTCACAGTTGTTAGCAAGGCAGAGGAAGCATATGCTCAAGCAGAAAGGCAATTTGAGGATTTGCTCATCATGCAGAAGACTGTTGGGGAACGCACTCAAATCTTTCAGAGGAGCAACCGGCTCGGTGATGAAGTAGATGAGTTGATCCGTCGGCTACAGAGGTGGAAGTCAGCCATCAAGTTGAACAATTCGATGAAAGAAGCGCGCAGAATATTCCGGACAAGTCATTTCCAGAGACGCGGCGCTCGCTACATCTGGTCCGACACATGCTGCATCGACAAGAAGAATTATGGAGAATTATCCCAGTCTTTGTCGCTAATGGGCGATTGGTATTCAAATGCCGAGTTTTGTCTTGTGCATTTGGATACAAATTGGCGAGAAGCTGACACGATTGACGATTGGCTCAAATTCGGGAGAGAGGCGAAGAACAGCGAAGACAAAGGGCCAGCCGCAACTCCCAACATCCTAAGCTTCCGAGAGATAGAATCTACAATTGAATGGGCAAGCCGAGCATGGACATTGCAGGAATTGGTTATGAGCAAGATGACATACTTTGTCAACTCGGAGTGGACACCTCTCAGTCGTCCTATTGAACATCTTGGGGATATATATCCTCTAGTTCCATTCATTGATCTTCATACCCAGGGAATTACATCAAACATCTACGCAGGCCCACCAGAAGTCCTGAGCCAGGCAAAGCTTTCTCAGTGGAAAATTGGGGATTTCAACGGGCTGATGCCGTATTTACGAGAAACCGACATTGAACTTGTCAATGAGAGTAACAACAGTGGCCTCTGGGAAACAGGTTACCAGATCGAAGCAGAGCAAGTCAGAGAGTCGATACAGCTCATCTCTATACTTAATACTCTAGGGTTCCGCTTTCCAGCCAACATGACCGTGGAGACTGCTACGTCCGAGATTTCACGAGCTGTCTATCTTGCGGCCTCTGATTTGGATAGAAGCAAGCGTCATGGAGCAGACGAGAGTGGAATACGTCTCTTAACAGAGCTCAAGAGAAACCATCTGCCTAATCCATTTGGCGACGCAAGTCTGATTAATGTGAACGATACCGAAGAAGTCATCAAATTTCTGCTACTGTGCCTTGTGGCGAAAGTAGGCGATCTCATCGTCTCTGACAGACGTTTTATTGCCGACTTTGGAGGGGTGAGACCACTCACAATGTGGAAAAGCGGAATCACTCGCAGCGGATTCCCAGCACAGTTAGTTCTACAGCTGTCTTGCAGTCGAGTTGCCACTGTTCCAGTCGACCATGTCTATTCGCTCATGGGTATTCTTGGTGTTCGATTCCCATCGTTCCATGCGGAAGGCTACGCGAAAGCTCTTGCTCGCCTTTTGGACGAGGTTATCATCACCCATAACGATGTGTCCGTATTTAATTGGGCCGGTGCAGAGATGGGAAGCCCTGTTCGTGGTCGGTCCATGTATCCCGCGTCTCACAAGGCATATGGGACTAACGAAGATCGTGGCCGGCGTTACAATATGATGATCTCAGCAAAAGTGAGACAAGACCGAAAACAAACGATGGTTACTTATCATGGTATTATCCAGATGCTCCGCGATGCGATAGACAGCGTGAAAGATAAGAAACGTGAGAGTATACCTCTGCATTGGGTGCGAGAAATAACATCGTTCATAAGCAACTCTACCTTTGACAAGCTTCAGCCACAGCTGGTTAACATTGGCAAAATTCTTCTTTATATCAAATTGCACTGCACACAGCTTAAGAAGTCAGCTTCCAACAACAGTGCTCAAAATGATGACTTGAAGGATGCCAGAAGCAATGACGAGAAGTCTTCATGGTCGCTCAATTTAACCCCATCTCTTCCGAGCCTGAAGTCATCCTCTGAGAAAGTGACCTCGAGTCTTCCAGGATTTGGACTAAGCAAAAACATCAAATCATCATTCGGCAGGCTTTCTTCCAAGTCGTCGGAGAAAGCTGTGGCGCAGGAAGCAACACCCACTCCGCCCGCAGCGCCGCCCGTACCACCCGCGCCAGCAGAGCCTGAATGGAAACAATTTGACTCTGGCGTGACTGATTATATGAGAATTATGTACGATGACGGCAAATCACAAGGTGAAAAAGAAGATCATCTACCACAAAAGATAAAAGAGATTGCCTTCGACGTTGTCGAGCCCGAGGGGCTGGAGGGGCATTCGAGTGACGACAGAGAAAAGATTACGGCTGAAACCCTAACATGTCCAAATCCGATCATAGTCAACAGCTCGGGAATTGAAGGCATCTTTGACATACAACGAATTGTTGTGACGATGATTGACAGGGAGAAACTGGTGCGGCAAGTGGCAAAGGCAACCAGTCCGAAGCAAAAGATCTCTGGGTGGTGCACTATCAGCACCGGTTTTGCGAATGTCGCTGTGCAGTTTGCGTGTGAGCAGCGCATCCTGAAAACGCAATTGGACGTGGAAAAGGCGACTGAGGACAAGATCATAAAAGAAGACACCAGAGCCAAAAAGCTTCAGGGAAGCATCGAGCTTCAAAGCGTGGACCAAGTGGTAGAAGGGGGGATGAACTTGGTAGCAAATACCACGATGGGGAAAGGCAGCCAAGACAAACAGGCAGAAGAAAAGGACACGACGGACTATATACGCGCCACAAAGGAAGAAAAAACAGTAGTCAGAATGCTCGACTATATCCAAGAGCCACAACTTCAACTTGTTGCTGGAGAATGGGTACTGGCGCGGTTCTCTGGAGTTCCCGGGGCAAAGTGGTTTCTCTGTTTCCTCGAATTAGGCTCGACGCATCAATTCTATGGCCAGCGTATAGCCGCTACTGAAATCGACTTTACCAACTCTGCAGTAGAACCTGGACTCATGAGTGCGTGGCAGATATACATGGACCGCAAGAAGAGAAAGATGTGCAAGATCCTGGAGACGTACATCAAGAGCTCGGAAAACGCGAAGCAAGGCGAAGAAAAATTGTCAAAAGCTACAAATCTGGCAAATAATAGTTATGAGAAAATTACCGATGCGGGACTCCAGAGATTGGAGACGGCCAAGAGTTTCTCTCCGATGTCGCCTCTCTCGATGAAGTTCCCATTCTCGACAAGCAGTGAAGCTGTTAATGGTACAAAAGCCAATGTAGCTGACATTGATGATGAAGAAGACGACAACTTTTTGGACGACCTCCTCGAGCATGCGAAAGAGGCTGCGATATCACTTGGTCATTACACTGTTTTAGCAGCTTATGAAAAGTTTTTTGAGATGCAGGCTCAGCATATGGACAAGTATCTTGCAGTTTCGGTCCTCAAAAAGACGCCAAAGATTCTTCAGAGTGCTGTAGAGAATCTCGATGAGAACAAAGGATTCCTTCCTGCCATGTTCCATTCTGGAAAGAGGGTACACATGTTTTAGAAGCCTCAGAGCATGAATACAACACACTTCTGGTGGACCTAGTTTCTACACCAGATGCTGTCTCTGTGAAGGTAATTGAAGTATGCACTGATTTCAGTGCGTTATAGCGGTAGTTCATATCTAGGCAAATTTTATCCAATGCAGCCATCGATATGTTCATCATTTCGTCGAGTAGACTATGAAGAAGTCGATGACTCATCTTCTAACCTCTCTCTTTCCAACGCTTTAAAAATTCTTGGGGTGGTATCTTCATCTAAGAGGCCTAAATAACGGCCTATATCTTGGTCAGCATGTGACATAGCAATACGGCAACTGTGTTCCCTTACCTGCAGCAAGCCACCGTGTTTGCATAAGGTTTAAGAAATCTCGCAGCGCTTTCAGAATCTGGATGTTCGTATTGAAGCTGGCTTGGTCTCTCATAGAATAAGTTAAAGTCCTTGCAGCTTTGTACATCAAAAAGTGGGCAAATGGTGGGAGCATGTCCAGGGAGTTGTCGTCGATGTCGTTGAGCGGTGGAATTATTTCAGATATGTCTTTTATTATATTTTGTAACGGGAGAGTGGCTGCAAACCAGTGGTCTTTCATGTGATAATTCAATGTCCGCTCTCTGTCGCATTTGTCGTATACGAGAAGAAGACCGCTGCCAAATTGTCAACTTTAATCGCCCCGAGAATTGGAATAATACTTACATATTACAGATGAGAAGACCACCGGCGTGTATTCTAGAGTCATCTGGTACCTCTCCAAGTATCACAGCTCTCAGTGATGTTATTGTGTTTACCAGAAGAACTCCTTCTTCAAGATTAAATGAGATCCGTGGTGTCGGTTCATAGATAGTTACATGAACTCGGTCCAGAAGATTTGTTGCTTCGTATAACCGTAGAAACCGCCGCTGAGGCGAGAAGGGAGTAGATCTGAAAACTGGACAGACAGCGAATGGAAGCTCGAAATAAGGCAAATCGGGTTCGTTCGTATGGATGCGTCTCGTGACCGGAGGATACTCGCCGTTTTCAATGGCAATATATCTGAATGATGCTGTTAGAAATGACCTCATCTGTTGCTGCTATATATTGCGCCAATGTACGCAGTGAATCATCTCAAGTTACTCACCTATCCATAACCTTGATTGCTGCCCACGTCATGCAACCTTCTACCCGTTCCTCGTCTGAGAAGGGTTCACTAGAGCCGGTTTCCAACTTCCTACTTCTCTTAAGCATTTCTGCTGCTCTAGCCACCCCACTTATGGATATGTAAGCCGCAGGGTATAAACCGTGTGTGACTTCAAATAGTGTGACGAATAGTCTGGACTGAACAACTTCCGTTGAGTTGACTCCGATCCCCTCGAGTAGTGCGATCCAGCTTTTTGTAGAAAGATACAGATCCTTCAGTGGAGAAACATTACCATCCATCCAGGCACTAGATTCTGGAGTGGTGCAAACTAACATAATGGTCGAACACAGTAAAGTGAAACCGAGTGTTGCATCGTCCCAATCGCCCGGAAGTTGATCGCCTAGCCTTGACTCTGCAATGATAGGAAACCAAGGCCGCATAGTGCGATAATATGCAAGCGCCACATCTTTGGGCTCAGTTTCTTGCAACTTTCCGACAATCGCGGCCTTGATTCGTTGCGGAGAGAGAGCCTCATCTGGAGAGATTGTCGGATTCGTGGTAAGAGACGTCACAGATCCTGAGGATGACAAGGTTATGGTCTCATACTGGCAGTCTTCTTGCCGACTAGTAAGGCCACGTAATTAGTATTAAAAAGATGGATAGGAACATTTGTGAATATTATAAATCCATTTTGTAACACTCACCGCGTACAAAGAAGACATTTTGGTAGCCCTCGGTCACATTTCCTCTTAGACCGGCGGCATCGCAAACACGCCTTCCTAGCATTGGCGGGCTTCTGTGCCTTATCCGTTGGCATCATTGTGAGTTTATTAGAAAGATCCGAGATAAATTACGGGAAAATCCCATTCTACGGATTGATGCTCAGCGTATATTCACAGTCCAGGACGCCATCAGCGGAAAACATGCGGACGCGAAATAATATATAGGGCCGCATTAGTCATAGGCGTTTGCGGTCTATTGCCGAACTGTGGAGATCGTTGCGGACAATTGCCGCAGGAGGCGTCAGGCCTTTATGGAAATCATTTTGGCGGATGAGCGGCATTGGCTTTAGGAAGCCTTGTCGTGTGTAATTGATTCAAATTACGAATGTACAGAGAGAATTTATACAAGTAAAATTGGATCAAATATATAAAATCACCAGAGTTCCCAGATGTTGAAGACATTTTACTCACAGCTCATCGTCTCATTACACAGTAGCACTCATTTATAAACAAGTATCGACAATTAGCTATTCACCATGGCTGTAATTCGAAATGTCGCAGTTGCTGGTGTGAGTAAAGAAAATGGTCATTTATCTCGAGGACATAGTTTGAGAGCTGATTTGTATAGGCTTCCGGCAACATCGGATCATATGTTTTGAAGGCGCTCCTTCAGGCTAACTTTAATGTTACGGTCCTTACACGTTCCCAAAAGCCTGGCGCTTACGATTCCAAAATCACGGTAATAGAGGTGGATTTCGCCTCTGTGAGCTCTTTGACATCAGCTCTTCAAGGTCAGGACGCTATTGTATCGACTGTTGGAAAAGCTGGCTTAGAAGCCCAAAAACTTCTAATCGATGCAGCCATTGCCGCTGGTGTTCAGCGATTTATTCCTTCAGACTATGGAGTGTGCACGACTAGCCCGAAGGTTTTAGGCCTTCCCTTCTATTCCACGTTGGCAACCGTTCGGCAGTACCTCGCAGATAAGGCAGCCACAAGTGCTCTGTCCTATACCGTTGTGGCGATTGGAAGCTTTCTAGAGTACGTGTTGATGACTCCCGCAGTTGTCAACTTTAGAGAGCACTCGGTTGCTTTCATGGACGAAGGCAAGAATAGAATCAGTACTTCGCCCCTGGCAAGCATTGGGACGGCCATCGCCGGTGTTTTCAAGAATCCGGATGAGACTAAAAACCGTGTCGTCTACGTCTCGGCGACAATTTTGACGCAGAAACAAATCTTTGACATTGCAAAAGAAATCAAGCCCGAGATAACATGGACCGTTACCAACACCAAAGCATCAGACATTCTAAAGGAAGGCCTCGATGCAGTCGCCTCTGGAGACGGCAGCTTGCAAGCTGTGGGGAACATATTGATCGGCACTGCCTTTGGAGGCGACGAATATGGCTGCGCATATGACAACAACGATAACTCGCTCCTTGGTATCGAAACAGTTACTCATGAGAAGCTCAAGAGCTTGATCGCTCAGCACCTTAATTAAAGCTTTTCCATACGACACAACTTGAAGATGGACATATGCAATGAGTGGATATACGCGATGAATATTCTATCGTGGTTTACTAGGAAAATAGAGGCTATGAAACAGTGAATTGTTTCACATGTCGATCATACTATAGGCTTCAAAGCACTGCATAGACTCGAGTTCCCAAACCCTTGGTTCCCAATATTCACCTAGTGTAAGCTCCATCCAGCCATAGGCAGTTCTAGCGTGTTATTTTCCATACTCTGCACTATTCTAACTTTGTCCATGGACTTGCAAGGGCGAAGCTCGATGATGTGGCGAGGGTTCGGCGAAAAAACGCCGGGCCCACTCGACTTGGCTGTCAGTGACATCGATCCCTCCCAGGCGTTGCTTGAGTCTTCATTCTTTCATCGGATTCCATTACCGACGGCTGCTCCTTCGCATTTTCACCTGTCAGACGTATCAGATATGCGAAACTCCTTCCCAGCCGCTCTCTCCACTCGCAACAACTCTTCTATCCGCACACATGGCGACCGCTAAGGCGTGTGTTCGCTGCCACGGTAAAAAGATCCGGGTAGGGAAAAGAAAACCGAAAGCCAGGAGAAGGCAGTGGAATCTATATGACATTGCAACTTACATAGAAATAGTGCTCCGGCTACCCGAGCTGCCGAACTTGCGACAAAGCCGGGGTAAACTGCGAACCCTACACAAGGCGCAGGAAGGGGGATAGTCTGGTGTATGTGCAGTAGTTGCTCAATTTCCAGCTTACCAGCAGGGAACCAAAAGATTAATTGATTGTAGTGAACTCAAATACTACCGACAGAGAACTATATGGCTTGAAGACGAAGTTTACAGAAATTTTCATATCCAGTGTAAAGACATGCCAACCGGGACCCTTCTGCAACCAGTCCATGATGGCATGATCCCCGGCGCTGAGCAAGGTGTTACACGACAACCAAGCTTACCTCTTACTCGTTCAAACACACGCGACGACATACAAGATGAACCAGCTCCGGCCGATCATGCGGCGGATATTGGTATGCTAGCTCTAAATGCAACTGGAGAAATAAGATACCTTGGTCCTTCCAGTGGCGCCTTTTTCGCTGCGTATACAAGTGCGCTCGCCCGATCATGCATCACAGCACAAAACTCGCCAAATACTGCATCCAACGCGCATAATGCAAACTCTGGTCGCGACACGGATACAGGCTTCGTCAGCCCTATGCTACGACTCTCCTCTAGCGATGTTGATCTCTTTTCACAGTCGTACAAGATGTGGATACTGCCTGTGTATCCTATTCTAACCTCCGATGATTTAGATACGATGGTATCAAGATATAACGAAGGGCCTGACGTTGATAACTCAGAATATCGTCGACAAACTGAGATTGCCATAGAAATGATGCTTTTTTATTTGGTAATGGCTCTTGGAGCCATCAATGCCGAAAATACACTGAAACAAATGCGCGGGCAACCTGAGAAAGAGAGAATGTTTAGCATATCCACTCCCCGGCCATCACCCGTCTCGCTCTGTATGCGGGCTTTGCAATTAATGGATGAAAACATTCCAAAGTTGCACCCCAGCGTCAGATTTATACAAATAATTGTCTTGATTTCGATCTACAGCTCTTATGGGTCTATTGGCTCGAGCCAATGGCAGCTAGCTGGCCTTGCAATGAGAGTATGTACTTCCCCTTCTATCAACCGGGTTTCTCCCATCTCTCCGTCCATTTCTACACTTGGAGTAATATCCTTAAAAAGTATAAACAACTTCGATTGTAACGTCTGTGTTACTAATGCGTGCACGAAGATGGCTGTTGAAACGGGGCTGCATTGTACACCCAAAACGAGCAACCAGTCATGCTCGGCCAAAGACGAAAGCAATCGCTTGTTCTGGACTATTTACGTTGTGGAAGTTAGCCTTGCCTATAATCTTGGGCGGCCGCCCTCTATCGGTGAAGAACATATTGCTACTGAGCTTCCAAAGCCCTCGAATGAGAACCTTCTCAGCCTACATCACATCAGACATCGTCAGATCCAAAGCAGGGTTGTGGCTCAAATATATAGTGTGAATAATCGAAACAGAAATATGTCGACTGAACAGACTCAAATCTTAATCTCAAAATTGCAACAAGAGCTCGATGAGTGGCGCGTCAACATACCACTCATTTCTCATGCAGAAGGGCAACATCCCTATCCCTATAGGTACGAACAAATGTGCTTGCTATAAGCTTCATCTGCTGATATCATCCCTTGGAAGCTACTGGGAGCGCCTTTATTATGGCACAACATTCGTTCTACATAGACCAAGTCCACTTTGCCCAAGTCCTCCTGCCCAGTCCCTGGAGCGATGCATCAGATCGGCAGGAAGCTATATTGACGATGTACTAAAAGTACTGCGAGTTACCAACGTACCACTTTCCTGGATGCTAGTCCAAGGAGTTTTGTTCGCAGGATTGACGATGCTAGTAACAGCCAGAACAGGATTGCGACGGCTTCTGTCACATGTTGGGGCGCCATTTCTGCTTGTTGATCTCCACTCACGGACCAGGAATTGCTCCATTTGTCTCGCTATAATGAATGAAAGACCACAGGAAGATTTGTTATCAAAGTTGGATTCTCAATTCGAGTTACTGGCAAATGATACGCTGAGAATAATCTCTGCCAGTATAACATCCCATACGATAAACGCTTCCTCTCGCAGCCCAGCGTTTTCGACGAATCCTGGTGTAGCAGAGAATGCGCTGGGATCCGATCAGATATTCACGGCTGATGCATCAGACTTCAACTTGAACTTGACAGAAGATTTGAACTTTCTGACATATTCAAAGAGTTCATGGGTCAGGATCCTACACAAACCTTTTGGGATATGTTTCCATATGAATTGAGTCTGGATGCTCCACCAAGCCAGCCAGTAATGGAGGAGGGATTACCATCCATCAACTCAACGGAATTGCTCACAAACGATTTATTCAAGTAGAGGGTGATTTTATAAAAAACATTTTAACAAGAAATTTTCTAACCGTTCACTAGCTGAACCAGAAGTGTAAGCTATTCGGCCACTAACTTATGCCGCCGCACGGAGCTTTCCTACAGCATTCCGTATTGCCAATATCGCTTCATCAAGCAACGGTAGCGTCAAAGGGCTACTCGTGTCGGAAGCTAAAGACAGGGTTTCATATCCACGCTCATATCTTTCAGCATGGCTTTGAAAGTATAGATAACTTGTGGCCATTCGCAAGCGATATCGACCGCCGATTAACCCAGCATCGTCTTCCCCGAAAACGGACCCTGGAAGAGCCGCAACACCACACTCTTCAATAAGCCAGTGCGATAACTGTTGACTTGTTATAATGCCAAGAGCCTCAAGCTGCTGTGTATACGGGTGGAAAGATGGATACACATAAAAGGCACCCTTTGGCTCTGCAACTGCAAGACCGCACTCACGCAAGGCATGATACAAGGCCAGTGTGCATCGTTTGTGTAATGCCACAATTTGACTGCGATACAAGTCCATCTCTGGGCTGGTAGCAAATGCAACAGCTGCGGCTTCTTGTGCCGGAGCGGAGGCGGCAGACCAGCATTCAGAAGCATAGGCTAATACTGCCGATTGCAGCTTTTCTCCAAACTCGTTGTTAGGGAAGATGGCATATCCCACTCTCCACCCTCCGGCAGAATAAGTCTAGATTTTTTTTTAGTCAAAATGCCCTCCATGTCAATTGCTTCATGAGAAGGAATGTGTACCTTGGAAAGTCCGCCGGTTAAGATCTTCTGGCCGTCATTGAACTGAGAAGCCGAGCAAGGAGTAGCGCCATGTTTCTCTGAAAAGCTTATATCTGCGTAAATTTCGTCACTAATGAGAGTGATATTATGGCGCCGACAAAAAGCTGTGATAATGTCGATCTCTTGTTGGCTAAAGGCCTGACCGGTTGGGTTGGATGGACTGTTAATAAGCATAATTCGAGGGTTTCCACCTTCGCTGACACCTTTGTCAAAAGCCGTTTCAAGAGAAGATTCTTTGCAAGCCGTTAGCTAGATGAACTTGATATATCTCAGCTGTGAGAAGTAGCTTCAAACCTGTGATAGTATGGCGATCCATTTCATCCATTTCAACCCAAAAGACTCGTTTACCCGCGTGAAGAATTTGTGGCTCATAGCTAACCCACGATGGTCGCGGCAACAGCACATCTCCTTGAAGAACATCGAAGAGTGCAAACAATAACGGCTTCGATCCCGGAGCGATTACAACCTGGCGTGGATGAATTGAATGATTAAGACGGCGAGATTGAAACTTGGCAACAGCCTAAGCTATGTGTTAGCATGAAAATACAAGCGCTTCACCGTTACCAAGATATATACCTCTCTCAGTTTCATCAGTCCCGCCACAGGGAGGTAGCTAGTGATATCGCTGGCTTGCCTATGAGCTGCAACAACGCTCTGCTGGATGGGAAAGGTGGCTTCTCCAAATCCCAGATGGACAACTTTGTGCCCTTTGGCTGCCTGCCGATGAACAAGTTCATTGATTTCCAGAGTCGCAGAAAGATGTAGCTGACTTGCCAAGGCTGTCAATACGCCGGAATCAGCATTAAAGGAGCTCATTGTGGCTATCGGCCCGCTCGCAAAGATGAGAAACGACGTGTTTCGAATGTCAAAGCTATATACCAACGTAAGAAAGATATCTGAAAATTGCTTCATTATATACGCAAGTCTACGCTCTTACTCTTTGCATCAGTTCGGCTATAAAACGCCGAGAGCCAGCTACGATTGCGGAGATGCCGGTGTGGCGGCGCCGGCCGACTTTCTTTCCGCCATGTATGTAGATCAGCTCCACGATGCATTTCGGTTCAAGTCCAGCCAATCAACGGGAACTATATAATATAGAAAGCCTTAATTAGGACTCAAACGCAAGGCTGTGCATTTTAGCAGCTAATGCCGAAGTCTCTCGTCTTATTGGTGTCTCATCGCCTTTGGAACACTAGCACGTTTATTGACCACAAATGTCGAGTGGCAGAACTATTGCAGCAGAGCTATTGCAGCCCTTTGTAAAACCTTCTACAAGCGTACGACTTAAAGAAAGCAGCGATTCTATACACGCACATCAAATACTGATGGGGAGAGGGCGGTCTGATCAGCGATTGACAGATGAAGAGCATTTACCCCACGGTTTTGACCACAACCAGGACATGGTAGGTAAAAAAGCAATAGATACAGATACAACGACACTCTCGTCACAATTCTCTTTTCAATTTCATCGTTTGAAGTTGCCATGTTGAAAATTCTAGCAGCATCTGAAGTATTAATCGCAGCTATCCTTCAAGCATGGCAGACGATCAGAGATAAGCGTGGATATTTGTACTGAGATGGGTCGGGTTGCTACATCGGGTATTTGATACGAATCATGTAGCAGCAGTTGCTGAAAATGGAGCAAAGAGCAAGGATTGTAATGGACAGGATGCACGGAGTACTGCAAATGTATTTTACTAAAGAACCCATACCCAATGGGGCTTTAAGCAATATGCATGCGGGTATCCATGGGGGCCAGAATATCTTGGCTTTTGACCTAAAGCTCACTAATCGTTCTTGGCTAAAGCACAGATACGAGAAAAATCAATCCACCAATGCGATACGTTGCTGCCAACTCTTGGCCTTGGGTTGGAGGCGACAAGAGCGTCTTATATCAAGAATGAGAGGGTTTTGCACACTTCTTCAACACTTCTTCGCAATGGCCGATGGATTAATGGCTAATGAGATTCTTTGCACAAATTAAAATGATAAGATATAAAGAACTGATTGAACAAGCGTCCAGGCGGCTGCCCCGGGGAGCCACATACAGGAAAGTGGATGGGCGAACAAAATGAGAATGCATTCCCACCCTAGAGGAATCAAGATGCAAGATAGATGAATCGTTGGCATGCGGTGAATCGTATTGATTACCCATGTGCAGCTTGTACCATACTTGTACTATATAATGCACCGGTGATATTCATATTCCATCAACAATTGACTCTTAGCCCTGCAGAGTTCAGCTGATGTCTATGTTTTTCAAATGCCAGCGTGAGATGATCCCCCACGAATGCTTCATACTCGGTATGATGAGTACCAAGCATTTTACAAATTTTCAAAGGCGCGTGATTTACAGGGCTTTTGCTGCTATCGAAATACTAAACTCGTACGAAGTACAGCCAACGGAGACAGTAGTACCACTAGCCATCCCCATTCCCCGAACACTGCATGGCACTGACTGACAACTGCAATATTCCAGTGGCAAAGGGGCAAACGTGGTAGCAAGTTGTTTGGAATAGCTGAAAAGTGTAACCGTTAGCCCTCTTGCCCTCGTATTGTGGGAGTTGGGAGGGCATGCCGTGAATCATTTTGCCTCAGTCGCTTCGAGGCAAAGGTCAGCGCCAGGGGTGGCATGCCAAGGAATGGCATGATGAGCCAAGAAATTGTGAACGGCAATATTGCCACGGCTGGTACTCGGTCGCCTCCATAGACGTTGCCTGGGCGAAGATTGGTGGAGAAAGTCTAGGAAAAGCAGATTCCATTGCAAAATGTCCATAGATTGATTCTGTTCCCATACTAGCAAAGATTTATAGCTTTCCGACATGAACCTCTCATTCTAGATATAATGGTTCAACAACCTTTGGATATCGGTTGCCTTTGGATGCCAGCGTCCGAGCACGATGCATTGTTGGGTGGAGTTGTCAGTGTAGAGCACATCTTTGCTGTTGACCACTGTTAGCTTGCACTCCTCACCCTACCTATCACGTAAGGTATAAATAAGTAGCCGCTTGATGGAAATTTTCATAGGTACATGGCGTAATCTTCCGAGCCTGAGCTTAATTGATGGGTAACACCATTCTTAGCGATGCTTTGGTTGTTGGTGCAACCTCACAGGATTTCGACCGGGTTTCCTGTTCAGCGTCATGATCCACAACGACCAACATGCATCGTGCCTAAGCCAATTTGAATGCAAATCTGCCGAATCGTACGGGCATGCGGCAATAATTGGGACCAGTGTGCTTATCCTGGGAATCTAGCACATGGTTGCCCTTGCCGCGGTCGTACGCTGAAGGATGGGACCTTTTGATAGCCTCGGATGCTTGAATACCAAAAGTCCTCCGCGGCCCGATAAGACCAATAGACGAACAGTGTTGAGTCTTGGTACCTGTGGATGCTACTACCCGCGTCAGATGCTGGGGGACGAGAAACCTGTCCAACATGCTGGCCACTGACCTTGCAACATCCGTATTCTCCTGATCGTGGCAAGGTGGCAAGGGTGACCCCCAAACCAGTGTGGCAATTGCGGAGAGATGTAACCCAAGTTAGATGTGCTGCATTGTTAGCTTTGACCAGTCAGCCTCTCACGTACAAAGACAAGATCTGGGGTGTCACTGGAAAACTCCTCAAGAGAAAACAAAGCTCGGATGCCCGGTCCAGCGTATATGCCGTAGCGGTCAGGGAATAATCCAAGTACTAGAGGGAATGAGATGTTACTGTTCACGTTGAAGAATCAACTTCCTCGGAAGTCATTAAGGCATGCTCGTATCTGTCCTACCTAACTGAGTCAGCCTGACATGTGAGGTAAAGTGCGAGACTCTCAAAGGGCCCTTACATGAAGGCAATATTCCCTCCGCAAACGCCGCTTTAGCGGCTCACCTGATGGTGCAACGAAAAGGTCCCGGGATACACTACTGGATTGGTTCTGCTCCCCTCTGCCCAACGGCACAACTGCAATCAGATGATGCGCGAATATGTCCGTTGGATGTCTTGAATTCCCCGGCCGCGCAATGTACACGGAAACTCGATCACTCTGAGGTTTGCCGTCACATTGCGTTATCTAAGTGTCCCAGAACGTGGTCCAACAGACTTACATAACCTTATCTACCAAACTAGCCCCGGGACCTTTCAAGCGTCTAACACGATTGCTAGCCAGATGCGGAAAGTCCGTGCCATTTTGGTGTTTGTCTTCAAAAGTACCTGCCCAAACATGGGTAGTGTTGCTTGGGAAGCATTCTGGAGCACTTAGCCTGTTGATGGCACAAATTCTCACCCGCATTACACCACCGGCCTGGACCCCATAGCAATCCGAAAACATGGAACCAGGGCTCCATGATACCTTGATATCACATATCGTGGTTGGCATGGCGGGGATGGAAAGTGATATAGAGCCGGGCGTTGCCAACGTCTCGAGCCTGGTTTTGGCGCGGCGTTTTGTCTTGACCTCTCAGGTGATTGCTCTCCCAAGCTCTGTGCCATCATGACGGCCTCGATAGCAGACGACACCGTTGTTGTGGAGGGCAGGACCCCTGCCCACGAAATCAGTGATGAGAAGGTCGCTGTTGGCGAGGTGTACTCGGAGAAGAAGGGTGCCTTGGACCCTGAGATCACCGTTGCTCCCCCCTTGGACAGCGACGACTACGATGAGAAGGACAATGCCAGTGATGATGTTATCATTGTTACTGGTGCCGACGCATCGGCTCATCTGATTCCTTTGCGAGATGATGGCGAGCCCGCCTTGACGTTTCGAAGCATGTTCCTGGCTACATGTCTGTCGGCCTTCCAAGCTGTCATGAGTCAAATCTACCAGGTTCGTGCTGTTTTATTTCAAATTCCAACGGCAAGCCAAACACCAGCTGACCTTGGAAACCCAGTTCAAACCAACCGCGGCAACAATCTCGGGAACTTTCATCGTCCTCATCGCGTACTTCGTCGGCAATGCTTGGGCTATGTTCCTCCCTCGTGGTGACAAGCTAAAGGCCAAATGGACAGCCAAGGGCGGTCAGGGAAAACCTCCTTTGTGGATCACCATCGCTACCTTCATCAACCCTGGGCCGTGGAATCTTAAGGAGCACGCTGTGTGTGCCATCACAGCTACCTCTGCCTCCAACGCTGCTGCCAGTATCACCGTCTTCACCGCCCAGGACCTCTTCTACAACCTGCCTTTGAGCGCCTCCACCGTCGTCTTGAGCACCATCTCCATTGGACTCTTCGGCTATGGTATCTGCGGTGTGTTGCGTCCGATTGCCGTATGGCACGTCGAAGCAGTCTACTGGAGCACTCTGCCCACGGTCAAAACCCTGCAAGGACTTCATTGGCAAAACCTCAAGGGCTCCAAGCCTCTCCGATTCTTCTGGTACAGCTTTGTGGCCATGTTCATTTACGAGTTCTTCCCTGCATACATTTTCCCGTTCCTGAACTCCATTTCTATCCCCTGCTTGGCCGCCATGCACGCTACAGGATCAAAAGCTGCCATCCTCACCAACCTGTTCGGTGGTGCTACCAACAACGAAGGATTGGGACTCTTTAGCTTCTCGTTCGACTGGCAATACGTAAGGCAATCATGTTTTTGAAAGCAACTGTATACCTGAGCTGACATTCGCTAGATTACTTCTTTCAACACCTCTCTTCCTCTTACACTGCAAGCCCATGCTGCTGCTGGATTCATTGTTTGCTACGCAGTGCTGCTCGCCATCTATTATACTAATTCGTGGAGCGCTAAATCCCAGCCATTTATGTCGACGCAGCTTCGATCCGAAAACGGTACCAAATACCCTGTTTCAGAGGTGTTTGTTGGCGGTGTGCTCGATGAGAGTGCTTTGCAGAAGTACGGTATTCCTAAGCTGACTGGCAGCTTCGCATATGCCATGTTCATGGCTAACGCTGCTGTACGTATCCCTCTTCTATGATACTTCATTGCATCATCATCCTGCATCTCTTCCACGACTTCGACTAAAGCTTGTATAGATTGGTGCCTTGGTTGCTCATTGCTTCCTGTTTTGGGGTGGAGATGTTAAGAAGGCGTACAAAAGTTCGAGGGAAGGTCGATATGATGACCGACATCACGCACATATGGCTGAGCACTACAAAGAGGCACCGTGGTGGTGGTACATTGCTGTCCTCGTTTTCAGCTTTGTTCTCGGTCTCGTTGTCGTTATCAAGGAGAACATCACCCTTCCTGCTTGGGCGTACGTTGTCGCCCTCCTTCTCGGCATCTTTATCGCACCCTTGGTAAGTATCTCCATCCTGGCGCTTTCAAATGATGCGGTGTCTAACCTTGATAACAGAGTACCATTCTATACTCTCGCTACGGTAACGGTATTGCCACCAACAACTTGTCCAAGATGTTGGCTGGTTTGATGCTTCCTGGTCGCCCTATCGGCAACATGTACTTTGCTGCTTGGTCTCACAACGTTATTAACAACTGTGTCACCCTGTGCAATGACCTGAAGATGGGCGAATATCGTATGTTACAAGCCCCAACAGAACATTAAACAAGAGAAATCACTGACTTGTTCCTGCAGTCAAAATCCCTCCCCGTGTCATGTTCCTCACTCAAATCTACGGTACCATTCTTGGTGGTTTCGTCAACTATGGTGTCATGATTTCCATTGTCAACAGCAACCGCGAACTTCTCATTGACAGCAACGGTAACGCTTCATGGAGTGGCGCAACTATCCAGTCATTCAACACCAACGCTACATCATGGGCCCTTGCCAAGTATCTCTACAAGACTGGCGCAGAGTACGAGATGGTACCCATCGGGTTGGCTATTGGTGCTGGAGTCGTTGCTCTTCATCGCATCTTCGTTTACGTGAGTACATACTCTTTATATTGTCCCCCCTCTTGTTCTTACAAGACACTAACCGCAGTCTCGATAGTTCGTTCCCAAAATTCGAAACTTCGATGTCAACGATATCAACTTGCCCCAGTTCATCCAATACGCTGGCTACATCCCATACAACCAGTCTCAAACCTGCGTTATCTGGAGCCAGCTTGCTGCTGGATTCTTCACGCAGTTTTATCTCCGAAACTACCGCCCTCGCATTTTTAAGGATTATTCGTACTTGGTCACTGGTGCCTTTGATGGTGCTAGTCTCACAGTGCTTTTTATCCTTTCCTTTGCAGTCTTTGGGGCTGGTGGCCCTGCGGTTCCCTTCCCTTCATGGTGGGGTAACCATGTTGATGGCTTCTATGATTTCTGCCCTGTGGCCGAGTAGAGCACAACAATCGTGGACACACTTAACCTCATCCATAATGGATTTGCTATCGATGCTCCAAAGGTTGAAAACTTTGATCTTTTTGACTTGAGCTATCTCTCCACCACTTTTCTGGAAGGACGTGGCTCACGGATAAAACACCTTCACTAGCTAGATACGCATATGGGCTATGGTCTGTGATATCCGCCTGTGACTTGGAGCTCGAGTAGCGGTAAAATTTATGAATAATTAATGAAACAAAGTTTATACCCCTGATCAATGTCCATTCTGCTGTCATGTGTATTGAAGCATTATCCCGAAGCATTATTGCCAGCACATTCATTGGTCACATACGTAGGGACCTAATTGTATAAGGTAATTTAGCTCTAACACTACGCTGGTTGTAAATAAAAAAAGGTACTAATCTCAATGGATTTTCATTATTGCATCTTCATGGAATTATATGCTTAATCTGTCTTAACTCGATGGATTACCCGGGGCTCGTTCCGCTGTCACTGAAACGATACCCGGCCCGGGTGGCGGTTGGGGTTCAGCTTATACGATCTCCACACGACGACAAAGATCCCTCCACAGCGCGCATCACGCCATAGCGGCTACCGTTCAATAGTTGGCCATAAGTACCTAGAGACGGGAAAGAGAATGCGATCGTGATATTAAAAAATATTGTCATCTCGGGTGTGCCGTGTACATGCCAAATGAGTGTCACCAGTTTACCGAGGCATTCTGGAGCGCCAACGTTGTAACTAAATAATTCGGGGCAAAGGAAATATCGCTGATGGCTAAAAGCTCACCAACTTTTTCATCTTGTTTGTAATCACTAATGGTACAAAGTAACAGCTCGAATGACTCGTAAAAGACCGTTGGCACTATGCTCAATGCTCACAGAAGTTCCAATTCGCTGTATGGAGCTGCTCTTCCGTACTGTCCTGTTTCATTGATCTCTCATCCATTAGATCAAGGCGAATGCTTTTCGCTTCCTCCAAGTCGAAAGGCAGCCCAGCTGAATCATCAAGGATGAGTTGCGTCAACTCGTTGGGTAGTCGTGCGGCCAGAGCCTCTTCGACGCCGGTTTCCTGAGCCCACCAGTGACGCTGTTGAGGTGGCACATTGGCTGTGGAAATGACGGGAACCGCTGGATCAACTAGAAAAAGCGCAAGGATTTTGCGATGGCCTGGTCGCGTCGGGTCCTTGAGACGGAACGGTGATACACGATGTTGAAGGAGGTTTGGAAAGAAAACGGCACGAGTATCGGCGTCTCCAGTGGAGGGACTGTTTGTAGTCAAAACACCTCCAACATACTGCAACGTGTCACGGTTAGTGTTTGGGATGGCGAATGTTCTTTCGATCGGAAAATGCTGGCTTTGCTCATAATTGAGGTTGACAACCAATTCTTCGCGATCAGCTGGAGTGCGGAAATCCAAATGGCAGTCGGTAATGTTTTCCGAGTCGTAATAAAAAAGCGCAGTGGCGCATATACGCTCATTCAACATTCCCTCAGTATGCCATGATCCGCCTTCGAATTCGGTAGGATCATTGTCCACGTATACGCTACGATAGTCGGAGAGGTCCAGAGACAAAGGCCGACCCTCACTGGATGAGGTCTCAGAATCAGATGGAGAAGCCTCTGAAGAACCGGGCTTATAGGAAGATCCTTCCAGGTCTGGATCATTCCCACTATCATTGGCAGCGGAGGTATACCAGTCGGCAAGCTCTTTAGATGCTTCAAATTTGAAATCTGGGTCCTCTGGTGTAAGGTGGACATTGGCAAGCTTGACGATGACTTGAATACGAGATGTGCCATTGAAGAAGCCGCTCGATTTGACATCCGCTGGTTTCAGTCGAAAATAGTCATCGCTGGTAGGAACTGGTTCCGGCAAATCCAACTTGTGAGTCTCGACTAGCCACGCCATGTCACGCTTGAATCGTTCAGAAGTACGATACTCTTCTGTGCAAGGCTCCATTTGATCCCGCGGCGGCTCGTCCTCGTCAATTGGCCGGTTCCACGGATAGCACGTATAAATTTGACCGCAAATTTCGCTAGTTGTGCATTCCGATCTAGCTTCTCTTGTTTTCAGGCGTTGAATCTCAAACTCTTTTGGCCAGCGGTAGATGACATCCCAAGCTGGAAGAGATTTCTCGATGAAGCGTTCGATGATGGGGTATAAGTTCGCGTGCTCCACTGGGTGTAAGTTGTTTATGTAGCTGTCGATCCTCGCAGTCTGACCATCTAGCACAACGTCACATGGAAGCCACTGATACTTATATGAGAGCGAAGGGACGGGGATCTCTAAGGGGCTTGACCAATCGCTCCCCGGGCCAGCAATCTCTATTGGCTTTGGTGCTGGAAGAACTGTGCCAACACCACAGTGGCTCAATGCGTTCTCAAGATTGATCCGCTTCTCGAGCAACACGGGAGTGCGGCCGTATATGAATGGCCATAGAGATGGGTGAACAAGATCGAGCACTTTATGGGTACTCCCCGGATGCCAGTCTTTTTCCTCCTCTGGGACGTCTTCAAGTACCGCAGCTGCTGTGCGGAGGGCATTTCGCAAGCCTTCAGGGACAAGGCTGTCAGACTTTATGACACAAGACGAGTAGTCGAAGATGAGAATGAGCCCTGTCTTCTTGAACAAATCCGCCTTGTTGCGCAGCTCATCAATACACTGGCATTTGCTAATCAATTAGGTGGCCTTTGACGGGAATCAGATACAGACTTACTGCATCTGCCATAGCAGGTGTAAAGTCCGCGTATGTGCGGTATTCTTCCCAGTTCATTTGTAAAGCCTCTTGCTTCCACTTATTGGCGATATCGGGATTGAATACTTTTTCCCACCACTGAGGTTTGTTTGTCACCTCTTCTATGAATTTGAGCATACATACTTCGCGTATGAGAAGTGTCGCGGCTTTCCAGTCGTAGTTGTGAACTCCAATTAGAACTGGGAAACGCTCCTCTTCGGGCGGCATATGCCCCAGCGGGAGACCAAAACCAGGAACTTTGAGATATGACAATGCCTACAGTCATTGATATGGCCTGATTGTTAGCTACAGATCTTGGTTATTGTGCAGGGAGAATAGCATAACGGTAGGGCAATGGATGAAAACACCTTATTACGTTCGTCAACAGCCTTATTGGCATCTTCAATGGCTTCGTCAATGAGCGGGTCAAGAATCACGCTGAGGGAGGCTTCGGACACATTATCGGTTTGTTGAGAGGTCTGAAACCATCTTTGAGCGTCCCAAACACGGGGTTTGCAGTCTTTGGACTGGACCCAGTCTTTGAAAGCCTTGATCTGTTGATCCGTGAGCACAAACTCAGGAGATTCCATGCTTGCAACTGATCGGGATATGTTCCTGGAGCGTTGTTAGGCACTGCGTGTCCGCCTAGGAAAATATCTCAAGTAGCGAAGAGTGTAAGGGCGTGAATAGACACCAGACTAAGCCGCTTCTGCCTAGTTAATTCCCATGAATACGTGCAATTACCGACTCCTAGTTATTCTTTTGTCGTATCTCAGTATGCAAACCAAATGTCTTCTCCGGCATTCTCCCTCGGCCGTATGGCTCGGCCTTCCATTTGCTCTTTGTACTTAACAGAGCGGCTCTTGCATTCACATTTTCGTGACGCTGTGCGGAAATTACCCCGCAATGTCCGGAGCATTCACAGGTGGGTTTTAATAGATCTCAACTCTACACATGGTGGGGGTTTGGCATCTTAGAAAACTCAAGGTCCTCGCCGTATGCAATAGAAGGCCAAGACTTCAATGTCCTCAATGCTCCAGAAACCTCCAACTCGCGAGTCTTGAAGCTATCCCATGCAAGAAATAGTTACAGAAAGCGCTTGAGGTCTTACTGTTGAATAACACAACACGGTCGACAATTTGCCTGAAAGAACTGATACATCTGAGCTAAAAGCTGGATGCAAGAACCCCAAGAGGCCCTCGCTCCAGATAAAGCTTTCTACTGCGAATAATGATAAGGAGATCGTTTTGAACCAGGAAATAAGTTGCAATTTCTAAATTGCCCATAAGAAGATAGCTTAACCAAACACGAGGATTGCACACGTTGGTCAATCTGTTCACCGCTGTTACAGAGCCGTTATCCCCTTCTTGTTGCCGGCAGGGATGGTACCGGGATGCTTGGTTTCACGGGCATGCATCGGATACTCGGCGCAGCTATCAAGTGGATAATGGCGAGACAATTCTCACTGCCCCATGATTCACCGCGTTGATCGACAAGGGAACGTTGATTTAGGATTCGAGAAATGCAACCACACTCCTCCTTTGTTTAACTTCTTTAAGCAAATCCCTTCGCGTCTACATCTTACACTTGCACAAGGCATGAAGCTATGAGCACGAAAATAAATACAACTATTTAACCCAGCACCGGTCCCTACGCAAGGTCAATCGATCGACCGACTCACGTCTGTTTAAGTTGGCCGGGCGTGGCATGAACTGGTAGATCCAAGCCAGAAGAGAGTCATGCATTTATTCTGCATCATTACGGCCGTAGGTCTACTTTCCCCATTGGTGGGAGCATTCAATGCTTCAAAGCCCAGTGCCTCAACTACAGACCGAATTGCTGGTATAAAAGCCCTCGTGAAGCGACGACTACCGCAACATGAAGACTCTTTCATCTTTTCTTTATCCAACGACACAGCGTCGGCAGCAGATAGTTACACTGTTGTGAGCACCGCCGATGGTAAGATCCATGTGCAGGGAACATCGCTCAGTTCTATCGTATATGGGTAAGGCCGGATTTACCTACCATGAGCGGCTATAATTGATCTCCTAGGCATTTGGGAAACATCTAATATATGACAATAGCCTTCATTCTTACCTCTCAGACGTTGTTCACGTCGATATTTGGTGGCATGCCGGTAGCCAACTCCAAGATGCACCCGCGAGTCTGCCGAGATTATCATCACCATTGAATGGACAAAGTATTGTTCCATACCGCTATGAGCTGAACACAGGTACGTATGGGGATGGAAATGCACTTCAATCTTCAAAATTTGAGCACAAAGGGTGACACTTTAATTTAGTTACCACTTCGTATACCGCCCCATTTTGGACTTGGGAAGATTGGGAATTGCAATTGGACTGGATGGCTCTTCGTGGCATCAACCTGGCTCCAGCCTGGATTGGAATCGAGAACTTCTTCATTGAAGTATTTCGAGAAGTCGGCTTCACGGATGATGATATTTCAGATTTCTTCACTGGTCCTGCATTCCTCGCCTGGAACCACTTTGGCAACTTACAAGGATCGTGGTCTTCTAATCTACCGTTTGAATGGGTTGACAACCAGTTCGCTCTTCAGAAAAAAATAATAAGACGCATGGTGGCGCTGGGCATTACGCCTATTCTGCCCGCATTTCCTGGCTTCGTCCCTCGGGCGGTGTCTCGTGTATTACCTGATGCTCAGATACTTCGTAGCATTCAGTGGGTGAACTTTCCCGAAAAGTATACCGAAGACATATTGCTTAATCCTGTCGATCCTCTATTTGCGCAAATGCAACTGAGTTTTATTGCGAAGCAGCAGCAGGCGTATGGAAACGTCACGCACTTCTATACACTCGACCAGTTTAATGAGATGACACCTCCTTCGGAAGACCTAGATTACCTGAGAAATGCGAGCTCAAACACATGGAAGGCACTCAAAGCGGCAGACCCCGACGCCATCTGGGTGTTTCAGGCGTGGCTATTCGCGCAAAACACCACTTTCTGGACAAACGACCGCATTGAAGGATACCTTGGCGGCGTCACTATCGACAGCGACATGCTGATTTTGGACATTTGGTCAGAATCAATGCCCCAATGGCAACGTGCTCAATCCTATTACGGCAAACCTTGGATCTGGTGCGAACTGCAAAACTACGGCGCCACCATAAATTTGTATGGCCAGATCCAGAATGTCACCAAGAGCCCGATTCTGGCACTGCAAGAGTCACAATCGCTAGTTGGATTTGGCCTGTCGATGGAGGGCCAGCAGAGTAACGAAATTGTCTATGACCTTTTACTCTCTCAAGCTTGGAGGAGCAATCCTATCGACACCAACGCCTATTTCAAGAGTTGGGCTGCTGCACGATATTCGAGTAGTAAGCGACCTGCAAGTATTTACGCTGCATGGGAGACGGTCCGCACCACTGTTTATGATAACACCAATCTCACTATGATGCCATCTGTACCAAAGTCAATCATTGAACTCATCCCCAGGACGACTGACATGGCTAATATTGTTGGAATTCTGGGAACCAAACTGACATATGACCCCGCTACCATGGTAAGCGCGTGGAAGCAGCTCTACCAGGCTGGCTTACAGGATGCATCACTCTTCAACAATCCGGCATATCAATACGACATCGTCGACTGGACACGTCAAGTTTTATCTAACGCATTTATACCCATATACGAGAAGCTTCTACAGATCTATTACATGCCTAACCAGACAGCCGAAAACCGAGCCACAGAATTAAGGACACAAGGAGAGCAGCTTACTCGCCTACTACTTTCCCTCGATCTTGTTCTTTCGTCGAATAAGAATTTCCGTCTTTCAACTTGGCTCTCAGCAGCTCGTGCATCAGCCCCGAATGCATCATATGCTGACTTCTTCGAGTATGAAGCTCGCAATCAAATCACTGTCTGGGGCCCTTCAGGACAACTCGTCGACTATGCGTCAAAGGCATGGTCTGGGCTTATGAAGACATATCACTTGAAGAGATGGGAAATGTTTGTCGATTATTTGATTGCCACAGAACCAGCAAATTATAACCAAACGGAATTCCAGGACGGCCTCTTGGTTTGGGAGCTATCATGGGCGAATAACACCGGTGTCCAACCGGAAGGGTCAGACGAAGAGTCAGATGTAGGAGACAATATCAGGAGAACGGTACAACAATGGAGCGAGATATTTGCGTAAATAAACGTATATAAGCTCTGCTTTACAATAAGAGACCATAATGAAGAATTAGTGTAGCACATGCTGAATATGCATGGCATGGTTCATTTCTGACAGTGCGTACATATATCTCTTTAGTCACTAAAGCTTGGTTACAGTTTTCTCAGCTCTCTTCTTTGCTGACCATGCATTCCGACATGATACTGTCAGCGCCTGCGGATTGATGCGAGTCGGATACTTCTCGGACATTCTTTGGAACAGCTCAGTTGCATCCTTGGTCTGCAAAAGCATCTTCTCAAATGTCTCGATATACTCGATTGTGGCCTGGACGTTATCGCTTCCATCAACGGCTCCATCTCTCTTATGCCCTGCAATTACTGTATGCGGGTTCAGTTTTGCAATCTTCTCAAGGCACGCAAGCCAACTGCGGCGTCTTTCAGGCGTAGCTGCTTCCCCCAAGAACGGATGCACATCGTTGTAGACAATGTCGCCAGCGACAATTAAATTGAGATCAGGAATGTGTAAGAAAGTGGTGTCAGTTGTATCCGAGTCGCCAGCTTCATGTACCTGCAAAACATGGCCTTCGAGCGATAACGCATTACTATCTCCAAGCTCTTCGGGTAGCACAGAGTCGTGGTCAATCTGATCGGGGAAGAGATTTCCCCACGCACGTTGGAAATATTTTGGCTCAAGCTCTTTCTTCATTCGAGCGATTACACGCGGTGTGGCCAACGTTTGAAAGCCAGGAAAGCGTTTGCGGAGAATTTTCAGGCCAAAAAAGTGGTCACCGTGTCCGTGAGTAATGTAGACAGTTGTGAGTCGTTTCCCAGGGATGGTCGATGCAATCCAATCGGCCAAATCATTTGCCTGCTGAACTGTCCAAAGGGCATCGACAAGAATTGCTTCACGTTCTCCCGAGATCAACGTGGCAGTCGTAGGAGACCAATGTGACTGTTGACCCGGTTTTCCTCCAGGAATAACGAAAGGGATAGACGGGGCTGTGAAAACATCTGCTCGTAAGGGAGACATTGCTATTCTTGTAGTTGTCGTCTGTAGAAAGATGTATGTGAACCACAGCGAGATTGCAATAATAGGGGAAACATAAAAAGACAAACTTGATAAAGAGAAAACTACAAAGTCGATACAATTCGTGTCATGCCATGCACTTATTTGTATGGGAATATCTCTCGGCATCTGGTAAGTAAGCGGTCCCACAACACATAGCTCCCTCGGGTATCCTGCAATTTGTTTACTAATCTTTCAACGAGGGCATCGAGTTTGAAGCTGGAACGCCCAGTGAATCTTTGAGTGCTTGTGATTAGATAATCGCTGCTCATCACTTCATAGTACTTGCAATACGAGAAAGCCCGCAGACGGCATGAACCGAATTGCCGGCAGATTAAGCAAATGAGCAACCTCTAAACATTCCGTTTCCATGGAGAAAGTAGACGTTCGCAATGGTGCTATCGCTCTTGGACAGTTTAACTGCAGCATCTGATATTAAGTTAAGTAGGTCGTCCCAAAGTAGAAAGCCTGTCTGGGTGCTTTAATTTGGTATATACAAATTACTTCTCAATCCATTACCGCTTTATACACCTTATCGATACTTTTATATTTGTCGGGTGAAGTCGATTGCGTATTACATAAAAAGACAAAGAGTGCATAGAATCCTTGACATATCTAAAGAGTGCTCTTGCCTAAAGACAATATACACTTAGCTTTACCACAGATTGTTAAATTTAAGTTGATTGGGACAGAGGGCAAGAGACGATGTTTGACTATTCTTCTTTTCCCATGGTATGTATGCCTTACACCACTCGACAGCTAAAAATAGGCAATGTTGATACGTTGAACAAATACTAGGTCTAAACTCAAGAAACGAAAACCCAGCGTGAGCGAGAAGATATGGTTCATTTTCATTCCCATTCGTCACGAAAGACGTATATTTTCTAAAAGCAGACAACATTATTACATCCACCCCTGTTGGATTTGGCTGGTAACGGGATTCTAAACAAGCTTAAACTATGAAGCTAGTATCTTGTTAACGGTATGTGTTCATTTGTTACGAACAAGGCCGATTCACAGTGGATACATGTACTCTCTGACTGGAAACCTTGGCGCTCTCTTCGCTGGCAGCCCCCCCTCTTCTACTAATTACTTACTCACCATAATCGATCTCCAAACGCTATGGGGGTAAAACTTGCTTGTTCTGTCCCGGTTTTATGTAACGTTGCCTTTTCATAATGACTTCGACTGGCAGTGGCGTGGGCTAATTAGAACGCTATACGTAATTGGATAAACTATCCATTATAGCAGACATTGGCAGAAAGAGTAAGAAGTTGTGAGGCACTTTGCATGCGAGATCGGAAGCTTCTAGTGGACCCATCTCAAGTCTCGTTTTGGCGCACTCCACATTCTATATTCAGAGCATTAGAGCACACAAAAGCCCGACATTATGGCTCACCAGAATCTTTGCTGCTTGAATAATCATATCCCAACACCACCTTTTATATCATCAGTAACATTGCAAAACAGACAGCTGCCATGGCCGAAAGCATTCATAATGGCGTTTTCCGGCGTAATAACACAGTGCCTCCAGCAGATAATGGAGTCATGGCACTCTTCTCCCTCGCAGGCAAGACGGCGATAATCTCAGGTGCGGGGGGAGGAATTGGCCTGGCTGCAGCCAAAGCTTTCGCGGAAGCGGGTGCCAATGTGGCCATTTGGTACAACACGAATAGCGAGACTATCGAGAAGGCAGCTAGCATTGAGAAAGCCTTCAATGTCAAATGTAACGATGCCAAGTTTTATGCATACACGCTTCCCCTCGACATCAATCCCCGTCTTCCTTGACTGACCCAGAGCTGAATAGGTAGAGCATATAAAGTAGACGTCACATCATATGAGGAAGTGGAAACAGCGGTAGACACAATTGTCAAAGAATTTGGTGGACGTCTCGACGTATTCGTCGCTAACTCGGGTACTTCCTGGGGAGATGAGGCATTCATCGATGCGGACATCAGCAGATACCATAATCTCATGAAGATCAATGCTGATGGTGTCGTTTATTGCGCACGCGCTGCTGGAAAGCACTTTCGCCGCCAGAAAATAGAGGGTACAACAGCAGATGGATCAACATTAACCAATTTCTCAAGCGGCAGCTTCATTGCAACCGCCAGTATGTCAGGGCGTATTGTTAACATTCCTCGGCGCCAGGCGGCGTACAATGCCTCCAAAGCTCACGTTATTCATTTGTGTAAGTTTTGCCCACTCATCATTTTAGCCTTGAAATCCTGTTCTTCGCATTCTAAAACTTATATGGCCCACAGGCAAATCCCTCGCGATTGAATGGCTCGGGTTCGCTCGCGTTAACAGCGTCTCTCCTGGATATGTAAACACTGGCCTATCAGGGGCAGTAGCTGAGGAGACTATGAACTCTATCAAAGATAAAGTCCCAATGGGGTAAGTAAAAATGACGAATTACTCCAGAACCGGGGACTCATGCCTAACAATTTTAGGCGCTTTGCCGAGACGGTTGAGATGCAGGGCATCTATCTTTACTTAGCCTCTGATGCTTCCTCTTACGCAACTGGAGCTGATTTCATCGTTGACGGTGGTTATTCTGCTCCATAGTTGTTATATATAGTATAGAAGCAATGCCGTGGTGGAACTGTTATTAATATTCAGCAGCTTTGGCCGTCATCTACAAAACAGCATATTTAAAGTAATGTCATCACAAAATATCCCATCCATTGTCGATGCTATGACATGGCCCATCCTTCCAATGTTCACGATTCGGCTCTTTTATTAAATTGTAAAAATGGATTACCTTTGGATACATTATTGTTTTCGCCCATAGGCAAATGTTATGACTTTTTGGCCAGTGAGTCATGGGAGTGGTTCCCATCCAAACGGGCAAATATACGCGCCTACCGGGTACGTTCAAAGATGAAATTTGGCACAGCATCTACTATAGCATTAAACCGACTCTGTGACAACTATTCTATAATATAACCTACGAGTGACACATACTCATCATCATTGTACGTGTTTATATTAGTCGCGTTATAACACCACTCATCTTATTGTCGTCTGGAGGTACGTAAACTGGCTGCGATGGCGGGATATCTGCCGGTGGCTGAATAGGCTATCGGCCTTCGGGAATTCAAGTTCTCTTTCGTCATTTGCGCACAATGTGCTATGTAGATGGCAGAAGATATCTGAATTATACTCGGCGCGATATAACTATTCTAGATGTATTGTGCAAGATAACAGCCCTAATGCGTGCAAGAATTTGTTTTGTGTACTTCATGGTTCTGGAAGTAGTTCCTATTCGTTTGCAGAAATCATGAGCCCGACGCGCCCTAGCAGCCATTGTCTGTGAGTCATCAGCTCAGACTGGCTGCTTGCAATGATGCTTGAACGCCCGGAGTGGTCGGCGGAGATCCTTGATAATGAAAGACTGGATAAAATGGACAATGCCTAGGATAGATGGAAATGGAAAATTAGCTATGCATGATACTTTGCACAAATAGCGGAATCGGGTGTGGTTGGGCCACTGGGGGAAGTCGGAGGTCCGAAATTCTCAAAGGGCGCGGATGATTTCCGCGTCCAGAAATGGGCGCTTCATTCAAATTCCTCCATCCATCTCTTTCGCATCACCGCTACGTTTTCATATTCTTGGATTGTGATGCTCGGAAGGCCAACATATGCAATGGACTCTAAGGGGCATACCACTGAATGCTCCGTGGAGGTTCGTCAAGAGCCACCTTACCCTGACGAAAAGCCCAGCGACGCTCAGTCTTTTCCGGATGGGGGCATGCAAGCATGGCTTGTTGTTTTGGGAGCCTTTTTTGGCTTGTTTATCAGTTTTGGGTGGACAAACTGTATGTTTCATGCTATTAGTGCTACTATTCGTATGGCTAATCATTCTCCAAGGTGTCGGCGTGTTCCAAGCATACTATGAAACCCACCAACTGGCATCATTGTCACCAAGTACAGTGTCCTGGATCCCAGCATTGTCAATGTTCACAATATTCATTGCAGTATGTTGATATGCAATCTGATTTCCACTATTCCTTTTGACTTGCTCTGATGCTTATATGTGCCTAGGGACCTTTTGTGGGACAGTTATTTGACCATTTCGGCCCTAAAGTTCTCCTGCTCCTCGGCAGTGCCATCCATGTTTTTGGATTGATGATGGCATCCATCTCATCTCAATACTACCAGTTCATTCTGTCTCAATCTATTTGCAGTCCCATTGGCGCATCCATGGTTCTCTACCCTTCTTTCAGCTGTATTACAACATGGTTTCTGAAGAAACGTGCTCTAGCAATGGGAATCGCCGCCAGTGGATCCAGTATGGGCGGAGTTGTGATGCCCATTATGGTAAATCGACTTATAACCATTATTGGATTTGGTTGGACAATGCGGACATGCGCGTTTTTGATGCTGGGCCTCCTGATTATAACCAATTTGACAGTTCGGTCACGCCTACGTCCGCAGCCGAAGAACTTCGGAGTTGCATCCTTTTTTGCAACATTCAAAGATCCTCCCTTTCTCTTATTAGCTCTAGCCGGATTCTTCTACTCTATGGGTATGTTCATACCTATAACCTTCTTGGTTACATATGGTAGAAGTGTAGGGATGTCGCCAGAGCTTGCTGGGTATCTGGTTTCCATGTTCAATGGGGCAAGGTACGTGACTATACCTCTATTAATGCGCACCAATCAGTCAATATTGCAGTAAACTGACGCTGAATTGGTGATACACAGCGGTATTGGACGTATCCTCCCGGGATACATAGCTGATAAAGTGGGAAATTTTAACGTATCCCTTTTCGCCGCATGCCTATCCACAATTTTAGTCTTTGGTGTCTGGCTACCTGGACACTCTCATGCAACTACGATAGTCTTTGCGTCTCTATTTGGACTCAGTACCGGAACCTATACAGCTATGAGTCCTGCCCTGGTGGCCCAAATATCCGACATACGCGAAATCGGACTAAGATCAGGAGCAATGTACGCATTTATGTCTATAGCAGCTCTTACTGGAAGCCCAATTGGAGGGGCCCTCATTACCGCAGCAGCAGGAAGTTATTGGAAATTGCAAGTTTTCACTGGGGTCATGCTTGCCGTAGGAAGCGCCTTTTATGGAGCTTCAAAGCTCTATCTAGAAAAAGGTAAAGTGTGGACGAAGGTATAGTAATAGAATCTTTGTTCTGAGAATGCGCTGTTATTCACGTCCTTGTTTCTTTGGTATGTCTTTGGTCAATGACAAAGCTGCATGATCTTATTCTCTATTAAAATTTTGATAGAATATGACTGAATTTAGGGGGAAATGAGAATTGGTCTGCATGTCCCGGTGGAAAAGCGGTCATGATGAGACAGATGGCCACCGGCTTCCATATTTGCTAAGATGAGGAACATGCGTCCTCTGATCGATACTTAGGCAGCTGGCTTATACGTGCCTATATGTAAAATAATTAGAAATCAGTGTTGCACTGTGTTGGTGTGGGATAATTGTCACAGGGAAATTCTAATTCCGGTAGTTGCTGTGTTGGGGAAAACTTTAAACTCCGTTTCAAATACTCGTTTGCTTTTATTTTGTCACTACTGTAACATCTAAGGGCTTTTACTGCCTTTGCAAGGCTGAGTAATTCGGCAGCTAAATAATTGAATGTTCAACTGTATGAGTGATTTTCCATTTCATCTCTTCGCAGGTGAAAAAGGCGGATGCTGTAATGAGAAAGCAGGGTGGTAACTTCTATGTATATATGTATATCGCCAATTGTGAAGGCGTGAAAAACGAATATAAAAACTGAATATTCCGCAACATGGATGTAATTATTTTGACATGAATGATCTCTTTTACACGCACCACGTTACAATCACCATCTGTTCTATTACTACCCGAGTGATATCGCTTCGGCAATTCAATCTTAAAGACCTGTCATGGAGCAACACAGTGATGCTATGGTGGTTGGAGCAGGATTCAGCGGTATATACCAGTTACACAAGCTCCGCGAGCTTGGTCTCTCGGTAAAAGCCGTCGAGGCTGCTCCTGAAGTTGGAGGTACATGGTACTGGGACAGATATCCGGGTGCAACGAGCGATACGCATAGCGAAGTTTTTCGCTAGTTGGGATAAGGAGGACTTACTCACTTATCCTTGGAAAAGTCGATATTTGCCCCAGGCAGAAATAAAGGGTTACTTGAAGCACGTGGTTCAACGCCATGGTCTAGAGCAGTATATCCAATTGGACACTCGGATGGAGTCGGCGGACTTTCTCGAAAACAGCTGGCAAATACGGCTATCCACCGGTGTATATTTCGAGCAAGATATCTCATCACGGCTCTGGGCGCTTTATCGAAGACTTATTTCCCTCAGATTCCTGGCCTTGACACCTTTACCGGGGAAATGTATCATACGGGGCAAGCAGGTTCACCATTGCATCTTTTGTGGAACGTTATTCGGCATTGTGAGTGCTTCTAATTGTGATGTTTCAATGCAGCAACTGGCCAGATGTCCATGATTTCTCGAAGTAACGAGTTGGAGTCATCAGCAATGGTTCCACTGGCGTCCAGCTCATCATAACGCTTGCTGATCAAGCCAAGCAACTGGTTTCATTCCAACGACACCCGCAACACGTGGTTCCAAACGGTGACGGCCCAGTTACAACAGAAGATCAGAAACAAATCAATAAAAACTATGATGAAATATGGAAAACGTCAAGACAAACATCTCCGGACATGCTATTACAGCGTCGTCAATCCCGACTATGAGCGTCACCACCGAGGAGCGTGAGCGAGTATTTGAGCAAGTCTGGCAGACTGGCAATGGAATCAAGTTCCTTTTCGGTACTTTTGGAGATATTGCCATAGATGACGAAGCGAAGAAAGAGGCGGCAGACTTCATTCGCAGAAAGATTAAGCACAATGTCAAAGACCCCATCAAAGCCCGCACTTTAACTCCGCCTGGTGGATTCAACCGCCGCCCAGTCACAACCCATGGCTACTACGAGACTTTTAACAGAGAAAATGTTAACGTTGTGGATGTGTTAAGTACATCCATGGAAATTGTTCCAAATGGCATTCAGCTCTCGGACGGTACAGTGCACAATCTGGATGTCATTGTGTTTGCTACGGGCTTTGACGCTGTCGATGGCATGTACCATGAGATCTCGATAGTTGGACAGAACGGCCGGACGCTACAGGATCACTGGGCCGATAGAGTGAAAGCATACCTGGCCACTACGATGAATGGTTTCCAAATATGTTTGTGGTCAACGGACCTCAAGGCCCATTGACCAACGTACCGCCCCTCATTGAAACCCAGGTGAATTTCATCACAGGCCTCGTTGCTACTGCAGAAGCGCGCAAGGAAGAAATAGCAACTGAATTGCGAAACGAAGATAAGCAGCTAGGTCCAATCATCGAAGTTAGGCAAGAGGCTGAGGATGGATGGCTGACAAAAACTAATGAAATCGGCAAAATGACTGTGTTTGCTAAAGGAGGATCATGGCCACTGGGGCTAACGTCGATGTCAAGAAGCAGGCGTTTTTATACTACATGGGTGGGGTAGGCAATTATAACAAGGTTGTTCAGGCTGAGATAAACGCTGGGTATCCTGGTTGCAACCAATTCTACTGATATTACGGTCCGGAAGAACCGGTCAATTCCTAGGGGATGAGGCTAGGAATTCCAGTTGCTGTACAAGAATGGATCTGAACTTTCTCTAAATTAAGCTAGTATGTTTATCTTCATGTTATCTAGAGTTGCTGAAAACAACTTCAATAAAACCAGTGATGGAGTTATACATAGTTACAATCCGCTGACTGTGCTATAGGCTGAAAAACGTTATTTTGTTGGTTATTCCATTGCATAGGGGGTTGAGAGTCCGTTGCGGAATCTAGATGTGACCACATGCGACTCAACTCGTGTACATTGTCGTAAAATCTTATTTTGCTATTTATCGAGTTGTTATAGTCTGCCGAAAGTGTTGTATCACCAGTCGAGGCAGATGAGATATCTTCCGAAAACATTGTGGTATCGTTAGGTGTGTAGTGTGGGCTGTTCAGAGAAAGCATGTCATACGATGGGATTGGTGTCAGGTCGTGCACCTGATTCATAATACCTAGATTGATAGTAGAAGGAATGAGCGGAGACGCGATGCTACGGCTGCAGAGCCTGAAAAGAGCCTTATAGCTACATTATTGACCAGCTTCGCTGTAAGAGGCCAGGTCAAAGCCTCCGATGAGAACATACCGATTGCGAATGTCTTGCAGAGATCGATCAATGAGCTCATGCGTTTGTATCATCTTCCAATTGCTTCCGTGTACGCAATAAGCCTATAGGAGGCGCTGGTCTTCATCATAAGACCACTTCTGTCGTTTGATGTTGGGGTCTAAGTAGTTCTGCCATCTCGCTGCACATTCTGGGAAATTGTCTCGTTATTAACTGCCTGCAGGCCTCGCGTCTCAAGGTAAGGAATGCATACGATCCGCAGAACGCGTCTTTATATATCTTGACGCTTGAACCCATCTGCGTTTTGCATGAGTAGTATGTTCCATATTCCACAGGTGGCCTCGAGTTCGCGGTAGCCCCTCCCCGAGCTCCAAATTGCTCGAAAGCATCGCGCAACTGTGTATCTTCACCAGAGCTCCATTCGCCCTTCTTCATGCAGCCGTTGATTCTCACCCAGCGCTTTCGACAGACTTTGTTCGATCTACCGCTAATAGTCGCCGCGATAGAACTCCAGCCTCTCGGCTGTCCCAATAGTGCTGGAGGAACAGTAGTGTAAATACAACGAGAGCTTGAACAAATTCTCATCCAGACTCACTTACCCTGTGCCCTTTGCATATTAAGATTTCATCCTCGGCATTTGTCCAGCGTCCACATTGGTGTTGAGATCCTATCCGACTCATGGCTATGCGAAGTTTTATAGAATTGGTCAAGTGATTTGCTCGATATGTTCTCTTCATATTATAACTAGATACTATCTCATGTGACTTTTCAGACCTTCCTTGTTTAACATGCTACATCGCCCCATTCATGACCTGCCCTTCTTTCTCGGACTCCGAATCTCCGACATTGCTGGGTCAACAACCGTTGGGAGTGGCTATTTGGGAAGTGAGAATGCACCAACCATACTATGGGCTACCAGAGAGTAAATGAGGAAGTTTAGGAGATATCAGACCCACAGAGTGCGTACACGCCGGCAACTTCAAGTCTCCGGGGAACTCCAGGTTCTGGGTACGGGGTAATCTATTTGCCCGGGGACATCAGGTGGTCATAATCCCGATATGGGGCCGCAAAAGATGCAGAATACTAGTATCTCAAGCCGGGTGAACTATATGCGCATTGATGGCAGTGGACCAGGTGGTAGGACTTGTCAGCTATAACCCTGTTGTTGCGACGTGAGATCATAGGGGTTCGTTACTAAAAATATATACCTGGCATGTATGCATGTTGATTTGGTATGACCACATTCATAGCATTTTATCACTTACGCCTGATATAGATTGCGAGCGACGGCATTCCATTAGAGTACACATTCAACTAGACCATACAGGCATTGGCAATGTAGCAACTACACCCGTGATAGACGTGCATGATTCTTTTGGCTTTAAGTATACTGTAACGCTGATACAGAGAATTACCACATTATTCTTGCCATCTTTGTTGCACATGTTCTAGCTAAAACTCCATATACAATGTGTATCGGGCATGGTGCCGATGAAATCTACCGCTGGGGCTGCGAATCTGAGGTCAGCCAGTGCCTGGGCTAGCGCTGACGTTGCACAACAAGCCTACACCCAGAGCTGGATATTATAATCTTGTTTAGCCCTTCAATTGGAGTAATAGGAAATCCGTCCTGAATTAGTTGTATTTCAACTATATATTCTGTAAACTTCGGCCACCAATAAAGGTCCGATGCCTCACATAAGTCGAAGCATCGTGCACCCAGTGCAGTACATGGAGTTAGCGATCGGGCTTCTCTCTCTCTTTCAGCTGTCATTCCTAGTTTGAGCAATGGCAGCGAAGATGAACTTCCCATTTACCTCGCATACTAGATATCTTATAACAAAAGAGCTTTTCGACGGTACATCGGATCGTGGCTGTTGTGGTGTGATGCCAGACACTATCCCGGCTGTCATGAGACTTCATATATCCTATTAGAAGCGAAATATTAATGACTTTTTTGACTTACAGGCCGGCGCCGATGGAAGCTGGTAATTCTTTTGGATGAAGATGTTGAGATTGTGTCTAGCATACGTGTACATCTGCCTGGATTTGGAACAGACGTACTCAAGCGTTGACGGCTTATCAAGAGAATCGTTTCTGAAGTTGTTGTGTGTTGTGTTTAATAATTGTTAAGAAAGCTTCTTCTATTGTTGTCGTCGTGAAAATAGACGTGCGCCACTGACTCCAGACGTTCGAGTTGTGATGAGGTCTAAGATGCAGTAAACTGTCATGGCGGCTATCTCCTTAGCTTGATCCCGGCGGTCTAAGCGTGATATCTTGTCCCTCGAATCAGACGTCACAAACGACTCCATGCTGTCATAGTCGCTGGATGGAATGATTGCCCCAAACGTATTAAGGGTCCCACGTCTGACCAGAGGTCTAGTTACCATAATAAGCTCGAAGTGTAAGGCTCCTAAGTCTAGTCTCGGCTTGAAATATATAAATAAGTCGCCGACATCATGCTCAGCTTGGGTCGATATGGGCGAGTGAGTTGATAGCTTGTTCGGACACCAGCGAGTGCAAGAGCTTCATCAGCAGGCATTATACGGTATTTTCTAGCATAAACTCTTCATCAAAATGTCGAGACTTACTTCTAACGCACCGGCGATATATGTTCATGGCGTATGATCCCCGGACGCGGAGATACTACCCCAAAGAGGGATGACTGAGCGAGACTCTTGTTGGATAAGCTTAGCCATGACCTGAACTACTTCAGGTCTCACTGCAGGATAGCCTCGCAAGAGGGAGTTGCATCGACCAAGGATAGAGGGGCTAACCGACTGGTTTGGTAGTAAATGTTTTCGAAGGTCTTGTAGTGTTGCAGTACAGTCTTCTCTGCAGTCAGAAGATAAGAGAACGGCCGCATTATGACGCTGGATAAGACCCCCTTGGAGGTTGCCGACATCGTCAATTTGCGTATCTGCACTGCCACCCTAGTCAGTTTTGACGCCAGGGACATGTTATCACTTATCGAGGTAGGGCTTTAAGACTTTAAGACTGCAAGCCGTTCTCGAGCTGTTCTCCTAATAGGTGCATCATTATTAGAGATTATGGGCCTCTTATTTTGTCAATTATTGCAAAGGTAATGTTTAAATATACATATGTTACGGAAGTGCTTGGGGGGGTGTTTGCACGTTATTTTGGTGAGAGTGGACTATCTCAGTTTGGCGATTATTTCCTTGATATAGGTTTCTGGCACAATGGGTGATAACTTTTCAACATTCGCATGGTTATCTGCTTTTAAGGCCGAGCGATGAAAAGCGTTCCATCACTGATATTCTTTGAATATCCCAATCTAGAGAAATTTTCTTGGACATGTAAGAGTCGTTAGCGGGCCTTGACAATATTGACGAATTTGAAGAGTTACTGCTTAAGATGACGCTCAAATCGGACGATGCCAAAGAATGTAACAGAACTAAGCTCATCTACCAACTAAGAGATGTATACAATTTGAGGAAAGTCTCCGATTTGGACGCCTGCAGTGAGCCGAGATATTCAAGCTCGTCTGAGAAATGACATCAATGCCGAGCTGCCTGTTGACTACGACGTTGCTAATCTCAAACCTCTGCTATTAGTCTTGGCAGCTTATGTATCCGAAAGCTTGCGCATTCACTCCGTACTCGTACCCTTGAATCTTTTAGCTTATAAATCGACTCGCCCTAGCACCCACTCCGATTGGAGACGTTCCTATTCCCGTAGGAGTTAACATGGGTTGGAACGCCTGTGGAGTACACACGAATCCACAAGTCTGGGATCTGACGCGAAGGCATTTCATCCTGAGCGATGGGGACACGATGGAAAGCAGATTCACGAGCTATGGCGCACAGTACAGGTTGAAGGTGATTTTATCACTTTAATGCAAATAAGTATAAGTGCTTGGGGTCCGATTTCGTTGTCTCGCAAATCATGATTGAGATACCTAGTGAAAATGGTCAGACATTTTACGTGGACCAAGGATCCAGAGTACCAGTTCCAAACTACAACTGCAGGATTCTATAAGTCGATGGCAACCAGCCCTATCAATGGCTTTCCTAATATCCAAAGGGGGGGGGGGGGGGGGGGG